AACGTTTCTCTTGTATTTTTTGAAAATAAATTTTATCAACTTTAAAAAAAATAAATAAATATTAGTTTTTCTAAAAAAAAATATAATATAGATTAATTTATATTTGTATTAATATAGATTAATTTGTATTTATATATAATTTTACATATATGTGTATATATATGTATATATATATATATACATATATGTATATTACATATATATACCTATATAAAAAGCAAAAAATATAGCACAAAATATTGGACGCAATAAAATTACAATGTTGCTATAATACAAGTAAAAAATAAATCAAAGCATTAGAAAGGTCAAAATATTATCATAAATAACTAAAAAACAGACAGAAATTAATCATAATAGTTTTCCGAAACGTAAGTATTATTTCAAAATTTATAAAGGATTAAGGTAAAATATTTACATTTTTGTATTAAAATTTTTGGCTCTAAATCATCTTAAAAATCTATCCTTGAAATTGTCTACTCGTTCTCGCTTGTTCTAGTTTAATTCTAATGCAAAACCAATATAGAACAATAAAGAATCTTTTATCACAGTAAATCAATAGCAAAATTTTAGTAATTTTTAATTTTTTATACCAATTAATTTAATAAAAATATACGCCAAGCTCGAATTTTTAGTATTTTTTTTGCGTCGAAAAAACCATTTTCGAATAAACCATTGCAGATATGCTTTTAGTCATTCAATTTTTCTAAATTCTAATCCTAAAGTCTAATTTTTCTCAATTTAAATTTTATTTCAATTTAAAATTGTTTACTCTGTTATAAATTGTTATAATATGTCATATTTTATTTGTATTCTAATAATATAAATTCAATTTTACTTGTATTCTAATTTTAAATTCAATCTCACGTGTAATTTAAATTAAAGGATTTCTATAATTTTATATTACTTCAGTGAATTTATATTAACTCAATGATATATATACTTAAATCAAGCATTCGATTTTTCTATATAAAAATGAAGGTAAGGCATTAACAAAAAATTATGTAACAAAAAACAAGTATTTTTGAAATATTTTTCTTTCTTTTCAATCAACGGTGATTATAATTTCAAAAAGCTCTTTCAGTTGTGATATATCGATTCTCAAAACTACCATCGTCTTACATCACATATCACATTTTCTAACGATAGAATCTAAGTAATAAAATTCATAAATTCTATAATTACATAATTCGAAATTATATCTACGAATAAAATTGCATTGCTAAAAAAATAATAAAAAATAATAAAAATAATTATAATAAATACAAAGAGAATTATTACAATAAAAAAATTATTACTTTTGAAAATCACTATTTTCAAATTATTATTGCGATTAATTTACTAAAGAGTATTTACTCTTAAAAAACCTTAAAAATAAGCTATACATATACATATATAATATTAATTTTTTCTTAAATATATATGTCTAAAATAAAATTAATTTTATTTTAAACGTGATCTCTTCTGTTTCAACGAAATAAAACAAGTGGTTTTGTGTGCAAAAGAGATTTTTTATCGCCTTAATAAAATTTTCCATTATTTATACCATTAATATTATAAATAAAGCTACGTAAAATGTTTCTCTATCAACTTCATTCTATGAGATAATCGAATGCTTGATCCAGATATATGTTTATTCATCTCCTTGCTTCAATTATTAAAATCCATTTTTATTTCTCTGAATTCTGAGAACATTATTAAATTCACCTTGCATAGTTGACACTCCTTGACAGAAACTCAAAAAAGATCTCTGCTTGACTTTTGTAATTGAATTCGGTAGTGAGAATTCTGTCGTATTATGAGATCATCGTGAGAGAGAAAAGTGATATTAAATCAGACAACCAAGGCATATCGTCAATATAAAATCCTCTATCTAATTATACATAATCATTATTTTCTTAATATTTATTTTGAAGAAAATTATTACAAATTATTGCAATATGGTGATGGATGGAGGCAGGAGGTCGCTTAATCTTTTATAATTAAGTTAATTTAATTTTCTCCATTGTATAGGGAAAAATAATTTTGACCGTATATTTTTTCCATATACAAAATTAGTTTTCTTTACACAATAAGAGTAAATTAAAATTAAAAATACACAAAATATAAATGTGGAAGAGCAAAATCCGCGTTCCTATCACTGATCATCTAGCTAGGACAGCGGCTTACATTCGTATCTCGAGATACATGCATAGGTTCGTCGAATGTCATCCTACGCTCGAGATCCGCCTAAGGTAGTCAAGAACAACAAGAATTCACCGTGCATGCTGTGTGTTTCACAACAAGCCATATAAAGAAGCAGGTCTCACGATCGCTTCTCCGTGTCAATGAGGTTTCCTATCTTGCGGCGACGCAAAAAGATCAAATTAATTTCATTTCTTTTGTAAAGAGAAAAATATAAAATGCTACCCAAATAGCGCAATAGTTTAACAGGTTTGTAAATATTATTTTTATTTAATTATTTATTTGCTATATAGAATGAAAAATCCTTTACCAGAATTAAAGTATTGATAATAACAAATCTGGGCTACTATAATGTATATTAAAAAAAACAAGAGAATTAAAGAATTATTTAGTTTTCATATCGGTTAGGTTGCCAAATATTATTTTTATTTAATTATTTATTTACTATACAAAATGAAAAATCCTTTACTAGAATTAAAGTATTCATAATTACAAATCTGGGCTACTACATATGTATATAAAAAAAACAAGAAAGCTAAATAATTATTTAATTAGTTTTCTTGTGTTATTTTATATATACAGGGTGTTATAAAAGTACCGGAACAGCAGAAAAATATGAGTCCTAGAAAAAATGCTAAGTACTGGGTTTTTATGATTTTTTCCTGGCTATCTGAACGTCAGATAACTAGGAAATATATATATATATATATATATATATATATATATATAGTAGTCCAGATTTGTTATTATAAATGCTTTACTTCTGGTAGGATTTTACACTCTGTACAGCCAATAAATAGTTAAATAAAAGTATTTGTCAAACTAAACCTTTAATCGATAAAAAACTAATTAAATAGTTATTTAACTTGTTTTTTTATATACATATAAACAGAATTTTATATATATATATATATATCTGGATATATATATATATATATATATATATCTGGATATATATATATATATATATATATATATATCTGGATATATATATATATCCAGATTTGTTATTATATGAATACTTTAATTCTGGTAAAAGATTTTTCATTCTGTATAGCCAATAAATAATTAAATAAAAATTAACTGATTCCTGAATTCTGTTCCGATTTATAAAGCTCTTTTGTTTTATTATCGGGGGCGAAAGGGGCAGATCGCGATTCAGACTTGAAAATTTAGAATATTTTCTCACGAGAGAATTTTTTTTCCTTGACAGATCGAATTTTTGCGCACAGCGTGCGCAATTGACGCGGGATTTATGCGACGTGTTCCAATCTCAGCCTTTCAATACTGCATATTGCATCACTGATCTTCGCACGTATGATTAAACTGTTAGATAAGAACGTACGACACACACACACACACACACACACGGATAAAGCTCGTAAAGAGATATGTATTCTTTTGTACGGGCCTTTAAAGAAGAATTTACCAAATAATATTTCAGAAATGTATCTTGCAACATTAAGAAAAATAATTCAGTGTTTTTCAATTAATTCTACTTGTGCAATATACGAAATAAAAATGATAGATTTTAGATTAAAAAAGGAGCAAATGGCGAGAAAGAATCACAAAATGTCGACATGAAATATTTCGAATAAATACTAACAAGTACTATTTTCAAGAGCTGAGATGCAAATATATTTGATATATAATTTTAATTATTTATAAAAAATTGCAGTGCAATTATTGAAATATATCTGAAAAAAGATCTCGCACACAAGTGCATAAATATATATATATATATATATATATATGTGTTAGAAGTTACGATTTTCTTTATTTTTCACGAGATAAAGAATGAAACTTTAATCATAATAGCACCAATGAGTTTCATCAACAAGATTTTCAAAATCTCTTTATATTGCATTTCATATTGCTACTCATCAACTAGATATAAGAACTATCGGTTAATTATTATCGAGAAATGACATTTGTCACGTCAAATCGATTTAATCTGTTTCATAAAAAGTAAAAAGTGTCCGAACGTGACGGTTTTTTCTCGTAACATGCGTATACTAATTCGTGTCTTAAAAGATATTGCAAGCAAGAAAAATTGATCGAAATTATATATACTGAATTTATATATATATATATATATATATATATATATATATATATATATATATATATATATTGAATTAGGTTTTTTGCTTGCAATATTGATTATACACATTATTATATATTTTATTATGTATGTATGTATATTAATATATTATATATAATAAATAACCGCTATAAATCATTGATTGAATCGACTTGATCTACAAGTGTCATCGCACTCTCTTATATAAAAGATTACAAATAAAAAAAAGTTTATTAAAAATAAAATTTTAAAAATAAACATAAAGAGTTCGAGGCAGCAGTAGATGAAAAATCTTAACCGCGTTTTTCATTTGACTTTGGTCCAAATAAAGTTATCGTCAAGTGCGTGTCGCGATTTCCGTTTTGATGATCGTACACGATGATCGCAAGAAATTTCGTGCAGAAAAACCTCAGTCGCGCTATTCGTTTTTCTTCTTTTTTCCCCTAAATTTCCGAGGGTCTGAAATTCAGGAATCTCGAGACCCTCATAAAATTTTCTCGTTTAATTAATCTAGCAATCGTCGATCGTCCGTCGCGTAGACGATCGAGTTAATATTCGGAAATATTGTATATGTTGCTTTCTTCCTCAGGTAGCAACCCTAATAGTGCAACATATTCGACAGATATTCAGAGGACATTCGGAGGATATCCACAGGACATCCTTAGGATGTTTTCCGAATGTCTTCGGGATATGTGTGTTGTTAGGGAAGTGTACGTCATTTTGACGTCGAATGACGTCATTAGACGTTAACGTGACGCCATTCTGACGTCATTAGACGTTAAAGTGGTGTCATTCTGACGTTTCATGACGTCAGTTTGCTACTTGGATCTTGAGGAACCTAGAGCCTTTGCTTTCCTCTCTTCGTGAACCTCGAAACGAGCTAACGCTATTATCCGTGGACGTCGACGTTGCGGATGTCGAAGAAGACGCTCCAAAGAAGACGCTTTCGAAGTGTCCGGAGTGACAGCAAGAGACTTACCGCCTGCGGCAGGAACGTGTGCGCGAAAACGAGGTTGCCCTTTAGTCGCCACGAGAGGTCGCTGTCGCCTTGGTAACGATGATGATGATGATAATAATGATGATTATGATGATGACGTTGACGGCGTTGATCCCGAGCACCTTGGCACGGAAAAAGCCATCACCGCACTGTGGCCATGTGCCACAGACCCAGGTTCAACTTATTGAGCCGTGGCAGGTCCATGATCCGACCCAGGCCGCTGGTGGTAATCTTGGTGCAACCGTACAGGTCGATGTACTGGAGGTTCTTCATGCTGTCGGCGATGAAGTAGAGGCCGCGATCGGTAACCCGGCTGCACTGGCCGATGTTGAGGGTTTCGAGGTCGTGGAGAGTCTTGGCGATCTTGCAGATACCCTCGTCGCTGATCTGGCAGGCGGACAGGGACAGAGTCCTGAGGTTGAACAGACCCTGGGAGATGTGCACCAACGCCTGATCGCCGATCTTGTCGCAGAACGACACATCGAGCGAGGTGATGCGACTGCTGCCCTCGGCGAGATACGCCATCCCGATGTCAGAGATATTGTCACACGAGCGGAGGTTCAGTTCGCGCAGACTCGGCATCCTGGCCAGGTGCTTGACGCCGGAGTCGGTGATGCAGACGCAGAAGGACAGGTTGATGGATTTAAGAGTGGTGAGACCGATCGAGATGTGCCTGAGCGCCTCGTCGCTCAGTCGCTGGCAGTCCTGAAGACTGAGTTGCTCCAACGCGAGGTTACCATCCGCGGTCTCACGATTCAGCCCGGCCAGATGCGCAATACCCAGGTCGGACACGTGCCAGCAGCTTCGCAGATCCAGCCGCTTGAGTTTCTTGAGGCCCCACGCGATCAGCAACAGGCCGGTATTGGTGATGTTGGAGCAACCGCCGAGCTCCAAATTCTCAAGATTCTTCAGGTATTGCGCTATCCTGCTGATCGACGTGTCCGACACCTGTTTGCAGAGCGAGAGATTGAGCTCGGATAGGGACGGGTACTCCTGACCGAAGGCGTTCGTGAGTCCGGCATCGGTGATGTTGTAGCAACCGGACAGGTTGAGCGCCTCGAGATTCGGCACGCCCTTGAGCACGTCGTTGATACCGCGTCGCGAAGACAGCACCTGCACCCTTTTGACGCCGCGTCGCACCAGGCTGGCGAACAACGCCGGGGATTGTTTCTTCAGGTGCAGCCTCGCCACGACCCCTCGCCAGACCGAGCGGTAATACGCGGCGTCCCGCCACGCGGTGCACACCTGCGCAGCCCTACCCTTGTCGCACACATCCAGGTAACTGAAGATCAGCGCGAGAATCTCCGGATACAGGCAGGACACGTGGGTGCTGGCGGCCGCCTGGCCGTGCGTCGCCGCCTTGCCGCGTTGATGCACCTGATGCGGGTGCAGCTGATGTCGGGACGAGATGCCACCGCCCGGGCCGATCGTGTAGGCCGCGGGCAGGTCCCGCAGACCGCCGCTGCCCGCGTTCCCGTCGGTGCCGTAATGCCGCGCCGTCGTGCCGCCCGAGTTGTGCTGCAGGATTCCCTGGCTCTGCGGCGTCGGGATCGCCAGGTGCGGCTGATGCAGGTGATAGAAGTGGCCCGGGCGGTGCAGCAGCGTCGTGCCGCCACTCGGTGTCAACGGCACCGGGAGTTCCGTCATCAACAGCTGGCTCTCCTCCATATCGTTACCTCCGCCGCCGTCGTCGTCGTCGTCCTCGTCGACCTCGTCGTCACCTCCGCCTCCACCGCCACCCCCGTCGTCGTCCTCGTCCTCGTCGTCTTCGTCGTCGTGTTGGCCGTCTTGCGATCCCGTCGCCGCTGCTGTTGCTGCTCTTACTGTTGCTGCTGCTCTTGCTTTTGTTGTTCCTGCTGCTGCTGTTCTTCCTATTGTTGTTGCTGTAACAGCTGTTGTTTTTGTTGCTATTGTTGCTGTTGCTGCTGCTATTGTTGCTGCTCTTACTGTTGCTGCTGATGCTCTCACTATTGTTGCTGCTTTTGCTGTTGTTGTTGTTGTTGTTGCTGCTGCTGCTGTTGCTGCTACTGCTATTGTTGTTGCTGTTGCTGATACTGTTGGTATTGTTGCTATTGCTGTTCTACTTGTTATTGTTACTGCTGTTGCTGGTGAGTGTCGAGGGGACTCTGTCGTCGACGACGAGCGAGCGATCGTCGAATGCTCGTCGCGGTGATGATTGTTCTCCTCTATCTTGAAGTCTTCCCTCTCGCTAGCTTCTTCTTCCTCTTCTCTTCTTCTCTTTCCTCTAATCCGATCCTCGATCACTGCGATGCGATTTCTGTAGTCGCATAACAAGCGTTTTTTTGCACGATCGCGCGATTTCTACGACACGTATCCAACGTTACGACGAACGTCGCGCACCCACATGTGTATAAACGCTCGCGCGCGCGCGAAAACCTCGCTATCGATCGCGGCTATCGATCGTCGTGAATATATCGACACATATATATACACACTTACACACCGCGCTCGCGCACACACGCACACACACACACAAATCGGCGACGCGAAGCGCCGCGTGTGTGTGTGTGTGTGTCGGAGGGGGGGAGGAGGATTTATCTCGCGGGGATCTCGAGGATGAAGATCGTCGTCGGCGATAAGCGGAGAGAGAGATGTACTATACGCGACACACACACGAATTTTGATATCGTCGACGGCGACGCACAGACACACGCGCACACATGTACACACGACTTCACCCGAGAGAGTTACTCTTTTCACTAAAGTACCATTCTCTCGCGCGGCATATATAAAAAAAAACGCACTACATCGCGTTAGCCTCTCTCTCTCTCTCTCTCTCTCTCTCTTTCTCTCTGTGTGTCTGACTGTCTGGAAACTCCTTCGTTCCAAGTGTGGCCCCTTCCTAGAGAGTCTCTCTTCTAGACTATATATATATATATATATATATGTATATGTGTATATATATATATATTATGTATCTCTGTCTTGCTCTCTCTCTCTCTCTCTCTCTCTCTCTCCTCACACCCGCCCGCCCCACCACGCCTCTTTGCGCTCAGCCGCGCGCTCCATCTTCGTCTCGCACGGCGCAGTCACTTCCTCTACTCTCTCGCTCAGTCCCGCGGGCCGCTGACGACTGGCTGACTCTTTTTGCACGCGAGACGACTACCACACACCACTACGGAGAGTGCATGTATGTGCATACGGGGTCGCTTACGCGCGCTTCTTCCGGCGGACGGAACAGGGCAGCACGCACATACACACACGCACTCGCGGAGAAGACGTATATATATATATATATATATATGTGTGTGTGTGTGTGTGTGTGTATTATATATATGTATATTATATATATATATATATACACGAAGAAAAAAATGGGCGACAGCGCTCCTCCTACCGTATATGCCTCGTAGATGTCCGCCGTCGTGTGTCCGGGTCACTCACTCACATACGCGGGACGGGATCCCCGCAAGAGCGACGCATCGCCAAGATGTGAACCGGTGCGCTGCCAGTCGCGGACTGTCGTTCCGTCCGCCCGTACGTAGATGTCGTGCCGCCGCGCAGGCGGAGCGAGCCCCGCCGATTGGCCCGCGGTCGGGTCACGTGATCGCACCGGCGAATATCGATTCGGGTTGCGCTGCGGCGGCATTTTTAAGTTTTCGTTGTGCGGCGGCGGCGGCGGCCGGGCGGGGGAGCAGGGTGGAGGGAGAGACCGTGTATCCTCGTCCCTCTCCCTCCCCATCTCTCTCCCCTTTCCGCCCCGCGAACCACATTGCGCGTGAGACTCTCCGTCTCGCTCGCCCCCGGAATGCCGATTCGTTCTGTTCGATATATGTATATCAAATAAACAGTGAATTTTCTCTTTCTTTCTCCTCTTTTTTTCTTCGCGCGCGCGAAAAAAATAATACATGTTTGTACGAGATAATCGGACGAATTTCCGAAAGTTCGGGAAGACACGCTGAAAAACAATTTATTGAATTCGAATAAATATATTTATTTCAATACTATACCTAATATTAATCATTTGCTTGAAATTAATAAAATATTGATGTGAAAAATATTTATTTGATATAAGAAAATCCTATATTTATTTGTTTCAAATAAATATGATTTATTGGGCGATATTGAAAGAAATATTTATTAATTTAATAATTCGATTCTCGATAATATTCCACGTATAATGATTTATACTCTTCGGAATTTAGCGAAAGAAATACATATATGTGTTAAAAAAGGAAACAAATATTTCTGAGAACTTTAAAGAGACAAATTAACAAAAGCAAATGTAATCATTTCTTTCAAGCGAATCGAGAATTTCAAATAAATAACCGTCGATGCGTAAAAATTAAAAAAAAATGATATACACACACGATTTTTATACCAATTAAGATACATGTGATTTATATGTAATATTCAATATATACAATTTTTACATTATATTATATAAAGTACGCTTTTATTCAATGGGGTTTTTTTTTTTATTTTTGTACACATTTATGCTGGCAATAGACGGAATGTTTGAAAAGCGAGATTCTCTAGGATTCGACTTACGATGATGCGAACGCTAATTAATGGAATTGCAGGATCGTGCTGCACATTCGAGATATCAAGTAATGCATTTCGATCGATCCGAAGTATACATGATAACCTGAAGGATAAAATTGCAAATATATGCATATATTTATATAGATATACATTTTCGTTGAAATTTATATATCGATCATTTTTTCTCTAGCAATATATAAATATAAATAATGTTCATGCAATTAAATATAATAATAATAATAATAATAATAATAATAATAATAATAATAATAATAGCGTATGAGGCATAATTTCATTGACTGTGATTAATAAGTTATCAAAAAAACATTAGATATACTTATACAAGACAGCAAAAATGTTATCATATAAAGTTGCACGAATAATGTATACAAAATCTTCGTTTAATTATATTCTAATATCGATGAAACGACTCTTGTTTCTTTAAATAATGATACATATATATATAAACATATTTAAAAATTTGAGTAGAAATTTTTCAACTCAGCAGAGACAGGAGTGAAAGCACTTATTTAATACATACATATAGATTCCTATTTATTTGTAATTGTACGTATGTATAATAATATTACAACGTCGTAACTGTATAACAGTAAACAAGATGAATATGCTCGATTGAAATACTTGGTGAATAATAATAAGTATGCCACTAAAACTGGCAAGTAGAGAAATATGTACACATTTTGTAGGATGCCGCTTTATTGCCTCTAAGGGAGATATGTAGTATGATATTAAACGAAAAGGAAAAGAGGAAGAGAGAAAAACAATGGCTAATAATATTAATTACAATTATAACGAGGGAGGGGGAGGAAGAATAGATACCCAGGTAGCAAGGGTATGTCATTTTGACACTGAATGACGTAATTCGATGTCAAAATAACGTCGAAATGACGCCTTTGACGTTTAATGATGTCAGTTTGCTACTTGAGTAAGTGGCAGCTGGCGACATTATCTTAACTATTATCACAGATTAATACAGACAGCTTCTGTCATAGCTGGACATGACCGATCATTATTCAGTAATTTTATCGTCTTGCTATCTACCCTTCTGCAATAAATATTTAAGTGCGTGTGTATGTCTATGTGTATACGTTCGTCGCAAATGCATGAACAATTTACAAAAAAGTATACGCAGAAGCGTATACTTTTATATTACCCGAGTATGTTATAAAATTCAGACGCGTAGATATATATATATATATATATATATATATATATATATATATATATATATAATAAACTTTTCTTCATTTTTCTCCTTTCGTTATAGAGCCGCTATTATGCATGTGTGCAGACACACGGTAGACCGTATATAAAATTAAAAAGTGACGTACATATAATACTGTTGAATATTTTTTTTTATTGATGCGCACAATTAAATACTGTATATTCCGATGTCTTGGAAGTATATAATAATGGACATGTATATATAATTATTGATATCTTCTACTGGAGAGAATTTATCACTTTCAATTAGAGAATATTGCATCTAGTAATTTCATTAGGTATTTAAAAAAACTCTTTTCTCTCTAAAATATTGTTAAAAATATTATTCTTATACATATACGCGTAAATTGTTTACTTAAAATCCATAATTACAAAATTTTAATTATAAAATTTATAAGAAAATTATAAATATACTCGCTGTTAATTTCATAAATCAAAAATCGCAATTAATTTTCAATTTGTTATAACAATCTTTCGAATATGGTAGGAAATATATCGAATTTCATATGACCAAGCATGTTTTCATATAGAATGCAGTCTTTTTTATATATCATATTCATACATTCGATTGCCTTAATCTGATCAAATCTTTTGGAGTGCACTGAAAGCATCATCAAACTACAGAGGAACCTTAATTTTACTAAAATGTCCTACAAATTATTTGGATTAGCTAATAATATCTGTTGTTCGTTCAAAAAACTTTAATCCTACTCATTTTAAATACAATTCATTTAAAATATGGTAACTCATTGTCGAATGTGCAGCAAAATTCTATGCATTAATCAAAATGATCTTGACAAAATTAGTTACATTTTATTTGACTACGTAATATGAAATGCGCTCATGTTTGTATAACAATAATTTTTAATCTTGTTAAATGTGTGTGTGAAAATTACCCTTTTGTAAATGTTACAAATGATGAATAGGCCTTTGTTCTTAAACGCAGCACGCGAAAGCACAAAAGGAATGTCGCATAGACAATTTTTTTCACTAAATAAGCCCTACACGCTCGCTCGATATTTAAATATGATATATGTATATTAACGTCAAAAAAGTGTATACCTCTTTTTTTAGTTAGCATACAATCTTAGGTATCGTAATTGGAATACAAAACTCACAAAAAAGTTGGTGTTAGAAAATATCAGGGTTTCCAGCGTCTCTCATGTCCGCTAGTGATACTAACACATGCTCTCTGTTTTATTCTGTCCTAATTATCATTATGAAATAATATTTCGTGAATAGGGAGTAGCATGCTTATACAACGCTCGCTAACAACATTTTTTCCTATGCTGTTTTGTGCTTTTCCTCAGATTCACTGTCTCGTTGGTCTGTATGGCTTGTCGCTCCTTGCGTTCTTTTTTGGTCCGCAAAACTTGCCGCGTTATTGCCATAAACATCTGCAAAAAACCGCATAATTATTATAATATTTATTTTTAATTATTATAATTTCTCAGTAAAATATAAATCATCCACCAATTTATTTACAAATATCCTTAAGACTCCTACGTTCTCTCTGCGGCTATGTTAGATTGTGACGTCACAAAAATTATATAATATATAATATTAAATAATATATTAAAATTATATAATATTATATAGTTGACTGTCAAAGAAAAAGAATAGTTTCGGAGATATTTTAAAAGTGTGCTAAAGACATCTGAAATAGTGTTTCATCGAATGTGTTCTCTCGCTTCTGACATCACAATTCCAACATGGAAGAGCCAGGAGCCTTTAACTTTAATGAATAAAATTATTTGTTTAGTTATTAATGCATGTAATAATGAAGCAATAATGAAGTAAATTGAAGTTTAATCTCTTAGAATTAATTAATCAAGAAAAAAAGGGAGAAATAGAGCAACGCACGTCTTCAACGTTAATGTTGTCTTTGGCGGAAGTCTCAAACAACTGTATCCCCATTTGGTTGGCGAATCTTTGCGCATCTTCCGTTAACACCACTTTCTGATTAGGTGAGTCGTTCTTATTTCCTACAAGTACCCTGTTAACCACATCACAATTCTGTTCGATTTCGTGCAACCATCGCTTAACGTTCGCGAACGTATCACCGCTGGTCACATCGTACACAACTATAACGCCGTGCGTCCCCCTGTAGTAAGTCGAAGTTATTGTCCGGAAACGCTCCTGCCCAGCGGTATCCCAAATTTGCAGCTTTACCCGCTCACCATCTATCTCCACAGTTTGTATTTTAAAATCCACCCCTATCGTAGTTATGTAACTGCCATTGAAGGTATTGTCAGCAAATCTCAGAAGTAGTGAGCTTTTACCTACACCTTGAAGACAAAAAAGAGAATTATTATTACATATATATCGAGTAAAAATAATTTTCGAAAAAAAAAAAAAAATACAAAGAGTAGAAATAGTTTTTACATTAGCATTAATGCTGCGATAATAAATATATATATTTTCATATTGTGCTAGTATATATAAAATATTTTTAATTATTTATGTAATTACTGACAATTGATATCAAAATATGTAAATATAAATCTTTTATCACAAACTATTAATAATAAAAATATTATTGATTATGAGAGATAAGTGATAAAAAGTGTGCCGAGACAAGTATCTCTTTGTCATTTCATTATATCATATAATTCTTTTCTCTTCATATTGTCCTTTATATTGCACATTACTTGCACCTTAAAGACAAAAAAAAAATAAAAAAATAAATTATTAAAATGAATTCTTTACATGTATATAAGAATAATTATAAAAATGGTTTCTGAAACAAAATATATGAAATGAAGAAATACCTTTTTACATCAATATTAGTGCTGCAATAAATATATGTATATATTTCTCTATTGTTGTAGAATATAAATTTTCAACGTATAATTATTTCATATTTGACTATTAACACCTAATATAAAAAATATATTACATAAATTAATCTGAATAATGAAATTAATTGCTTATAGATAATAAATAAATATATTGGCAAAAATATCTCTTTGTTATTTCATTATATATCATATAATTTTTTCTCCTTATACATATATTGCACATTATTTACATTGTAAAGATAAAAGAGACTATATTCTTTATATGTATATATATATATATTAAAATGTTAATAAAAATAGTTTTCGAAAAAAAATACAAAATGTAGAAATATATTTTTATATTGATATTAGTGCTGTGACAAATGTAGATATTTCCCTTATCGTAAATAATCATTTATTCAATTATTGACAATTAATATCAACATTCTATCGAGTAAAAAAATATGAATAAATTTAAACTTTTATTACCCATAATCTAATATATAACTAATAATATTTTTGGGAGATGAAAAAGCATGGTGACAAGAGTATCTCTTTGTCATTTCATTATCTCATACAATTTCTTTCTCCTCGCATACACATTGCAATAAGTCATCGCTCCAAATCTATCCTACAGGAAGAACAATTTTCACATCATGAAATCTAAGTAAGTTATGCCAATGGTGCATGTATATATATCATTGGACTCATCATTTAATAAACTAACACTACTGCAGTAATGACAGACGATCATCAACGACTATCACAACCCTTGACATAAAGGACTGCGCGCGCGTCATTTTTCGCTGCAATTTCCTACACTTCTTCGAATGAAATTTAGTGATGAAAAAAATAAAGAGATTAAGAGAAGGGGAAAAGATAAAGAGAGAGAGAGAGAGAGAGAGAGAGAGAGAGAGAAAAATGGAGATAGAAGGAGAAGAGGGAAAAGCAGTGTGGCTGACGGAGATATCTTTAATTACGTGTCGGCCAGCACAGTATGGTGTATATTTACCGCTGTCTCCTATGATGAGCAGCTTGAACAGATGATCGTACTCTCGGGCCATCTTAGGATCCTCTCGTCGCCTGGTGGCGGGGAAGAAAGGAACGTAAATAAAACGGCGATACGACTCGCTCTCTCTCTCTCTTTTTTTTCTCTCTCTCTCTTTCTCTCTCTGCAAACGAGATCTCTGCCCGATTTCAGGGCACGAAACGTCGTTTTTTTCCACAGATGATGAGACTGAATATGTATTCACTAACACCACCCCCGCGCGATCTTCCTCCAAGGCAACTCGGAAACTCGCGACTCGTCCGGCTCGGAAGACGACTGTGATATCAAATCATCGCCATGTTTGTACACCGCGGTATCGTCACTATTCATTATCATCACGACCGATTGAAAAAAAGAGAGGCTCCGCGTACTCCCTTCGTTTAACGCGAGACGCCCATCCCGTATCAGATTGTCACCAGCCTGTCACTATCCGCCATCTTCCCTCTCGAGGAGCCTCGCGCATGCGCGCGCCACGCGCACGCGCGATTCTCAGCTGTCATCTGTCATCCGATGTCCACGCGCAGGCGCGGCTCTTAGCTGTCAATTCTATATTCGCATTCGCATGCATGCGTGGCTCTCAGCTGTTACCTGTCACCTGTCATCTGTCACATGTCACCTGTCATTTGTAATCTGTCACCTGTCATCTCTCATATCACTCTATATGCGCATACGCGGTTCTCTGCTGTCATCTGTCATCTGATTGGTGGATTTTTCGCAGCTGTTGGATTAGGATTCATGTGGACGGACCTTTTGGAAAACTCCAAAAAATGCAAAAAGTGAGAATAAATATTACAAACGGAGTTTTATTTTGATTCCAAAATTTTGACACGTTCGTGGAAAGTGAAAGCATGTGAAAAACGTTGCAAATAAGAAAATAAATAAGGAATATAAGTTATGCAAATAGAGATGAACTGGTACGAAAGTAGCAGTTTTCTAACGGATAATTATAATAATACTGATTGGAAACACTTTTGATTGATAAAAAGAAGAAGACAAAAATAAAACTGATAACCCATGACAGATTTATGGTATATATAGATACATGTATGTATAAGCAGTGTAATGACAATTTTCTAAATCAAAGTTAAAAAAAGTAATAAAATCTTAACTATGAATATAATTTTTATAATACTGTATATACTGAAATACCTGCACATAACATAGTTATAAATGTTGCATATATCCCATGCAAATGTGACTGAGAATATTGAAATATTTCACAATATACGTGAGATTTACAGCATATCTTTTGACATTGATAGAAACATACAGGATGGTACTTCCGACACGTATATCGCATAAGGGCAACAGAATCTCGTACCATTATCACAATATCTTTGTAATATGTTTGTTAATATTCATACTGTTTATCGTTTTGATATCAGTATACCATATTTTCAAATTTGGCAATACACAGAAGCATTCCGAACATGTTCCTATAACACTGGATGACATAAATACTCTGCCAATTCGAGCATTATCCGCAGACTCGGCTTTGAGTAACGCAACCAATGCTTCCTGCACGTATTTTTCTTGTTTCAATGTGTACCGATGTGGCAGTCAGGGAAATAAACTTTTGGTATACGTCTATCCACCCAAGATTTACTTGGACTTTGTCGGTAGACCGATAACGAATCAGATGACAAGAGAGTTTTATCAAATTCTGAGTACTATTATCAACAGTAAATTTTATACTCCTAATCCGCATGAAGCTTGTATATTTGTTCCCTCCATTGACACTCTCAATCAGAATAGATTGAGATCGCAAGAGGTTTCTCGGGCATTAAGATCATTACCTTTGTGAGTTTTATCTTAATCTTTGTATTTTAATTGTAACTTTTAACAGTTTACACTTTATTAATAGAATTTGTTACTGCATTTGTAGCTGGAATAGAGGAGAGAATCATCTAATTTTCAACATGGTACCTGGAAGCGTACCAGACTACAACACTGTTATTGATGTGCCAGTGGGAAGAGCGATGATTGCAGGTGCTGGAATGTCATCCTTGACATACAGACCTGGTTTTGACATTAGTTTACCAGTCTATAGTCCACTAGTAAACAATCTCAAGACAAATTACAGTAATGGAAGGTAATTTTATACATATATGTATATGTATTGAGGTAAAGAATATGTAACTGTTACTTGCAAGTTACATATTTTATTCTGCAAAATAGTTTGTTTTTTTGACACCAATTGATTCCTCTCATTTTGTGGGATGAGATAATCGAAAGATGAATATTTTATAAGGTACTTTATAATTTATGTAAAACTATGTCAAAGTATAAAATATCTTGTGAACTATACATTTTTTGAGCCTTATAACATTGTATGTCAAATATTGCGAGGAATCAAATTTAAATAAAAAAATTTGAGTGATTTTATTTAAAAAAAAACTAGGTTAATCTTCAAATAACTTTAAAATTAAATTTAATTAAAATTCAAAATTTTCACCATCAAAATCAAACAACTTTTGTCCCAAGTATTGTTTTCTAAAACGAAATATACATATATGATTTTTATAACATTCCAAGTAGCAAACTGACGATTAAAACGTTAAAATGACGTCATTCAACATTAAAATAATGTACACGTGCTATCTGGGATGTGTATACATAAATTTATAATATAAATTATTTTGCATTTCAGAATATGGTTGGTGATGTCTTCGCAAATCAATATTAACACCGCTTTTGAGCAAGATTTAATGGAGGTGAAAACGACATATCCAAAAGACATTCTAGTGTTAGGTCCATGTCTACATTTTAATCCCATGAATAATACAATACGTTGCGTCGGGGAGGGCATATACAAGTATCCTGATATCCTACAAGTAATATATATATAATATATAATAATAACAACACTAGTCAACACTAATTTTGTCACAGAATGACAGGTGATTTCGATAGGATTTTTCCCATAGATTACGAATCTGAAATGAAAAATGTTTCATTACGTCACGTTTTTGAGAAAAACGGGGTCAAAGTGTAAAAAAAAAAAACCGTTTTTGGCATTCTTAGAACCTTTGTCACAAAGAAACGGGACATGATAGAATACTTTCTGAGGAGTCAAATTAAAAACTTTAAACTTTAATATTATAAAGCAAGAAAATATGTGACAATATTGTGAAGTCGTGTAGCACAAGTTCCTTTTGTGACAAAATGAGTCGAAAAATGTTGACCAGTGTAATTATTGCAATAATTTTGTTCTCTCTTAATATATAAATAATGGAAATCTTCTTTCTTTAGTCGGCAACGTTTTGCCTAATAATCCGCAGCGCCAGACTTGCCCAGAGTGCACTTTTGGATGCGATGGCAGCTGGGTGTATACCTGTGATTATAGCCGATTCACTAATGATGCCATTTCATGATGTCATTGATTGGACCAAGTGAATAATATAATGGATAAAAATCTATAGTATTGTTTTGATGAAGCGCAGTCATTTATTAATTAATTTTTGTCTCTTTCAGAGTTGCTGTTTTTGTACGCGAGGTCGACATTTTATTAATAATCCAGTTGCTCAAGAAGATATCCCACCAACGTATCGTGGAGATGCAAGAGCAGAACGCCTGGGTTTATGATCGTTATTTCAGTTCAATGGAAAAGATCACAGAGACCACGTTGGAAGTGCTCACAGACCGCGTGTTCCCGCATTTGATGCGAGATTACACATATTGGAACGTGCCATCTTATAAGGTGGACATAATTAGAGAGACGTATTGAAAGAGAGCATTAAATTTTTCATATGTCAAACGAATCATTTCTTGTACAGGGGAAACCTTCGCCTCTCTTTCTACCAGTAACTGCTCCTAAAACACGTGGCTTCACCGCCGTAATATTAACGTACGACAGACTGGAGTTACTGTTTTTATTGATTAATAAACTTGTAAAAGTGCCAAGTCTGTCCAAAGTTCTGGTAATTTGGAACAATCAGCATAAAAATCCACCGCCTTGTAAGCAAGTTTAAAATATATTTCATCATGACTTTAATATCTATTTTTATATATGTTGTATATTTATATATTAAAATTTTTATCATGTTTTTTTATGATTTTAATATTTATATTAATAATTCTATTATACTCTATATAAATATATTTCTATTAATAATAAATAAATATATTAATATATAATATAATAAATAATTTATTTATAAATTATAATTTAATTAATATAATATAATTATACAGCTACGAGGTGGCCGAAAGTGAATAAACCGTTAAAAGTGATCCAAACGAAGGAAAATAAGCTGTCGAATCGATTTTATCCGTACGATGAAATTGAAACTGAAGCAGTTTTGTCGATAGACGATGATATTATCATGTTAACTGCTGATGAAGTGGAGTTTGCTTACGAGGTACACGAAGTATTTCAAACAGAAATATACTTACATTTTATCCCATTTTTTATATACTAATGAAATTTATTTCAAATACTTTTATTAGGTATGGAGGGAATTTCCAGACAGAATAGTTGGATTTCCATCTCGCATACATACGTGGGACAACAGCACTATGTGTTGGAGATATGAAAGCGAATGGACAAACAGCATCTCCATGGTTTTAACAGGAGCTGCTTTCCATCATAAGGTACATATAAACACTTACATTGTTTTCTCTCTCTCTCTCTTTAATTAAGAAATTACGAACCAAATTTTGTTATTGTTCTAAAAATTCTTGGCTTTTATTTCTCTTAGAAAAAAAAAACAAGAAACCAACATCCTTTCCTCTTATCCTCACCATGAATGCATGATATAACAAAGTAAATTATATTATAATTTATAATTTTAAAATAAACTATAATAATTATATTAATATATTATATATTCATAAAATAATTATATAATTATTATATTATATATTAATTATATTATTATATTATTAATATTAAATTATATTAATTATATTAATTATTTTATATTATTAATAGAATATATTTCTCTATTTGAGTATAATAGAATTATTAATTCTATTATACTCAAATAGAGAATTATATATTAATATTAATATATTAAATAATTAATTCTGTTACACTCTAATAGAAATTTCTACATAATTTCCATTAGTATCAAATATTTTGCTCTGTTGTACAAGAAAACTTTATCTGACAAAATTTCTTTCAGTATTGGAATTACATGTATACGACAGCCATGCCTGGAGATATAAAGGAATGGGTCGACGAGCACATGAATTGCGAGGATATTGCGATGAATTTTTTAGTAGCAAATATTACTGGAAAGGCTCCGATAAAAGTAAGAGAACGTCTCATAGTTCGAATCTTAATTGGCAAGAATTTTTGCTAAACATTTTTTCTAAAACTTTGCGCAGGTGACGCCAAAGAAGAAATTCCGATGCCCCGAGTGTACCAATACCGAAATGTTATCCGCGGATTTGACGCACATGGTGGAACGCACACAGTGCATAAACAAATTCTCCTCTATTTACGGAACTATGCCGTTGGAGTCGGTCGAGTTCCGCGCGGATCCGGTACTCTTCAAGGACGTGTTTCCCGAGAAACTGAAGCGATTCAACGATATAGGAAGTTTATAATTGTGATATTGATATACATATTTTCTACTGAAGTAATATAATTTATAAGATTAAGAGTCCTTGCCAGAGAGAGCACAGGCTAAAAATCCTAGGTGCCCTTTTTTAAATAAAAAATTACTTCGAATTTTTTTATTTCGCATCTAAAAATTTTTAGCGTGTCTTCTCGCTTCTAACGTCACAATTCCAATATGGTCGGTGAGGAGTCTTAATTATGGAAATCGAGTTTATGAAAAATGTTTATAAATTTATAAACATTTTTGGAAAAATTATGGAAATTGAGTTTATGAAAAATATTTATTTTATCAATCAAAGAATGTATGCAGAGTATCCGAAATTATAATCGGATGGAATTAAAAAGATACATAAACCTATATATACAGAGTATCCTATAGGAAATGGCTCAAACTAATCATTAATTGGAGAATTTTTAATGCATGCAGTTATTGAGGAAGCAAAAATTGACACACCCTGTATATTAATCATTCTTTGAAGAGAAGCGAGTCATCTTGATATCTTGGATATCTTCATCTGATTATAAAATTGAATACTCTTTGTATACATATGTATAAATAATTTATATATATTGTTTGTATTTTAGTGAATGTAGAGAATGTGTTTGTATTGAATAAAATAATTAAAAGTTATTTCAAACTGTTTCATCGGAATTTATTATGTTTGTATGTACAAGTTAAAAATTTAGGAAAATACGTGTATCTCACAAAATTGTGATTATGTAAAATGATTCAACCTGGCAGTACTATTATATTATGTGTGAATTTCATTAAACAAATTAGCGCTGATCCGTATAAAAATTTGGTATATAAAGTATTTTAGGCTATAAAAGTTAATTTTTTTTACAAAAACTTTATATCTGATGATGTATATAATCTCATTTAGATTTCAGTTTGAAGCAAACACCTTCAACAACAGCTTTCTTACCTACTTCGTGCGCTGGTAAGGCTGACATGTAGCTCTAAAGAGAAAAAGTTTTTTTTAATACATACAAATAATTTAATTTGATAATAATAATAAGGTTGAAAAAAATAATCAATGCTTAGAAATGGAAACATATTTTACATTTTACATATGTAAATGTACCATTAAAAAGATTTAAGGCTCCTGGTTCCTCATCAATCACGTTGGAATAGTGACATCAGAGGCAAGAAAGCAGAAGTCTCGCCTCTGACGTCAGAATCTAACAATATGCCCGCGGTGAGGATCGAAGAAGCTTAAAATTGAACTTTAAAAAAGAAATATATACCACTGGTGCACGTTGACATGTATTCATGTAGCCTATTATCATGGAATTCGTGGAATGACTCCAGAGAAAATCGCCCAGTCCCTCTTCCGGCGAATAACGTACCGCGATGACGCCGCCGAGTTTCTGTTCGAGTCCGTAGAGAAATTTCGAATCTAAGAGAGAAACGCAAAACGATATTCGTCATTGCTTTGGTTGATCGCCGCGTTATAATTTATGCTAAATCTGCAAAGCACCGATAAAATCTACGTTCATCGCCCGATGCAAACTCGTAGTCGGACAAGAGGTGTTCGAGATAGCTTCGGCAACTGTACGAGCTAACGAGGTGCGCACAAGATGTTCCCCGCAACCTGACGTGCTGGCGCCCACCGAATAAGAGGCATCCTTGCAAGCCCAGGCACCGCAGCCCCACACTCCAGCCTGAAATTTAAAATATAAATCTAAAATCAATTTAAAATATAAATTTAAAATATAAATTTAAAATATATATTTAAAATATAAAATGAAATTTAGAATAATAAACTGAAAAGACTCTGATATGCAAATATAAACTCAGATATAAAAGAGCTATGAATCTCTTTATTCCTGAATTTGTATTTATAAAATGTAGATATATAACAAAAACATCTACATAGAAGATACAATTTCATCAAAATTTTGCAAAACTTATGTTCATGTAATAGTTTCTTGCATATTATACAGATAAGAAACATAACAAATTAATCATACCTGCCCAACTCTTCCAGGATATTTCAGAATTATACCGCCACTCGAGCAAGCCGCAGCAATATTTCCATCATCATCAACACATATTGCACCTACTGTATCCATCCTTTTCTTAGCACACTGTGGCATAATAATATCTAATGTTAATAAATTTTAAATTTTACATCAGAAAAAATAGTTTTTAATTTTTGTACCTTTTGAATCTCCACACTGCAGTCCTCCACTTTTCTTTTATAGTGTTTGTATATTTTCTGAGCTCTTACTAAATGTGATATTAAAATCTTTGATTAATTTGAAAAAATAAGATATTAATAAATTATAAAATTTATATGCAAAGCAATTTTTTATATAAGAAATAAATTTATTAAAATCTAAAAGATTTTAAATAATTAATAATTTACTAAAATCTAAAAAATTTCTTCAGATTACTAATTATGCATACCTGATATTAATTGTTCTGGTGGTAATGTTTGTATGCCCATCTCGTGTGCCCAAATATGCGCACCATCTCCAACTAAAAAGCTAGTATAAGAGATAAAGAAATGTTTATATAGGTATATATATTACATATATAATATAAATAAATATTTATTATAATTTAGAAGAAATGAAATAAACTGTACCTAGGTGGAATTCGACCATATGCAAACTTAATAGATTGCTGTTCACACAAACGCTTCGCCAATATAACTGGATTTTTAATTCCACTAACTGCACCAATCGCACCGTACTGCAAATTAGTGCCATCCATCACACTCGCATCGCATTCTACTGTTCCATTCAAGGTGAGATTTGATCCAAATCCAGCATTTGTCATAGGAGAATCTTCCAGTACCATCACTGTTTCTACCACTGCATCCAATGCATTGCCACTTGATCTCAAACATTGAGCTCCCTTGAAAAGAACGTATAATTACAAGAAACACATTTTTTTAAATAATTTAATTAAGTTATATATAGAATATTGCAAAAATTTTCAATGTTCTTTTAATATTAGAATTTTATAGTCAATTTGGAGATTCTTTTTTAGCAAAAATATTAAGAGAAATCATTGATTTTTTATTACTTTCCAATTTCGTTTTATTTTTGTAAGCTTCAAATTAAATTGAACTTAATTGAAAAATATAACTTTTTTAGTCTTTAAGTATGCAATAAATATTATATAAAATTTGCAAAACGACTCATCTTTTTCTAATTCCATTTATAAACTATCTATATTTAAATATTTTAACTAAAAAAAAATTGTTCTCAAGCCAAAGAATTTGTTATTAAAAAGATATCTGCTGGTTTTGAGCCATTTACATATATAAAAGACTGAATAAATATTAAAGTTAATTAAATTGCTTAAAAATTGTACCACTTTGCATGCTTCGTGACATAACTTTTGATATTTTTCTTTAAGAGATATGGAGTGTTGTCCAGCACCTGACAAAAGAAAAAAATAATTGAGAGCATTGTTAGCAATAATATAAGAGACAATTATAAATTATCACATTTGAATCAATTACATACCCACATGAACAGCAATGAATCCTTGCTTAGTATTACTCATGAGACTAGAGAGTTTCTTTTCTTATTTCCTTTAATCAGATATATTTAATATTTTTAAAGTGCAAAATTCTCATATCTCAGCTGCAAAAATATTTCACCGATACATATATTAAAGCAATCAATATAAAAATTTGCTTATTGTAATAAGTAGGTATGTATTTATATATATATATATTAAGTAATATTTTTAATATCATAAATTCTACTATTTTAGTAAAGATTTTGCTGTTTTATTTAATTAGAAATTATACAATAGGATATAAAAGTCAAGTTAATTTTTTAGATTAACAAAAAAGGTTATAGTTTATTTATCACACGTAATTATTAATTATTATATGGATTTATGTATAGTTACAGATTATCTCAGATTTCGGCGCACATATCGTAAACACATGAGAAGACGCGAAAGTAGAAAAAAAGATAACAAACCCAATGTTACAGAATACCGAATCTCTTTAAAGTGAACTCTTCTCTATTCTCAACACACGGTAATTTAGAATAGAGAAATTGAGCTTCTCGCACTTTATTCTCTCTCTTTTTCTCTTTCTCTCTTATATATATATTACATATATTTATAAAATAAATATTTATGAATAATTCAATTTTGCAAAAAATTATTTGTAACAAATTTCAAAAATATAGTATTACATTTTGGTATCTTGTTTTAATAATTTGAAATTAGAGGAATTTTTCTCTCTACTGTCTATATTTCTATATAAAAATTAAAATTTCTTTGTTATTTGTTATTATAAATTTTAAAAGAATTATTAACAAACAAAATTCTAATTAATATAAATAATTTATTGTTTTTAAAAATTAACTTTTGATTTAACTTATTCAGTTAATTTAATTTTAATTTAACTTTAACTATATATATAACAAGTTTAATTAATTTTTTGTTTGTGTAACTTTTTAACTTAACTAAAATTAATTTTATAAGCAAAACTAACTTTAACTCATCTTAGTTTTAAAAAAATTAATAACTTATTATTCAACCCTGATATTTATAAAATAAATATTCATGAATATAATTTAATTTTGCAAAAAATTATTTCAAAAATATATGGTATATCTAATTTTATATTATTCTCGTTTCAATCATTTGAAATTATTCTCTCTCCACATAAAAAAAAAACATTAACAAAATAAATGTTATTTATAAAACAAATTCTCATGGTTAATCTATGGATAATTTAATTGTGCAAAAAATTCTTCATAAATTTTATTGCAAATATAATATTTTTATTATTTGAATTTTGTGGCTGATTTTTCCTAAAAAAAAAAAAGATTCTAGGGACTTAATTTTTTCTAGTTTCCCGAGCGCAACGCTGGAATTGCTCGACCGACCAATCAGCGTTGCGCGTCCTCATGACGTAGCGACGAGCGCTTGATTGTGATTGATGGGTTCAACTGGGTTGCCTCTCGCGATTTCTAAAGCCTCTTTCACTCGTGTCCCAGCCTTATGAACATATGGTGTCAAATAACGCGGAGTTTTGCCGCTCGCTGGTTATGTTCGAGGCATTTGTCACATTTGTAAAATTAAAATATGTGCCGTGGACAACGAATTGTGGATGGGAAGATTGAATGAGAGGGAATAATAATCGTCGATCGAGGATTAACTCTCGTTAATTTTCTCGTGCTCTTTTGACAGGTAAAGCGCCGACGTTCGCCGAAGTTTTCGGTAAATTAATACCGCGCATATCGCAATATAAAAGGGAGATGTAACCCTAATATTCCAAGAGGAATTATACAGTGGGATTTTTTATTTATTTATGTTCGTTGATAATTTTGCATAAATACGAGCGGATTAATTGGCGAAAAATTCTTTCAGATCGAATATTCATACCTGTATTCGCAAACTTAAAAGGATTTTCAAGAAGTCTGGTGAAAAGGCAGATCAGTGCTCGCACACTTCCTATCTTTGCCTAATTTTGCCAGATATGACGTAAGTATTCTTATTTGGGAGATTGAGAGATTTGCCAGATGATCGATGATGATTCTTCCCTTGTATATTTCCATATTATATTTTATTATATTACTTTATATTATATTACATATTATATTTTTCATTGTTAAATGTGACTGATCTTCAGCTTGAGAAAAATGAAATAAATAATATTTTAAAATATATAAAATGAATTAAGTAAGATAAATAAATTTTGTAATTGTACACGATAACTTATTTAGCACTCAATGTTACCAGATCTCTACATTCTTTTTTTAGGTTGAGCTAGAATAAGCAGTACCGTGAATGTATTGAATGGACAATAATACTTCTCGAGATCTACATCTTTCTCGACAACAACAATGTTATTTGAGTTCTTGAGGAGAATCTTTGGATGGGCGGATGAGCGTTCAAAGCTCAAGAGAAAGGCTTCCGAGGATAACTTTGAAAGGGACTGTTTGACACCGAAGAGATTCAAAAACAGTTGCAACATAGCGCGTCCAATGGAGAATTACTTCGACATCGACGACAGCGACGACGAAGACATTGTATTCCTGAGCGAGCAGAAATGTTCGCCGACGAGGCCCTGTGCCAAGTTGAACGGCACCCACAAGAAGCAACAGCTGCAGTCTTATAATCAATGTCACGCGTCTCCGGTCTACAAACCCGTATGTTCCTCCTTTACGTCGCATCAGGCTATGGATCACAAATCCACCATGGGACATTCGATGCTCAATCATAAGCACAAGGTGCAGAATCACGATCACAAGTGTCCCACGTTATGCAAAACCAATCAGTTGAAGGAGAGACACCAGTACGAGGAGTTACTGCACAATTTTCTTCCAAATAGGATACACATACCGAAGCAAAAGTGTGCAGAGCACACATACATGCACAAGCATATAGAAGTAATCGATTTGGAGAAGCGAGATCCGGAAGCTGTAGCTCCTGCCAATGATAAGATCCGATCTGTCACCACCAATTCTGTTCCTGTTAACATACATCACTGTAACACGTCGTTCCCTTGCAGAGGTAACGCGTCGTCGAGCTACTCCAGATTAGACAAAGCTAAAGTTCCTACTTTAGATCCTAGCAAGAGGGATATTACAAAGGATAAATATTTAGAAGCCATCAGAATGGTTACGAACGACAAGCCCAGTATCATCAGTGCATCAAAGTCTACAACTACACCCAAGTCACCGGTAAAAGTTGTGGCGACCAACTCGTTACGCGAGGAGCTGGCTGCCAAGGCTGTCATGAGGCAGGACTTTATCCCGCAGGTTGCCAAGAGGTACAACGAGCGGATCGAGCAGCGGCACCGGGAGGCTGAGGAGCTGAAAAAGATGACGTGTATCCTGTCAAAGCAGAACAGATACGCGCGAGAGGCAGCTTTGGAAGAACAGCTGGCTCGTTCCATGAGACTCTGTCTAACTGTTCTGGACGACAGGGAGGAACCGGAAGAGCCGGCCTTGCCGACGCTGACGGAGGAGATGATGCGAAAGGTGCGGAACGCTCTCATATCCTGTCCCCCGGACGAAGTTCTCGCGGAAGGCTTCGGTTTGAGGATCACGCGGAAGGACATCCACACCCTGGCCGGCTTGAATTGGCTAAACGACGAGGTGATCAATTTTTACATGAACTTGTTGATCGCCAGAGGTTCGGGCTCCAACAAATATCCCAAAGTACACGCCATGAACACGTTCTTCTATCCGAAACTGCTCTCGGGCGGTCAGGCGTCTCTGAGACGGTGGACTAGGAAGGTGGATATATTCGCCCAGGATCTGATTGTCGTGCCGGTACACCTGGATATTCACTGGTGCATGTCGATAATAGATTTTCGGGACAAGTCTATCGTTTATTACGACAGTATGGGTGGAAACAATCCGAAATGCCTAGTTGCGCTGAAGCAGTATCTGCAGGACGAGAGTCTGGACAAGAAGAAGCAGACTTACGACATGAGCGACTGGACCTTCCAGTCTGCTAAGAATATCCCCCAACAGATGAACGGCAGCGATTGCGGAATGTTCTCCTGCATGTTCGCTGAGTTCGTCTGTGCAAACAAGAAGATCACTTTTACCCAGGACGACATGCCGTATTTTAGGAACAAAATGGTTTACGAGATACTGAAAGGAAAACTTTTCTAAAGGAACGACGGAGAGGCCCAGGTCAAGAAACACTTAGACGATCTGATGTTATCATAGAGAAAAAATGTTTGAAATAAATAATCAATAATAATGTTATATTAAATTAATTATTAAAGAGAGAGAGAGAGGGGCTGGGGAGAGGGAGGGAAAGTAAAAGTCAGCTGTTGTCAAGGATTAAAGAAAAAACATACAAAATTCGTTAAGTTAATTTCTTCAAAGAATATTCTTCTTTTGAAAAGTAAAGTAAGAGAAGGAAAGAGAGATGTCTTTACATTTTATAATTATCATTTCTATTAGTTTTCAAATCAATGCTGTAACAAATTAATATACACATAGATATACATGTATTATACATAAATATACATATATAGATGTGAGTTTTTCCACTGTACAGACAGGAGTCATGGCAATCCATAAGTCTCATTGTTTTTGGCAAATATATTGTTATGGGCAAAAAAAAGAAAAAAATTGTAACATTGTGTTTCATGAATTTTAAATTTATGTCTTGAAAGCCATCTTATTCTACAATTGATCAGACCAAAATTTTGCAATCTCCTGTCCACAACAATATAATTACGCCACTTTCGGTTTGACTTATGTATATTTTTAGCTGTTTCCGAATTAATTTATACGTAAAGCTAAAGTTGTATAGAATAAAAAATCATATTATATTAATACTTTGTTTACATATATATATAATGATTAGTATTCATTGTTTCAAAAGAAATTAATTTTAATGAAGTTTTTTTTTATTTATTATTAAAAAGATACATTATAAAACAATTGCATTATATTGATTTCAAATATAAGATTTTTCATTTCTTGTGGTGTAAGATAATATTTTGTAATAAATATTTATTTTCTTTTTTTTTTTTTAAAGATGAGTACTTCTGTTTTCTTCTTTATTTTAATGATATCAAGTATAAGAAAAAAAGTAATTAAGATATGTATAAAATTAAAACATTTGTTAATTTTTAATTTATAATATAAATCAAAAATAAAAAAAATATAATAATATATATTTTAATATATTAAATATAATATTTATTAAATTATATTTTTAATATATATTAAATATATTAAATATTTATTATATAATATACATTTAATAATATAAAATATATAAAATGTTATTATTTATTAATATTTTAATTTTTTTTTTATAATTAAATTTGATGAATTTTTTAAATTTATTATATTCTTTTATATTTTTTTATTAATTTATATTATATTTTCGTAAATTGACAATAAATTGTAGTAAAGGCGCTCATTCTCAACAGCTGATAACGACACACACACACATATATATATATATATATATATATATATATATATATATATATATATATATATATATATATAGTTTGACAGATAGCGATATGACAGTTCGGGAGTCCTGAGTTCTGTCAGAGTTGGAATTTATTTTGTCGAAGTACATCTTGTAATTAACATTAAATACATAAACGAATGTGTGTTTATTTTATAGAATCGTATGTTTATTATTCCTTATAATCGTAATTTGTCATCATCGAATAGAATTCGTAGATCCTCGAAGAGTTTATTTATTAACCTATGTCTGATACGTTAATATAAAATAAAACAATATAAAATGAGTTCGTACAGCGTAATCACGTCCGGTTTTATAAATGTATCGATCACAAATTCCGGACAAGAATCCTCTTGTGTCGTGGAACGTCGATTTCAGAAAAGTATAACCATAGATGAATTTAAGGTGAGACTTCTCTCTTTTATGTGTATGTGTGTGTGAAAAATATTTATAAATTTTTACAAAATTGCAGGGTAAGTTGGAGCTTCTTACGGGTGGCAACCCAGCTACGATGATTGTTGAAGTCTACGACAAGAATGACAAGCTGGTTTGCAAGTTGGACGAGGGGCAACGTCTCTTGGGATCTTATCCAATTGACGATGGCATGAGAATACATGTAAGCTTGTAGATACAAGAGAATTTGGGTCTTGCTAGAAAAAGTTTCTTCTCCTTCAAACACTTTTTCAAAGTAAAAAGTTTATAAAGAATAATAATATTGCAGGTCATTGATAACTTCTCGTCCACTGCGGAAGACTTGAATAATGTGAAGAAGTTTGAGATATCGGAAGAAGAATATGCTAAGAAGACAGGTACAAACTTTTTTTTTTACAACTTATTTTTTACACAAACTTGCAGGGTTGGGTAATAACTAGTTAATTAGTCAGTTCAAAAGTTAACTTTTAACTTAGCTTACAATTAGTTAATTTAAAATGTATTAATTTTTAACTTCAACTAATTATTTTTTACTTTAAACTTATTAAATTTTTGTTTTTTTTATAAGTTATAAACGGATTACTTTTAAATTAAAGTATTATTAATTTTTATAGAATATAAGTATGCTGTCTTCTAAGCCGGGCAATAGAGCCAAGGAAACGAAACGAAAAATTAATTAAACGGAACTGTATCTCAATTTGAGATCCCAAAGTTCCACATATAAATTAATTTCGAAACTTACATATGGAGAAATAAGCGAGAAAAATATAGGTCCGAAAAGTCGCTGAAGCGGGAATGCCTATTGCCCGGCTTAGAAGGCAGCATACTTATATTCTTTATATTGAGAGCCGATAAAAATATTTATTTCTGAGTTTATTCACGCCTGGGCTAATCACGGCGGTATTTACTAACATCTACTTAAAAAGGCAAATGAAAAATATGGGATCGAAAGGGTCTGAATAGCTTAGTTGGTAAGAGCAGTCGCCCGGAAAGTGAAAGACGCGGGTTCGTTTCCCGCTTCAGCGACTTTTCGGACCTATATTTTTCTCGCTTATTTCTCCATATGTAAGTTTCGAAATTAATTTATATGTGGAACTTTGGGATCTCAAATTGAGATACAGTTCCGTTTAATTAATTTTTCGTTTCGTTTCCTTGGCTCTATTGCCCGGCTTAGAAGGCAGCATACTTATATTCTTTATATTGAGAGCCGATAAAAATATTTATTTCTGAGTTAATTTTTATGTTTATTTGTCAGTAATTGTAAATACCAAAAAATATATTTCTATATAAACAAAATTTCTTTGTTATTTGCTATTATAAATTTTAAAAGAATTAACAAATAAAATTCTAATTTAATATAAATAATGTTTTTAAAAATTAACTTTTGATTCAACTTTAGTTAATTTAATCTTATCTTAACTTTAACTGAGTTAATTTTTTGTTTATGCAACTTTTTATTTAATTTAGATTTAAAAAATAATTTATTTACCCTGCAAGATTGTAAAAAATTATAAGCTTCTATTTAATATTGAATACAGATACTGTTAAGGCGTTCCTGGAGAAGAATAAGCTTGGGAAATATAATGAGGAAGAAATGAAGAAGAAAATGGAGGAAAAGAAACAGGAGGAAGAAGCGGAGGAGCATTTAGCCAGTTTATGTAAAATTGGAGATCGCTGTGAAGTATCTGTTCCAAATCAAGCAAGAAGAAGAGCTACTATCTTATATATCGGTTTGTTGAATTTTAGTACATTTACACATGTACATTCCATAAAAATTATATTATCTGTTTAAATATAATATTCTCATTCTATGACTTTTTATATTATATATGATTTAATCTAATAATGAAAATAATATATATAATAAATATGAAAATATAACATACAATATAATATATAACATAATATATAATTAATATTACATTAAATTATATATATATATATATATATATATATATATATATATATATATATATATAAATAATAAAAAGTAATATTAATAAAATATATATGATATATTATTTTATTATTAGATGAAACCATTTATATATTATTTTTATTATTATAGGTAAAACTGAATTTAGAGAAGGCTGGTGGATTGGCGTTAAATATGACGAACCTCTGGGCAAAAATGATGGAAGGTAAATGTATAATTGAATATTCTGTTCTTTATTGTGATATCAAAATAATAATTTTCTTATTGCGTCATGCTTTTTTACATTGTCGACAGTGTCGGTGGTAAAAGATATTTTGAATGTCCACCAAAATACGGAGGATTCGTGAAGCCGGCGCACGTGAAAGTCGGAGATTTTCCCGAAGAAGACTTTGACTTGAATGAAGAGCTTTAAAAATACCCAGCATTATTCCACTGAATATATCTTTTTATAATTTGTTAATTCTCAAAATGGATACAATTTTATATAAAATAAGCTTTCTTAAATTAATGCTCATAAATTAAGGTCCTCAGTATTTCCTTCGTTTGATTATGTCAGGTCGCCAGTCGATCGGATGTGTCTTTTCAGTCTGCAAATAGATAATGTTAAAAAATAATTCGATAATTATCGTAGATGATTAAATCGCAAGTGTACAGTATAATTATTTATAAAAATTCACTTACCGCAGTATCGTCTTCCTTATACACTTTGATAGTCTTATCAGCCTCCGTCGTAATCATACGAGTGCCCGACATGTCAAACGTGATGCTGAAAATCCCAGCCTCGCTGTCCATCGAGCCGGGTTGAACTGGTGCCTGGAGTCGTTGGAAATTGTAGCCGGTTCTCCAGTCCCAGAGGTGCATGGTCCCGTTGTCAGCGCCGGAGACCAAAACCCCATCGGCATTCACAGCCAGGCAATTGACTATGGCGTTGTGACCGGACAAGTTCTGGATGAACTTGCCCTCCGGACACTTCCACTGCTTGATGTTGTCCGGCGACGCCGAGGCGAACATGTACAGGGAGGGATGGAACGTCAAAGCGCGCACGCTCTTCTTATGATTCGTCAGGGTCGCCCTGGACTTGCCGGCCGCCAGGTCCCAGAGACGTATCGTGCAGTCGTGGCTGCCGGTGATGATCTGCGGCTCGGCGGACTGGCAGATCACGCTCGCCACCGTGTTGGTGTGCCCGACCAAGGTGTGGACGTTCGCCTTCGTCCGCATGTCCCACACTCTGCCTGTAGAATCGCGTCCAGCCGTCACGAGGATGTCTACTGTGGGGTGCAACGCCATGGAGTACACGGCCGAGAGGTGCCCATGGTAGTGTCTGATCACCTTGTTGTATTCGAGATCCCAGCATTTTACCTGACGGTCCTCGCCGCAGGAGAACAGGTAAGGATGCCTCTGGGAGAAGGCAAGGCCGCGGACGCTGCTTATGTGGCCAGTTAAGGAAACCTTTAGTTTTCCACTTGCAAGGTCCCATATCTGAAAAAAAAGTTATTTCTCTTGCAAATTTTCTGTTTTGAAAAACTTTTTAAGTAAAAAATGGCCAAAAGAGCTAGGCACAGTAATTAAAATTTTATTATAATTATAAAATTATCGATATGAATAATGATTTTTGGGTCATCTTCAATGCAATTATAAATTAATAAATAATTTAATATAATCCAGGTAGCAAGCATACGTCATTTGACGTCGAATGACATCATAGACGGCAAAGTGACGTCATTTTGACTTTTCTGTTCTATTTGGGTTGCTACTTGGAAAGTCAATAAAAAACTTAACAAATTATTTGATATTAGTGAAATAATTAATATTTAAATTAATATTATTATTGTAAAATTATTTGTTAAATAATTAATTAGATTAAAAATTTAATAAATTAGAATAAATATTTCAAAACACCAGATACTCACTTTGATTACTCTGTCAGCTGAACCGGTGGCGAACCATTCGTTTCCAGGTTCGACTGCGCAGCATCTTACCCATCCTAGATGACCGCTAATAACTCTATACAATTTCCAAGGTGCATGCCATTTGGGTTTGGCCATTGAAGGTGTTTTCTTCTGGGGCACTGTCAGCGCACTACTACCTGTATTACCTACTCCACCTGTGGTTGTCGCAACTACTGCTGTGCTTCCTTGTGTTATATTGTAAGGAACAACTGCTGAGGTTATATTAGCTTCAAAAGTTTCATCTAGAAGAATATTTTATAAAATGAGTATATAATCACACATACATATATGAAATAAAGACATTTTTTCGATTCTGTCCATATTATATCTATTTTATCTAGATTATATCTATATTATATTACCTCCTGGTGGTGGAGGATCTGCTATGTTGTTTTCTTGCTGTACTTTGACTATGTTATTCTGCTTAACACGTTCCAACACTGGGCCATAGCTGTCTTTCGCTTTTATACCCTTCTTTATTTGCTGTCTGGATTAATGGTGGATTAATTAAAAATTTAATTAAGAAATAATTTGTAGCAATTGTAACTTACAAAACAGGATCCACTGGTGGTAAAGTTCCTTGATTTAATAGAAACATGTCATGAGTCCTTTTTAAAGAACGGAACACTAATGTATGTACAGAATGTCTCTGGACGTCCTGGAATAGAATAATCAATATAAAAATATAATATATAATATTATATAAAATATAATATAAAAATATATAGAATCACAGTATAAAAATTCGTACAAATCTGTATATTTCTATCTATATATTATTAATATATTTATGTATATGCACAATATGCCTATTGTGATATATATTTATATATAATATTTAAAATAATATTAAATCTAATTCAATACACTTCTTACCATCTTTTAACATCAGCTGAATATGTAAGAAATCACAGAGCAAAATATTTGTTTATACAATCACATTCTATATTCTGGACTTCCTTCTATTTCAAGTCAGCTGTTCGAGTCGCTCCCTAAACTAAAAATTCAACATTTCTAGTGATAAAATGGTGACTTGTGATTGATCCTGCCATTTTGTCCCAAATAATTTTTTTTAATCGACCAATCAGAGCGAAGACCTCTATTTCCTGATTGGTCGGTCGAAGCGAGAGATGTTTCCCGATCTACATATTTTATGATATCGATGGCGCATCAGATTCTGACGTCACTCGTGCTGACGGTTTGAATTCAAAAAGGTGTAACGGCGTGTGTTTCTGAATGTCGAAGTTGCATAGTGATGCATGTTTGGGTTTCTTTCGTGCAATAAAAACCGATACTCCTCGCAAAAAGATCCAGGTAGGTGCATCAGGATGATTTTAGAATCAATTAATTAATTAATTTTGACAGTTCAATATTTTTCCACAGGGAATAAAAACAATAACAACAACGTATAACGAGATGGCTGAGCAACCCGAGTGGGAGGCTATCGAGCAGAAGATGTGCCTGAAATTCAGGCAGGCGCTCAAGGAACTGCAGCGGGTCTGGGAGGACATCGGCTGCACCAGGGAGACACGTCAGATGTATTACGAGCAGGCCCACAATCACATAAATGATCTGTTGAATGACATGGTAGCGGAGTCCCAGACAAAAAAGCAGCTGTTGCTGGATAGTATAAAGGATCTGTTGAAGCAGACGAGTGTCCTGGCTGCAGAGCTGCATCTGGAGTTCGAGCCCAAGAGCTACGATCAGATCCCCTGAGCGAGGTGGAGCAGATGTTGCGCAGCGAGATGCAGGATCTGGAACACATGAAGGAGGAGCGGATGATGATGCTGAAGGAGTTGCTGGCAAAGGAGGAGGAGCTCTGCAAGAAGCTCGGCGTCAAAAAGGTCAACATCACCGTAGATGTTTTGCCTACGAAGCAGGAACTCGAGAGTTTCAAGCTGTTTCTGCAGAAACAGGAGAACGAGAAAGTACGTTTGGAGAGTGTCTTCATGGATATACGTCGTCACATAATCAGGATGATGGACGAGGTGGATGTATCCCCATCCACGTCGTTCCAGCAGTTAATCTGTGAGAATCCAGAGGAGTTTGTGCTCAGCGCACATAACATGACAAAGTTGAGAGAGTTCAGAGATGAGTTGAATGTGCAAGTGGAGGAAACGAAAGGCCGTGTTGAGAAGATGAAAAGAGATCTGATGGCTTTGTGGAAGTATCTTGATGAACCTGCTGACGTTTGCCAAATGTTCCTTGAGAGGTATTCCGATTACAGCAGCAACACTATAAATGCCCTGAGTGCGGAGATCAAGCGGTGCAAGGAGAGTAGAAAGGAGAACATCTTCAAATACGTGACGCAGATCAGATTGGAATTGATGAACCTCTGGGATTTATGTAGATACTGCGAAGCGGAGAGGAACACATTTGCCCCTTTTCACTCCAACACATTCACAGAGGATCTTCTGACGTTGCACGAATGGAAGTGGATAGACTTCGCAAATTTTACAACGATAATCAAACGATATTCGAGCTTCTGGAGCAGCGCGAAAACCTCATAATGAAGATAAAGGAGATACTTCAACGCGCGAACAATCCGGATCGCTATCACAATCGGGGAGGCCAGTTGCTGATGGAGGAGAAAGAGCGAAAGGTGATACAGAAGAAATTACCCAAGATAGAGGCTGAGTTGCAGCAACTGATAAACGAATACGAGGCCAGACACAATCAGGTGTTCACCATTTACGGCACGTCCTTGGAGAATGTTTTGGCAGAGACTTGGGAGAGCATCAACCATGAAAAGGAGACGATAAAGAAGGCGAGGAAGGAAGCGAAGGACAAGTCCATCAAGAAGTCGCCCTTGAACAGTTCCAAGAAGACCCCGGGCATGTCCCATCTCAGCATTCACCGGGGCCCGACCCCGCTGTCGAAGCGCAAACTCTTCAGTCCTTCCCCGAACTCGTCCATCAAGCGCAGGAATAAGAACGGCGAGAAGATTAAGCCCACTGTAAGCGCGTCTAAGATCAGAAGAAGCGGAAGGATTCCCAGGAGCGTTCCACAGAGGACCCACAGATCCCCAAGAGTGGGCAGAAGAGGAAGCAATCCACGTCACCTACCCACAGCATCACGGATACGACTTACAATCAGTTCCAGGGTCATATGACGGAAAGGGAGGAGCTCCACAGCTCGATGCTGCCGGAGCAGATCCTGAAGAGCTCCAACAGAGCCAATGTCAACAAGACACCCATAGTGCGGACACCCATGAAGCCTCTGAGGAAGAACCTTGGCGTCTCCACGACGCCTGTAGGTCGCGGTTCCGCGCGAAAAGCACCTCACAGTCCGCACAGAATTAATAGCACGCCGAAATTGGCGACAGCACCGAGCAATTTGCCCTTTATTTTTTAGATAAGATTAAAAAGAAGCTCTCGACTTTCTATAATAAACTCTTTTTTTCTGCGAGAACGACTTGGAAGCAACTGATTTAACGAAGTCTCTCCTCTATGTAAGATTAAAATTCTGCTGTTGGAAGATCTTTATTTATGTATGTGCACATATACAGTACAAAAACGTATGCAATTGATATTAGTTTAAACTATTTTTATTACTGATATATATAGCGTATAATTAGTTTAACTTAATTATAATTAATTTGTTATACTGCTAGATTAAGAAAGCATTTTATTTTCTCATGATACTTTCCTTCGATTCGAATAGGAATGTAGTTTGATGGAGAAAAAATATATATATATATGTATAGTCTTTTGTAAAAAAATTAAAAGTAATTAATTTATAAAAACTGAGCTAAAAAAAAGAAAATGGAATAATAGGACAAAAAAATTTTTTTCTGCATTATTTTATAACTATAGATGATTAACTGCATAAGATTTTTTTACGATTTTTTTTTGTTATAAAATGTAGTAAAATATTTTTACACGTGTAATCAAAAGTAATTATTTGCGTTTTGATGTAAATTAAATGTAATATTTTTAAATATAAAAATTACTTTTACGAATACCGATCGTAGATCAAATTTACAGCGCTATCTGAAGTTTGACGTCAGAATTAAAAAAAAAGGTTGGGGTTAGATTTTAGAGTGAGACTTGCTTCAGAACAGAAGGGTGATTTCTGCTTCTGTTTATAATTCTTTACATAAAAATTATCGTTATAACATTAACTGTTGAGAAACGCAGGGAGGAGGGAAAATGGGGGATATTAAATCCTTTTTCCATCAATGGTGCGCAAAAAATGGCAAAGAACCACAATTTGACGTTCGACCAACAGGTAAAAACATCGTTCCGTGAAATGAATGGTTAATTAATTAATTATTCAGCATTAACAATTTAGTATAGATTAATTCTTCGATTTTATTAATCCTTTTGTCAACGAATTTCGGCTACCCCAAAAAAGGAGCCAAAGTGACTTTAAATAATAAATATTTGTATAAATTTAACGTATAAGACGGGCAACAAGAGCCAAATCGCGGATGACAATGCGTTATCCTAACGAAACTAAATAATTTTTCGTTAGAATTAAATACCGGTGCACAAGGCACCAAATTTTTACTTGGACACGGCCAAGATTTTAAATATGAAATAATCTCATATTTTGAGATTTAATTTCAATACCCCTTTAACCCACCTACGGAAAATAAATAAATGAATGCAAGAGAAAAATATAGATCCGAAAATCGCTGAATCGGGAATAAATATTTGATTTAAATCTTTTAATTATTCAATCATTTTGATTTGTTAGAAAATTAAAATGATTGGCCAAGTATTCAAAAACACGTTTGTTGCGTCTGGCATTTATATATATATTTATATATGTATAATATTAACTATATATATTTAAATGTTTAGTTATATATAATATATATATATATATATATATATATATATATAATATTTATATAAGTATATTTTATATATATAAATTTATATATAAAAATAATATATATTTTATATTTATCCTAGTTTTTTACATCAGTTTTTTCAACCTATGACTCATCGAGGAATTAAATGGACTATACACTTGTATCTTCCACAGGGCCGAAGCATAGACAACGTTTCCTCTGTGAGTTGCGAGTCCCCGGGTTCGACTATGTTGGTGCAGGAAACTCAACGAACAAGAAAGACGCCCAGGGAAATGCAGCAAAGGATTACGTCAACTACTTAGTTCGTACGGATCGTGTGAATCCCAACGATGTGCCCAGAGACAACACGACGGTGCCTTCGGGCGCGATGGTCGGACCCGACAACTACAACAAGCCGGACACTTCGATGCCGATAAAATCAGTATTCCAAGGCGGCATGGGTCCCAACGACATCGGCCAGGCCTACAGGCCTTACAACGAGCATGGCCAGAACAATTACACGTACATGGACCGACTGGCCGATCAGAAGAGGGTGGAGGACGCCGAGGACGTGGATGTGAATTCCGGGATACATGGAAACTGGACGATAGAAAACGCCAAGTCCAAGCTCCATCAATTCATGCAAACTAACAAAATTAATGCTGATTACAAGTATACCCCGGTCGGTCCGGATCACACGAGGTATGGAGACGGAGTCTCTCTCTAGCACAATTGGATTGGCGTTTTACTGATGCAGCGATATAGTTCATTTTATGTGTATTTTATATATATGCATTTGTACTCTTTGTTATTTTTTTCTTAAACAATCGCTCGCCGATTGTTGGTACCATTTGAACTTTAATAAGGCCATTTTGGAGTATATTGTTTGCTCACACATCTAAAGCTGGTGCAAGAGAGTAATTATCGACTCTCTTGTACACAGATGACGATGGCATTGAACCAAAACTTTTATTAAACTGATATTTAATAATGGTTTTGGTGCGACCAAACAAAGAAACTCCTCTCAATGTACTCCAATATGGTCGTCTGTAACATCTTCAAATGGTAAGTCATTGTTATTCTTTGCGATTAATTGGGGGAACAAGTAGAAGGACAGTAAACTTTGAAAGAGATTTTTTGATTGCGAAGAATTAATTGAAATGCTTTATATAATTTTATGAGAAATTATTTGATGTTTCTTTCACACTTGTTCCCTTAATTATTAAATGCATTGATGATACATTATTGTTGCATAATTGCACATAGTTTATAATATTTGTAATAAGGATGATCTTTTTGACAGGAGTTTTATGGCAGAGATGTCAATTTATGTCAAACAACTTGGACGAAGTATGTTGATTATTTTATTTATTGTTGAAATATATCTAGTTATTATAAAATCACATCTAATGCTTTGATTTATGCTTCAGGTATAACTGGTCGTGAAACTGGATCGAATAAACAAACAGCGTCTAAAAGCTGCGCTTTGTCTATTGTTCGTCAATTATACCATTTAGGTGTTATTGAACCATTCAGCGGTACATTAAAAAAGAATAAAGATGCTGAGCAAATGAAACCTTATCCCGTGAAAATTTCACCAGAACTGGAAAGTCAGATTCAGGAAGTTCTAATGAGTTTGGATATAATACCAATTGATATTCAACAGGTAATTTTTTTCGTCATTTAACATATATTGCAAGAATCAATTTTAAATTAGATTTATTGTATTGATTCATAAATAGCTTTATTTTATTTAATAAACTAAATTTATATTAAATTTATTATATTATTTATTATATTAAATGTATTAAATTTATTATATTATAATGTGAATACTTATTTAGTCAGCTCTTTTGATTTTTAAAGCCACAATCTCCACTTGATTCCTCTCGACCAATAGAGCCAAACGCGATGTTATTGCGATAATTATGAAGGAAAGAACATTTTGGAAAGGAATTTGAATCCTATGGTTGGGATCTCAGAAATTCCCCCTGTTCCTTTTCTTAACATCCCCTGTAAAGAAATAGGCGAGAAAATTCTGAGATCCCAACCATAGGATTCAAATTCCTTTCCAAAATGTTCTTTCCTTCATAATTATCGCAATAACATCGCGTTTGGCTCTATTGGTCGAGAGGAATCAAGTGGAGATTGTGGCTTTATTATATTATATTTATTATATTGTATTAATTATTAAATTTATTATATTACTTATTATACATTAAATTTATTATATTACTTATTATATATTAAATTTATTATATTACTTATTATATTAAATATTTAAAATTATTTACAAATTGAAAAATATAAATTAAATTAAAAATAAAATATAATAAATCTGATAAAATAGAATATAAAATAATTAAATATAGTATAAAAATAAAAAAAATGAAATATTTGTTTATATAGCCACCACCTGTGATCAAAGAGGAAAATAACGCAGCTGCCGGCGTGTCCTTGTTGACGAATCAAGTCCTGGACGATTTCATATCCTCGGTGCCGCAGCCAGCCGGCGTGGTGAGCTGGTCGCCACCTCAGCCGAACTGGAATCCATGGACCGGGTGTAACATTGACGAGGGCCCGTTGGCCTCGACCTCTCTGGACCAGCTGTCGGAGGATCTGATGAACGAGCAGCGCGACAAGCTGCAGCAGGACTCGAGTTTGCAGGCCAGCATCAAGGAGAGATCCAAGCTGCCCGTGTTCGCCAAGAAGAACGAGATCATGAACGCGATCAACGAGAACCCGATCATCATCATCCGCGGTAACACGGGATGCGGCAAGACCACTCAGGTCTGCCAGTTCATCCTGGACGACTACATCGCGTCCGGCCAGGGCGCCTACTGCAGCATCGTCGTCACCCAACCGAGGAGAATCTCGGCGGTGTCGGTGGCCGACCGGGTCGCCATCGAGCGATGCGAGACCCTGGGCCAATCGATCGGGTATTCCGTAAGATTCGAGTCCTGTCTACCGCGGCCCTACGCCAGCGTCATGTTCTGCACCGTGGGTGTGCTCCTGAGGAAGCTCGAGGGCGGTCTCAGAGGCGTCTCGCACGTCATCGTCGATGAGATCCACGAGCGAGACGTCAACTCGGACTTTATCATGGTCGTCCTCAGAGACATGATCCACCTCTATCCCGACCTCCGGATCATCCTCATGTCGGCTACGATCGACACGAGCCTCTTCAGCGAGTACTTCAACAATTGCCCCGTCGTGGAGGTCCCGGGCAGGGCGTATCCCGTGCAGCAGTACTTTCTGGAGGACTGTATACAGCTGACGAATTTCATCCCGCCGACAATGTCCGGGAAACGCAAGTCCAGGGACTCGGACGAGCTGCCCACGGCTGATGGAGAGCCGGAGGAGAACCTGAACAAGGTCATAGATAACGGCTATTCCGCCGAGACCAGGAACTCGATGGGGCAGCTGACGGAAAAGGAGATCAGCTTCGAGCTGATAGAGGCTCTGCTGACCTACATTAAGAGGCGGGAGATCCCGGGCGCGGTGCTGATCTTTTTACCCGGTTGGAACCTGATTTTCGCTCTAATGAAGCACTTTCAGCAGCACCCGGTCTTCGGCGGATCCTCCTATCTTATTATTCCGCTGCACTCGCAGCTGCCCAGGGAGGATCAGCGCAAGGTCTTCGACCCCGTGCCGCCCACCGTGACGAAGATTATCCTGTCGACGAACATCGCCGAGACTTCGATCACGATCAATGACGTCGTCTACGTCATAGACTCCTGCAAGGCGAAAATGAAGCTGTTCACGTCCCACAATAATATGACCAATTACGCGACCGTCTGGGCTAGCAAGACGAATCTGGAGCAACGAAAGGGTCGAGCGGGTCGCGTCAGGCCGGGCTTCTGCTTCCACTTGTGCTCGAAGGCCCGGTTTAACAGGATGGACGAGCACATGACGCCGGAGATGTTCAGGACGCCTCTGCACGAGCTGGCGTTGAGCATCAAATTGCTGAGACTGGGCAACATCGGCCAGTTCCTATCGAAAGCGATCGAGCCGCCTCCCATCGACGCTGTGATCGAAGCGGAAGTGGTATTAAGAGGTATTTCTAAAGTTTTTTTTTATACAGGATGCGACAAAAAATTATATGGCTTCGAGGGAGACATAGTGGCAAAGACCTCGGATAGTCGTTTAAAGGTCGCACGAAGGTCACTGTCAATTTCTAACTAGAACTTACTATTTTTCATTGCTACTTATAAAACCAAGAGAAATTGAAAATGACCTTCATGTGATTTTCACATGACCTTCACATGAGAAATCACTTTCCTAAATATGTCTTGGTTACAGAAATGAAATGCTTGGACAAGAACGACGAGTTGACACCTCTCGGCAAGATCCTGGCCCGTTTGCCGATAGAGCCGCGCCTGGGGAAGATGATGATCCTGGGCTGCATGTTTCGCGTGGGCGACGCGCTCTCGACGATGGCGGCGAACAGCACCACCTTCCCGGAGGTGTACAACATGGGTCCGGACGTGAGGAGGCTCACCGCCCAGCAGAAGTGGTTCGCCGGGGCGAGATACAGCGACCACGTGGCGATGTTTCACGCCTTCCAGGCTTGGGAGGAGGCGAGGACCGGCGGCGAATGGGCGGAGCAGGCTTTCTGCGAGTCCAAGAACCTGAGTCTGCCGACTTTGCGAATAACGTGGGAAGCCAAGGTTGGTGATTATCGCTCATTATCGTTGTTCCGTCTATTTTCTGCTTTATGACCTTGATTTGACCTTGTTTGTGTCTTGCCACGCTAGAATCAGCTGCAGGCGCTGCTACAGAGCGCTGGCTTCCCCGAAGAGACCCTCTGCCCGACTCCGTTGAACTACCAGGCCGGTTCGGATCCGCGTTTGGACACCATCACCGCATTGCTGTGCATGGGCCTCTATCCGAACGTGTGCTTCCACAAGGAGAAGCGGAAGGTCCTCACCACGGAGTCCAAGGCCGCGTTGATCCACAAGACGTCGGTGAACTGCAGTAACTTCGAGCAAAACTTTCCCTTCCCATTCTTCGTATTCGGCGAGAAAGTAAGGGACACATTCTCTTCGTGAAACTACGTCTTTCTAACTCCTCGTTTCCTTCAGATTCGTACGAGAGCCGTGTCTTGCAAACAAATGACCATGGTGTCGCCCATCCATTTGCTGCTGTTCGGATCCCGGAAAGTGGAATACGTGGACGGTATGATTAGGTTGGATAACTGGATCAATTTAGACATGAATCCGCAGCACGCGGCGTCCATAGTCGCCCTACGACCTGCGCTGGAGAGCCTCGTGGTCAGGGCATCTAAGGACCCGGAAACGATTTTGGAGTTGAATCCCACCGAGGAAAAGGTATCTAGACTCAAAATCAAAAATAATAATAATATCTCTTTTGTATTTCATATATTTATCCGTAAAAATATTAACTAAAACATTATTTATCTATACAAATATATAGGGTGTCTCATTTTAATCGATGACCCCTAAGTTTTTTTATTTTTGATCGTACAATAAAATGTTTCAAACAAAAATTGTTTGATTTGAAGGAGAACAGAGGATGGTACTACAGACTTTTTTAAGGGCGTTTCTCAAGATCATTTGAAGGTCAATTATGGCTTTTAAATAAAACCACTATATTTTTTTGATACAAATCACTGAAAAGCATCTTTTGAAAAAAAGTCTGTATATAAAAGTTTATTAATAAAAATAACATCTATAAAAATAAATTTTATAATAATAATTATGATAATTAATAATAATAAACTTTAGTGTTTATATAATAATAATACTATCTTTTAATGATAGTATACCGAGATAAAAAAGGATCTTAGAATAATATATACTCTTTCGATATGAATGATCATAGTATTATTTGACGATGGTGTGCTAAACTAAAAAATAAAAACGCACATTTTCATCCCAGGTGCTGAGCGTGATCAAGTCTTTGTGCAGCATGAACGCCTGTCGTCACGAATTGGAGCCGATTACTGGCGGCAGTTTCCAGTCGCGTCGTCCACCTAGGGAGCACCCGACCGGTTTTCACTCCAATCATGGATCCCCCGCGAAATTGATGCGCGGAAACGGCGGCTATCGCGGATCACTGTTCACCAACAGCAATAATTACAGAAGTGGCGGTAGCGGCGGCGCTTTCGGAGGTGGTAACAACAGCGGTTACAGCGGAGGATATAGAGGAGGCTACAACAACAGGGGATACGGGGGTTCGCGAGGAGGTCGCAGAGGAAACTGGAGCGGCGGCGACGGATTTCGCGGTCGCTATTAACTAATTTTTATTTTACGACATTGATATATCGATCGTTATCACTATAAATTATATATATAATCTAGAATTATATTTAGATATAGAAATTATACAGGGTGTAGGCGGAAATCGTGGCGTACAAGAAAAATGATCTCGACAAGAAGAAATGCGATTTTTTTATTATCGTACAAATGTGGAATGCAATTTTTTTCATACAATATATATGCTTAGAGTTTTTCAAGATTTTAGGTCTTCTTGTACGGAAAAATTTCATTCTACATTCTTCTTGATTGATATGAGGAATATATACGTCCTAATACACCTTATATATTAATATATTAATATATCAAAATATGGCGTATAGTTGATATGAGTGAATCAGCTGGTATCAGCTTAAGATTGTAATCTCGATATTATACAAATGATGTTTATATGTGGTCCAAAACTTTTTTTTAATTCATCGTTTATTGTATCGTGTACAGCAATGGTGATTATAAATAAATTTACGACATGCTCGTCTCGCATATATCCACATAATTGTAGAATTTTGAACAATATAGTAATCAGAAATAGTAAAAAATAGTATTTAGATAAAATTTGTAAAAAATATTAAATAAAAAATAGTAAAATAATATAGATAAAATTAGTAAAAATAAATAAAAAAATAGTATTAGATTAAATTGGTGAAAAATAATAGTAAAATATAATATAGTAGACAAAAAAATAGTATTAGATAAAAAATTAGTAAAAAATAGTATTGGATAAAGAGACATATTTTCTTTTCTCATTCATGGATTCGATGAATTTTTAATCGATGCGAATCCGATAACAAAGGCTCACGTCCCGTAAATCCGAGCGATCAGCTGATTGTCAAATCAACTGTCAAGCGCGCGCGCGCAAGCGTCGAGTGACGTCTCGCGGCCCTCTACCGGAAATGAACCGAGAGTAGACGATATCACTTACGGATAGAGATGTCGCGGATCTATTTTTCGAACACGTATCGCGGTCACGAAGGGCACAGCAGGTTGTCGACGAAAAAAATGGCGAAAAGAATCCGCGCGACACGAGAATTTTGACGTTTCGGTTTTGACATTTCCTCACCCGAATCGGAGTGAACTGGTCACATTTCCAAAGAGAGAGGGAGAGCGAGATAGACATATCATATATCTATTATCCCACTCGACTATCATCTATATCTATAGGTGTGTTCGACCACCAGGAGAAGAAAAAAAAAGTGATATGGTTGCGAAACGTCACGCGCGTAATCGTTGATTGATGATCCAAGGTTGAGGAGGCTGAATGAGCAGCAGAATAAGAAGATAAGGAGCTAAGATAAACGAGATAATGAGACATCATCTTCGTCGTTCGGTAGCGAAACGTCACGAGTTGTAGTGGTGTCCCCGTGCTGAACCTTGAACCTGGACGTTTAGGATCGAGCCAGAGGTTATAGGCATAGTTATGCGCCTCGTGAGCGTTGCTCGAGGCAGATCGAGCCGTGTCTGGCAGCTCCGACGAGGTGCCCAGATGTGCGACGCGTCGAGTGACAGTTTGACAGTTCGGGGATGCGCGCTTCTAGGAAGTCACCCTCTTTATTAAAGTCGACTCGTCGCTAGTGCTCCTTTTAACTGGCTGTGAAGAAAAGTGCGCAACCTAACTCTATCGCGTCCAAAGAGTTGAGTATTTCACCCAGGAGCGAGGTCCTCTTCAAAGAATCCTTCTATTTTATTATATTTTATTTATTTTTTATTTAATTATATTTAATTATATTTAATTTAATTTAATTTAATTTTATTTTATTTATTTTATTTTATTTTATTATACTTAATTTAATTTTATCTTATCATATTTTATCTTATTTTATTATATGTAATTTAATTTAATTTTATTATATTTTATTTTATTTAATTTTATATTTTATTTTATTATATTTTATAGTCATAATTTTTTGGACTTGAGTAGTTTAATGTGTCAGTGATAAAGCTCTTTGTGATCAGAGTATATTGATATATGTATATATGTATGTATGTGTATATATATACACATATATATGTCTACAGATTGGAATAGAGCCAACAGTGATGATAAAGCTTCTTTGGTTGCACAAATTGTATTATTGCAATGCTATATAAGACTAAATTTTTGTCTGCGTTACTTCCACAGGTACATAGATATAGGATATATAAAACACTGATCAAGATGGATCAAGAAACGGTCTATGGCACGCATGAGGATAGTCATGTTGTCATGTCGGAGAAGGTTCAGTCTCTGGCAGGCAGCATCTATCAGGAGTTTGAGAAGATGATAGCTAGATACGATGAGGATGTAGTGAAAGACTTGATGCCTCTGCTAGTCAATGTATTGGAGTGTCTGGATATATCTTATACCGAGAATCAAGAGAGGGAAGTCGAACTGGAGTTGTTGAGAGAAGACAATGAGCAGCTCGTCACCCAGTACGAAAGAGAGAAACAATTGAGAAAAGCATCGGATCAGGTAATCCTTTTTTTTTTAAATAGCATCTTTAGAATCTATAAAATGTCGTTCTAAGATAATAATGCAACTATATTTGTGTCAGAAACTCCTCGAACTGGAAGATATATCTGAGGATGAAAGGAAGGAGCTTTTGTCGAAAATTGATAGCCTGGAATCTATTGTAAGAATGCTGGAACTGAAGACTAAAAACTCCCACGATCACGGTACAAATGCCATTGGCGTTTCCAGTCTACCCATTCACAGTTCTTCCCTTTACAGTAGAGTAGAAGATTTTATTCTTTTTTTTGGTTTTTGTTTTTTGTTTTGTATTATATATATGTTCTGCTGCGGGGGCTAAAAATGTAGGGTACAAATTTATTTTCTTATTTGCATTATTTTTTTACTGTTATATTATTTCTTATATTATTTTTCATGTGATTATTTATAGTATTTATCGTTATATAAGGCTTCACGATAATTGTACATTTTATAGTATTCTTTATATAGGGTGTCCCATAGAAAATTGCTGAAACTAATCAGATGTCATTTTTTAATATTAAAAAGGAAAGCCTGCAGTTTTTTAATAGATATAAATAAAATGTTTGTACACCAGTTTATTTTATTGATAAAAAGTAATGAAAAAAGTGTTAATAATCACATAAAATCACATAAAACTGATAATAAATATTTTGAACAATGCCCGATTTAATAGCAGCTATGAAAAGGATCGTCAATAACATTAAAAATGATATGTTAGAAAAAGTTTTTACGAATTTTTGTAAAAGAACAGAATTTTGTACAAATTTAAATGGTGTGCACTGATTATTAGCACTTTTTCATTTTTTTCAATAAAATAAACTGATATATAAACAATTTTTATTTATACACAATTTATACACAATTTTTGTTTTCTCAATAACTGCATTAAAAAATCTCAGCAATATTCTATGGGATACCTTGTAATAGTTTCCATGTGATTATTTATAGTAACGCTATAATTATACATTTTATAGTATTCTTCATAGTATCTACGATAAAAATGATTGCTCTTCATTGAAAATAAGCTATGTCAAATCGTTTAAGTAAAAACTTGCGTTGCTTCTTGATTCTGTCGTCTATTGCTTGCGCCAGTTGTTTACTCGTCCCTAAAATATGGAGTACATTCTGTGTTTGCATTAAAAAAAATGACTCCATATGTACAGATTACGCTTTGCATTACATCTTCATGTTCCTCTTGCAGTTGGCCGGTTGGAGGAGAAGGAAGCCGAGTTGAAGCGCGAGTATTCCAGACTGCACGACAGATACACGGAACTGTTCAAGACCCACGTCGATTACATGGAGAGGACGAAGATGTTGGTAGGCAGTACGGAAAGACTGGAAAGCGTGTCCACGAGTCGTGCGCCTTCGCGACTACCTTCCTTGGGTCTCGCCCATATGTCGCGCAGTTCCGGGCCGCTCAGCTACGGCTTCCAGAGCTTGGAGGCGAGCATGAGCGCCGAAGACGTTCAGGAGGACATGGTCGTGTCGAACGCGGCCAACTTGAGAACCGAGATGCTGGACAGCAGCAGCGAAGCAGCCATTGAAACCTCTGACAAGAGTCAGCTGACTGATCAACCGATGCAGGAGAACAAGACTACGGCTATATCTAGACGTATGTTGTGTATGTTTGATTTCATATTTTCTTGCGGAAGATTCTCCCGCTGACTCCAAGTTTCTAAGAGTACACATATGTCTCCGCAGACGAGAGTCCGGAAACGGAACTGCCGCCCACTTTGATGACACCAACCACCCCGACCGCTGGCATCGAGAAGCTGGCGACTACACCTGGAGGTAGAAGCAGAACCGAGAGGGAGCAACGAAGCGGCAATACGCTCTACCAGGAGTTGAGTTTCCAGGACGCTGACGCTCTGGGCGAGATGGACGAGGGCGCCGACATCACCGGTATTACATGCATACATATTGCAGGGAAGGGTGGGGAAGAGGAAAAGGACATTCTCACCTTAATTGTCAATTCCTTCTGTCCATGAATGGGTGCGGAAGCAACTTTTAATGTTAAAAAAATGGTAGAAATCTTCTAAAATCTGATGGGAAAGAGATCCAATGCCTAAGCAGTGGCTTTAAAAAAATTGTTGGTACCCATCCATTGATGAAAATGAACAATTATGACATTGACGGAAGGTTTGAAGTTTTTTTTTTTGCAAGACTAAACCTATTCATTCGTCATTTCAGGAAGCTTGGTACATCCTGGTGAATACGCTTCATCAGGTATGCATATTCATTATATACATATTCTAAAAATTCATACATATGTATATACAAGGTGTGCCAAAAGTCCTACAATAGTCAAATATCTTGGAAATGAAAATTTCTTGAAAAAATGTTTCAAATAAAAGTTTTAGTGCTTTTTAAATTGTGCATTAAATAGTAATGTTAGTGTGATTATAAATAGCAATGTAAAATTTACTTTGAAATTTTTTAATGGAAATCCCTATTTTTGATCGCATATTCTTATCTCAAAAGCTTTTTAAAACACTATAATAAAGTATTTCTTCATTCAGTGCTTTTTGAATTATACTACTTGAGGTTTATAGTATTCTGACATAAAATACAAAAATCTTGTAAAATATTTAGTTTTTAATCTTAATACTTTTATACATAAAATAATTATTAGAAAAATCAATTGGAGTAACAAAAACGTATAATTACTTTTAAGAAAATGTATACCATTTGCAATATATTTTTTCTTGAAAACAATTATGTGTCTTCTTTACATCAATTGATTTATCTAATTATTTTATGCATAAAAGTCTTAAGATAAGATTATCAAAAATAGAATGTTTTATAAGATATTTTGTGTTTTATGTCAAAATACTGTATTTTTCAAGCCTCAAAATACTTAACAGAAAAAAATCTTTATTATGTTTTGAAAAATTCTTAAAATAAACTACATGAATATGCAATCAAAATAGAGGTTTCACATAAAAATTTTAAATTGAATTTTAACAATGCTATTTATAATCACACTAATATTATTAACTTTTATTTCAAACATTTTGAATTATTTTAAGTTATTTAACTGTTGTAGGACTTGGAACACCCTGTATATATTATATATTCGTTCGCTCATTCATCTTTTTCTTTAAGTTAACAATTTCCTCAACTTATATTTGTGTTTTATTTGCCTCCCCGTTCTATGCTGGTTCGTGTCACACTTGCAATGCGCATGAAACTAACTTATGCAGTCAATGACAACTTCTTTGGTAAGATATATGCTAGTGATAATACTTTGTCATATAATATGCATATTTTTTTAAATTATCAATATAAAATTAGATCTGTGGATAAAATATTATCCTTAAACATGCTTCTCATATAATATCAATCTCATATAATACCAATAATTATATTATTGATATAAATTAATAAATATAATTTGGATATAAATGTATATTGTTTATCGTAAAACATTTTTTTCCAATTCTCTCTATTTATATAATTATATAAAACAAATTTTAAATTATAGAAAATATTTAATCTATTTAGTTTTTGAACTTATTGGTTTTTTATACCAATAAATTCAAAAATGTTATATATATTTATCAATTCTCTATTTTTTTCCAGGTATGGGGAAAGAAGTGGAAAATCTTATTATGGAAAACAATGAATTGCTAGCAACCAAGTAAGCCACTTTATATATTAATGCAGTAATGTAATCTTTATATGTTAAGAAACTATCTAACATGAGGTCGCTTTTTTACAGAAACGCGCTTAATGTTGTGAAAGATGACCTAATTGTCAAAGTGGACGAATTGACTAGGTAAGCTGAAGAATTCATATTTTATTTCATGGATATTGATATATAATTTTTAAACATTAAAAAATATATATATTGTATATTTATTATTAAATATATTTATTATTTAAAAAATATATTTTTTAGCGAGCAAGAGATATTGCGAGAAGAGGTTCGAGGTTTACAGCAGGCGCGGGAACGATTGCGGCAACGAATCGCCGCCCTCGAGGAGGAGCTGAAGAAGGCGAAAGAGGAAGCGGAAGCGGCGGCCAAAGCGACGAAGAGCGACGACGAGGAGGACGTGCCTCTGTCCCAGAGGAAGCGGTTTACGCGAGTGGAGATGGCGAGGGTGCTCATGGAACGTAATCAGTACAAGGAACGCTTCATCGAACTTCAAGACGCCGTCAGGTGGACGGAGATGATAAGAGCCAGCAAAACCGTCCCTTCCAGCATCTCGGGTGGAAAGGGAGGTTCCGTCTGGAAGTTGTACGTAGTTGTTGAGCCGAAAAATCGACCCTTCTGTCGATGAACAGATACCTGGGAGCAACTTTCTGGCTCCTCGCTGATCATGTTGGAATTGTGACGTCAGAGACGAGAAAGCACACGATGATCGACTGTCAAGGGAATAATTATAATATAATATTAATAAATATTGATATAAATATATTAATATATATATATATATATATATATATATATAAATATGTATATAAATATTAATATAAATATTAACATAAATATTAATATTAATGTAATATTAATTAATATTATATTATAATATATGTTATATGTAGTTTTCGGTATTTTAAGATGCGCTAAAGCCATCTGAAATTGTGTTTTATTAAAAAGTATCTTTTTATTTAAAAATGGCACGTAAGAATTTTCAGCGCGTATTTTCTCGCTTCTGACGTCACAATCTGACATGGCTCGAGGATCCAGGAGCCTTAAATGTTGAAACATGTCTACTAGCAGCGGTTATAAGAAAATTGTCGCAGTATAACATGCAATTGGTACCTATACATCGACGAAGAGGTGAAAGATTGTATGTTAGATAGAAGGAGGCGAAGGAGGGAATTAATTCGCGCGTCGTTTTCGTTCCAGTTTTAGCAATCTCTTCACAGGCCCGGCCGATCGAGGGACACTGGTGCGTTCCGCGCACACATTACCTCACGTAAGGTACAGCGCACCGGCGAATCAGGTCGTCCCGGCGCCGCCCTTGGATGCCATGCGTAGACGTACGTTGAAAAGTCGCCAAGATTTTCTCGACCAAGGAGACACCATGTGAGAAATCAATCAAATTTTACTACATGCACGTAGATAGATATATATATGTATATGTATGTGTGTATATATACATATATATGTATATATGTACATCGACGTAATACATCGAAAGATCTGCCTGTCTCATCTATTAATTTTTAATTTATTATTTGGATTCTTTTTTTCTTTTACACATTTTATGTATATATTTTTCTATCTGGTCATTTTTTCGTTTGAGGCTCTTGGGTCTTCACGGTCATGTTAGACTGTGACGTCAGAGAAAGCACACGTTGAAAGTTCTTAGATGCTATTTTTAAATGAAAAGATTTTTCGAAGAGTGACATCTAAGAATTTAAGCGTCTCTGACGTCACAATTCCAACGTGATCTGCCAGCAGCTTTAATTAGTTTATTCTTTTTTTCCAAGAATAATTTATTTCTCTCGCGAATATGAGAATTTTTAACGTTGATAATTTTTAATTGTAATGACAAGTGCGGGAGAAAGGAAAAAAAAGGTAATGTTATTTATATAAATTTATATGCGGGGTAGAATTAATCGAAATGAAAAGGAACTTTTGACATATATAATCTTCTGAATTGCTCATCTTTGCAGATTAGAATCCTCTTTGGTCAGTTGGGATCCGTAATCATGTCACGATTCACGGTATTAGTCTCAATTGCACTAAAGAGACGTGTGAGTTTTTTCTGAATAATGTAATTTACGCAGCATTGATGTATTAACCAATATTTGCTTTGTGAGCGAATCTGGCCCACTGTTAACAAGCATCTTGTCAAATTTTTATTGAAGTTTTGCTACATCAAAATTGAATGAAATAGCGCATCGTTTTATAAGAAGATAAATATTTCGTTCTTTTTCTTTTTTTTTGTGGTTATTTATATATTTATTTTTACATTTAAATCCCTATCAAGAATTCGTTGAATGAAATCTCCATCAAATTTTAGCATGATTTGTATATATATATTATACCATGATGTAAACATGATTGCTCATATAAGAGTGCAAGAACTTTGCACTAGATTTAAGCCATTAGATAGATTTATCAACTTTTCTCGTCAGTAAAGTGTTTAAAGGATAAAAGAGAGAGAGAATAACATATACATATAACTTTGTAAATACAAGTTTGTACAATTCTTTTGGAGAAATAATAATAATAATATATGCGATCGATTATTGATCGACAAGAAAATAAAATGAAGTTTTGATTACGTTATAAAACTTGGCCTTTATTTCACTCTGGTTACTGCGCTTTTGGTCTCTTTTTGTTGTTGTTCGGGTTACGTGGTTCCTTGCCTCTCCCTCGTGGCGTTGTCAAGAGATACCTGGTTTTTCTGGCTTCGGGTGGGGTGCTTATTGGTCAGCAGGTAAATCTGTTCCGCTAACACTACTCTTCCACCCTAATAGCACACCATATCCGAGAAGACATTCAGAGGATATCCTCGGGATGTTCTCCGAATGTCTTCGGGATATGTGTGCTGTTAGGGTGACTACTTCCGCTTCATGAGACTAGAAGAAGCATATACAAAAGATAGATATACCCAATTAGATCCTAACAATATATGTATATGCGTTAATGACGAATTCTGCAAGAATGCGACTCGAGTATCTATCTGGCTGCGAAGGTGGAACCGAAATCTGAGGTTGTGTACGATGTCTGCTGAAAGATGCTGTGAATTGTACGGTCAAAATCAACGCGGAAAGTCGCAGTCAGTTTGCTAAGAACTCGTGAAACTAAGTTTCGACCCCTTCTTTTCTGTATTTTTCGTCTTCGGGCGTGTGAACGATTTTGTTAAGGGTACGATATCTTCGTCTCGTCTTTCCAGATCGTCCGAGAAGCTCGTAGCGAGACGCGCGAACGAACGGAGGGAGCAGTATCGCCAGGTGCGGGCGCACGTCAAGAAGGAGGACGGTCGTTTGCAGGCTTACGGATGGAGCTTGCCCGGGAAGCCTAGCGCCCCCGTCAGACAACCACCTGTTCCGGTCCCTGTGTACTGTCGACCTCTTCAGGAAACAGAACCGGGGATGAAGGTACGCGACTTTCTTCCTCGTTGTTAAGCTGGAAGACTCTGCGCATTAATTTAGTGGAAAATGGATGATTTTGGGGGATATTTGTTGCACTTTAAGGCATTTTTTCATCAAAAGATGTAATAGCTTCAAAGTTAAATAATGGATAATGAGTTACTGAGTTAAAGTTAGTCTAACTAACTTTGAGTCTATTACATTTTTTTTTGTTCAGCGGATTATAAGTTACAATATGTGAGAAAACTAATTAATCTGATCAAGATTTTACCAAGATTATGTTCTTACCAAATTAGATCTTGGTAAGATCAGCTGGCAGCTTGTGACTTGCTGATCAAAAGATGCAATAGCATCAAAGCTAAGTAATGCATAATTATTAAGTTACATCCAGTCAAACAGCTCGCAAAGCATGTTTTTCATGTTTGACTGGTTGTAGCTTACTTAGCTTAACCATTTTTGAACCATCAACTGGATTTACATTCTGATCTGGGTAAGATCAGCTTTTGTAGCTTATGACCTGCTGATCAAAAGATGTAAGAGTCTCAAAGTTAATAGTGAACATTTACTTAATGTGTGTACACTATTAACTTTGAGACTCTTACATCTTTTGATCAGCAGGTCATAAGCTACAAAAGCTGATCTTACCCAGATCAGAATGTAAATCCAGTTGATGGTTCAAAAATGGTTGGTTTAAATCTAATGTCAATTAGATTATATTTTTTTGCATTTTTTTAAATATTGTATGAAGAATTATGTAAATAAAAAGTTGACAAAGTTGACACTTTTTATTTACATAATTCTTCATACAATATTTAAAAAAAATGCAAAAAAATATAATTCTACATTAACTAACCACAGCCATTTCTATTTTAATCAGATCTGGTGCGGCGCCGGTGTGAATCTGAGCAGCGGCAAGACGCGCGACGGCGGCTGCATGGTCGGCGGGAGCGTGTTCTACGCCGCCGAGGCCCAGGAGACGACGGGGGTCGGGAGTGGCGTGAGGGCGGAGGCCGAGGACGCGGTCGAGCACCTGGACAAGGAGCTCCAGGAAAGCGAGAGTCGGCGTCTCGAGGCGGAACGGTGGGAGCAGCAACTGAGCTCGCTTGTCTGGATCTGCACCTCGACCCAGAAGATGTCCAAGGTCACCGTGATCGATGCGAACAATCCCGCGGACATTCTTGAGGTGTTCAACGTTTGCCAGGGACACCTGCTCTGCATCGCGAGCGTGCCCGGCGCCAAGGAGAGCGACTACGCGCAGGCCACCTCCTCGAGCGAAGACTTTGTGAACGGCTCGACGAACGACAGCGAGAACAACAATGGCGCCCCGGGCTACGAGGACATCACGAACGCGAACGAAAAGGTGGGGAACGCGGGCGACGGCCAGAAGAGTCATCAGGAGGTCGTCGAGGTCGCGAATGACAATAGCCTGAGGAACGAATCCGGCGTTCAGTCGGAGGACCAGGCGAACGAGAATGTTGAGAAAGTCGCGGAGACGGATCAGAATTCCATGACGAACGAGCCCCAGAGTCTGGAGAGCGTGGACAGCGAGACCGCGAACCTGGGGAAGGTGCACTTTGTACGAAGCAACGTGGAGACGCAGCCCTCGCGACTGAACGACAAGGATACTGTGAACGAGGAGGCGAAAGAGGAGGCCGCCGAGGAGACGCCCATCGAGAAGATGTCCTCCGTGCAACCCACCATGTGGCTTGGAGCCCAGAATGGCGCGGTTTTCGTCCACTCGGCCGTTGCCAAGTGGTCGGTGTGCTTGCATTCCGTGAAACTCAAGGACGCGGCGTTAGCCATCGTGTACGTAGTCCTTTGAATAGATTTGAGTATCGTACACACAAAGGATTTCGCACCAAATACATAGGATTTTTATTTTTAGTGGAATTGGCTTTTTTTTAATTTTTTAATTTTTTAATTTTTTTTCATATATTGTTGCTTATGTCTTGTTGAACAAAAGATGTAACAGACTCAAAGCTGAATATTAGATATTTATTAAGTTACAACTAGTCAAATAACTTGTAGAGCTCAAGTTTTTCATATTTGATTGGCTGTAAATCAGTAAGCATCTATTATTTAGCTTATAATTTACAAAAAATGTAATAGGCTCAAAACTAAATAATAAAGCTACAGCTAAGCTACGACATATGAAAAAAAAACAACTAAAAAACCAAAATCCTATGTATTTACTTGCATCTTCCACCGATGAGAGATTAAAGGAAAGTCTCTTTTTCCCAATTAGACACGTCCAAGGCCGAGTTCTGGTCGCTTTGGCTGATGGAACTGTGGCGATATTCCGTAGAGGCGCGGACGGACAGTGGGATCTGTCGCAGTACCACGTGATTACTCTTGGCAGCCCTCAACACTCCATCAGATGCATGACCGCGGTCAGCGGCAAAACCGTGTGGTGCGGATATAGAAACAAGATCCATGTGATCGATCCCATCTCGATGACGCTTGAGGTATAAGAGATCTTAACATAATTTATCATCAACATTAATATTATAATATGAAAATAAATGTAATTATACTATACAAATATTATATTAATATTATAACATCAACATTGATATTATAATACTATATGAAAATAAGAAAAAAGATAAGGGGATTCTGGATTCTACACTAATAAAATGTTCACTTTCAGTGCACGGTGGACGCGCATCCTCGCAGAGAGTCCCAGGTAAGGCAGCTGGCGTGGCTGGGCGACGGTGTGTGGATCAGCATCAGGTTGGACTCAACGTTAAGGCTCTATCACGCTCACACCTATCAGCATCTCCAGGACGTGGACATAGAACCGTACGTCAGCAAGATGCTGGGGACGGGGAAGCTGGGATTTTCCTTCGTGCGCATCACCGCTCTGCTTATTTCCTCGAACAGGCTGTGGATCGGCACCGGAAACGGAGTGATCATCTCGGTCCCGCTGTCAGAGAGTGAGTCTAAATCAACCAGTCCGAGTCAGATATATCTTGAGGACTCATCTCGACACTCTTTAACACCCATGAAATTTTTATATAAGTATTATATAATTAGATTATAATTATATTATTATTAAACGCCGTTTCAGGTGCGGGCGGTTCAATGGCGGTGACCAGAGTCCAAACCGGAAGCAGTAAAGGCGATGCGCCTGGGGTCGGAGTCAGGATCTTCGCCTCGGAACGAGGCGTCACACCAGGTAGCTTCATACCCTATTGCAGTATGGCTCATGCCCAGCTCAGTTTTCACGGACACAGAGATGCCGTCAAGATGTTCGTCGCTGTACCCGGTAAGCTGCTTCAAATAGAGATCAGTATAGTCAATCTTATTATATTTTTATATTATAATTTTATTATATTATTATTTTATTTTATTAGATTTTATTATTGTATTATATTTATTATATTTATTATATTTTATTTTATTATATTTTTTATTTATTATATTATATTTTATTATATATAGATTTTTCTTTAACTATTCTATCAAGATGTAATGACAATTTCTTTATAACAATTGGGAAAGGAAGATCCCACACAATCCTTATGGATATTGATAGAATTGGCAAGTTTTTTCATAAGTTGTAGCTTATAGTCTGCTGAACAAAAGATGTAATGGCCTCAGAGCTACACTAATCCTATATAAAGTTGAATTTTTGTAAGATTCACTGGTTTTCTTGCAGCTTATGATTCGCTAAACAAAGAAATATAATGGGTTTAAAACCAAATAATGGAGAGTTACTGATTTATAGCTAGTCAAACAAAATATTTGGACTCTGCGAGTTGTTTAACTCAGTAATTGTCCATTATTTAGCTTTGAAGCTGTTACATCTTTTGTTCAGCAGATCACAAGCTATGAAAAAACTAGCCAATTTCGAAATTCAATTTTATAAGGATTGAGGGGTCTTTATAAATTAACGAAAGGGTTAAAAATAATTTTTTTTAAATCAAATCCTTTTTCTTAGGTCATGGTGGTCAAAGCGCGGTGACGGATGGGACGCAACCAGCGATGCTAGTTCTTTCCGGTGGTGAGGGTTACATCGACTTCAGGGTCGGTGAGTAAATTTTTGCTCGATGAGGTATATTTTCATGTGTTAACTGTAAACCTTAAATAAAATCCAACCGTAGCGTGAAAGATGGAGTGAACTCTCTTATCTTTTGTCGTGCGGAAAAATCAGTAAGGATTCTCGAATCACGACTCTCCGACTTAGGAGATAATAGAGATTATTGTAATAATTTCAGCGGATGAAGCTGAAGACGAGAGTGATGTGGCAACACACCTAATTGTGTGGCAAATGGTCAGGTATGCCCCCCAGAGAGAAGCAAGAAGAGTTTGATCGATCCTTCTTCTGTGTTTCAATTTAAAGCATCTTAGCATTTCTTTATTCTATTCTGATAAAAGTGTCATGTCATTAATTCGCGGACGCATCCTTTACTAACAGAGAACGAATGTTTTCTACTGTTGCACGACACAACAAAATTTGACTAACAATAGGCATCTCTGTAATCTCTTATACATTCATGTAAATTACTGTGGGATACATATAAGTTTATATATTTGTCATAGCACATAATGTTGAAGATTGAATTCGTAAGAAGAAGTCTGTCGGTAGAAAATTTAGAATTTCTAACACAATTTTCCAATCTCTCGCTTCTCTTGTTAAATTGAAGAAAGATAATGAATCTAGCACTCTTTTATGCAATTGTAAATCATGCATTACTTCTTTTATTCTCTGGGGGTTGGGCTTTTCCATCTGTCATATATGTACAAATAATGTCACCACTCATGCCTGTTCTCTCCTTTATAGTTCGTTTTTTTATTCCCTCTTATAAGACTTCAATTGCTCTTCTACAGGTGATGGAGAAGAGACGGAGGAGGGTATGGACCGATCGAACGCCACGGTCAACAATGGTGCGGAGGAGCATGGAGAGCAGAGTCATCTGATTGTGTGGCAAGTGCAGTGTCCCTTACCGATGCCAATGAATGGCTAGCCTACAGAGCAAGTGGATAATTTAGCTTTGTGGAGAACTTTATCAATGGATCATCGATGGATCAAATATTGTGAATCATTGATATTCACTGCGAACTAATGTGCTACACCTACATCTAGATATGCACATCATATATATATATATATATACATATATATATATATATATATATATATATATATAATATTTATATGTTATATATAATATTTATGTATAATATTTATACAACATATTATATAATAGGTATATAGTATATATTATATATATATATATATATATATATAATATTTATACAATATATTATATATAATATCTATATATTACATATATACATATATATATATATATATAAATCATAGCAAAATTATGTTAATAATTCAAGATAAATATCACAATTTTTCGTATCACGAAGCAGAGATGACGATTTTTTCCGAGTCGGTTCAGTTATCTTCTGATTCTGAAAAAGAGGCGAAAGCTCGCTATGTGATGATTTTTGCATATATGCATATACAAATTAGAAAAAAAAATCTATATAAATTCTATCAATATATACAATCTGGAAAATCTCATACAGTTTCAAAATACAAAATCTCTCACTTCTCTTGTTAAATAATCGTAAAAATCTCTGAAATTTGCATACGTATGCAATCGAATGCGACTTATATAATAGAATCGAATGATTTAATTAATACTTGTTGAAAGATTTCTCTCTCTCTCTCTCTCGCGATGAGTGTTCATTTTCAAAATCATATCACGTTTTGCGTGATGGATCAATAGAGAAAAATAGGGCGTTATTTTTCTGCCGATAATTGTGATAATATGTGAAGGCGATATATATATATATATATATATATATATATATATATATATACATATAATTGTAGGATGCGAGATGAGTTCTTCGAAGTGCTACCGTGTAAACATTTGCTACATTGCTGCAATAAATCTTTGTTTCAAGTCCTTATTCGCGCATGTATGTACCTGTCCAAGACAGGCAGAATATCTCGCCGTTTATATACAACAAGGAATATATATATATATAAGGTGCATGCAAGTCTCAGGCAGTCCTCTTTAGATATCTAGTAATTTTTTTAATTTCTCGTCGGAGAGAATATATTATTTTCCTGACTTAGATCAATTTTATTCGCGTACATCGTGTCGTCGAACGTATAATATAATGATAATAATAATTATATAATGATAATGATAATAATTTATATATATAATATATATTCCTCTCTTCTATCTCACCCTGGGACTTCTGGGTCCTCGCTATCTTTTCATTGAAAAATGGCATCTAAGATTATTTACAGCGTATTTACTCGCTTCTGACATCACAATTCTAACATGATCAGCGAGGAGCCAGGAACGTCTTAAATCGTGAAGCGTAGAATTTTTCTGCAAGTTCACACGATTCATTAGGAATGCGACTCATCAATGATGTAAATAATTATAAGATATTTATATAGCGGCCCCCCATGTATGTAGATTATTCGTTATTTAATTTTGTCGGAGTCGTTTTGTCTAAAAGACCTGTTTTCTTTCTCTTTCTCTCTCTTTCTCTCTTTCTATATATATATATATATATATATATATATATATATATTCTTGCAACTTTATAAGTCCAAAACTCTCTTTAGTGCGCTACCAAAGAAGTGGAACGATGATCCAATTAAGTTTACATAATTTACAACAACGAGGATTATGCTTCGAACGCGTTCTTGTTTTTTCTTTTTACGCTCTCCCGAGTTGCATCGAGTAAAATACTAACATATAATATATATGTATATGGATTATTGATACAATTTTTGTAAAATCGCCATTTCATCCCGATCCTGATCTATTTAGGATACGTGCAATAAGAGAGCTACGCACTGTCGCGCGAGCTGGCTTTTAATGTCGAGCTCGGAACTTGTACCTGGCTCAGGTGGCGTTGTATAACGGCATTAATATTAATAAACGAAAAAGTTTACGGAGCTAAAAATCTCATCGCGATTTATAGTCACCCGAATTCCTTCCATCGAGTTGAACATGTGCGAAAGATGGGCCTAAATTGCGCTTTTCTATCAAATGTATAATATTTATCATTTTTATTTATATTTATATGTATATATATATGTACAGGGTGTTATCCCTTCTTCTTAAAAAAATCATCAAATCCTTTTCAAGGACGCAGATTCTCTCTGGTCCAATTTAGAATCGATTTTTTTTCTTAACAAAAATGTCTGTCAAAGATCTTATATAAATTTTCAATTTTTACCATATATTTTTCTAAATTAAAATTCTATATTATATTAAATTATATTAAAATCAAATGGTAATTTAATTGCTCAAAAATTTGCGCTAAGACAAGAAACCATTTCCAGAGAAGCTGCTTGAAAGGATATCTAGTGGTTTTAAAACATCCTGTGTGTATATCAGATTAAAATATGTAGCAGAATTTACAATCTATTTTTTTAGATTTTTAATCTTAATTTTAAATTATTTTACTATCATCAATTTAAAAAAAACTTCAAGAAAGATGTATGTATGTATATATATATGTATTAATGATGCATTGATGTTAATGTTATATTGTACTCTATTTCCTTGAACTATTTTTAAACTTTAGTAGAGCGATTGAAGGCTTCGCAAGGAACGTGAAGTTGTAATTTTATTAAACAAAATATCATTCAGAAAACTGTCAAACATTCGTTTAAAGTTTATTTGTTTATATTTGTGGACGAGATTTAGTTATATATAATGTTTGTATATAATGAAACATTTTTGACGAACAATATGATGTGTTCTTGATATAATTTGATTATAAAGGTATATTATATATATATATATATATATATATATATATATATATATATATATATTTTTAAGTATATTATATTTTATTATTTGAAATATTTACGTTTCTTTTTTCTATTTGCCTCATTAAAATCACATCTCTTTTTCCAAAATACGAATATGCATAAAAAAAGCATAAGAAAAATTAAATAATTTTTCTTTAGATGTAAATTGTATATCACATATAATTGTATATATATATTTTTTACTTATTGTATTTTATATTTTTATATTTTATTTAATTACATATTTTATATATTATTTTATTATTGTATTTTATATCCTTATATTTTATTTAATTACATATTTTATATATTATTTTATTATTTTATTATTATATTTTACATCATTATATTTTAATTTAGGTTATTTTATTATTAGATTTTATATCCTTATATTTTGTTTAGGTATATATTTTATCCTTATATTTTTTATTTATATATTTTATATATTATTTTATTATTTTATTTTAATTTATATTATTCTATTATTATATTTTATATTCTTATTATATTTATTTATTTATATATATTTTATCTTTATATTCTAATTTATATTATTTTATTATTATATTTTAGATCCTTATATTTTAATTTGTATTATTTTATTATTATATTTTATATCCTTATATTTTAATTTATATTATTTTATTATTATCTTTTATATCCTTATATTTTAATTTACATTATTTTATAATTATATTTTATTTATTTATATATTTTATATATTATTTTATTATTATATTTATATATTCTCTATTATTATAGATAAATATACAAAATTCAAAATCTTTCCCGCGAGAGCTGAAGGATGCCGAAGGTGTGTTCGGGCTTGGTCCAGCTATTCCGAGCGATCCCGCGTCGACGTGACGTCACCGACGTCGCTTCCCACCCGTCCGTCATTCACATTCTCCGCCGTCATTCGCGCGGACGTGATAAAAGGTCGCCGCAGTCGACGCCGGCCAGTTACATCCATCCACGTCGTCGCGAGGAGACGCCGGGAAACGCGTTTGTTCATTATTACAAGAATTTGCAAGGCCGAGAGAGATCAACTGTCAAGATGTCTTGCCCGGCGAGAGATCCGGCATCGGAGCAGCTGAACAATTACAAGAAGAATATGAAGGTAAGAAATTTCTATTGCATCGTACGTATTACATATGTGTGCGTTACAGCGGCGCTCAAACGAGTTATTCTTGTTTACACGCATATTTCGATTCAAAGGAATGAAAAATAGAAATGAAAACAAAAATTATTTTACATTTATTCGCATCTCCGGATCACGATTCTGTCAGTCTGCGTACTTTCGACTTTTGAATTGTTGTTAATAATATTTGTGTCACCTTGCACGAAATTAACATGTGTGTAGTAGATAATTATCCAAAGGCAGAGTGACTCGGCTACTTTGTAACTGATTGTAATTGCGTGCTATTGATTACATTAAAAAATGTATAGATATCTTTTAATATAGAAATACGAATTAAAGCGAAGTGAAAAAATTTATCTTCGTTTATTCAAGAAAATATTTATCTAAAAATTGGGTTTTTTACCATATTTCACATTTTTTAATTATATTTTCTTTTATTTTATTATATTTATTATATTTTTTTATTATGTTTTTTTATTATATTTTCTATTTATTATATATTTATATATGTAATTTATATATATATATTTAGAATATATTTTAAAAATATGTATTATATGTATATAAGTATTTTTAGAATATATTATTATATATTTAGAAATAAAATAAAAACACATACTTTTAACTTGGGATTTTGTTATTAAGTTTTAAATTATTTTAAGTATAAAAATATAAAAAATTGAATAATATAATTCAATAATATATGTTTATTTAAAGAAAAAAGTTTTAATTTTAAAAATAGAATTCTCAATGTCTTGAATATGACATTTTTTCATTACTTTTTGCCATATAATTGCACTAACATGCATAGATGCATTAAAAAGTAGGCGACAGTTTCATTACATAAAATCGTAATCGTGCAAATTATTATTTGCTATAGGTTGTTTATATACTAACACGAATATAAAAATTCTATTTGTATATATATCCTAAGTGAAAGTTTCTTTTAATGGTTATCGTAAAAACTTTATCTTTTATCCAGGAAAAATATATATAAATCAGCTATAAATATATGTAATTATAAAATATATGTTCATTATTTATTTTATGTTTATTACTTATAAATAAACCATAATTATAAATAAAATATTTTCTTTCTCTTGTATATAATTTTAGTCTGTATGTGTTACAGGAAAAATAAGAATAATTTAAAAATAATGAGAAGAATAATTGTTTGCATTATTGTTTTGGAAAAAAAGTAAAATTTGAATAAGTGTGAAAAAATTTTTTTAAATTAAAAATTTTACTTTTTCAAAAAGAAAAAAGAATCCTTTACACACAGAAATTATATAAGAGAAAGGAAACTTTTATGGACTTATATAATATATGCAATTATATATTTATATTTGATTATCTATGGATACATTTTTTTCATGATAATACATTTATGATGATTATAAAATATCTACTCGATGTGTACAATTATTTTAAATTTCAAATTGTTATATTTGAAATATTTATTTACATATTTATAATTACTTTAAAGTTAAATTTAGCAAAACCTGCTTCTACTTTTTAATTCTAAAAGACCTCTGAAACGTTTAAATATTCAATAAGAAAAAAAATGTCTCTCTCACCTGTTAAAAATGCTCAGTCACCGACTCTATTTTAGTAGAATATCCTGTATGGACATTCAAATGATTAAGTTAATGATTCACAAAATTGAAAACAAAGTTATAAGTCGGTTTTTGTTTTCAAAAGAGATAAAGTTAAAAAAAAAAATTATTGCAAAAATTAGTTTTTTATTATTTTCTTGTACATACAGATAGAAATTATAGGAAAGAAAACATGGGACACATTATAAAATGTGTATATAAATACAATTATAATTATACTATGTATATATATTTATATTTCATTAGATTCTGATGTGTAGAATTTTTTCCGAAATTAAAATTATAAATTATAAATAACATTTATGATGATTATAAAATTGCAATCATTCTAAAATTTAAAATTGAGCAAGTAACTTTAATTTTTCAGTAAATAACTTTAATTTTGAAGTAAATAATTTTAATTTTTTGACCAAATTCATAAATTTTATAATCATGATTTTTTATATTTATGCAACACACAGATTTCTATTATTGCAATGAATTTTATTATCAATTCAGATAAAATTCGGAGCAAAATATTGTACAAACATATAATTTATAATCTCTTTGATAACTCTCTCTCTCTCTCAATTGCATCGTAAAAAAACCTTGTCCGCATTCAACTTAATGGAAACTTGTAACACTGGATTCTAATATTAGTTTCTACATCATATTAACGCGCACTATCAAAGATAAAAAAGTATGTACGATATGATAAGAATGGAAATCCACCCATATGCTTAAAAAAATTGCGAAATTCAAGTGATACAGATATAAGAATATTTGATAGGCTTCTTTTTTTATTTTCTAATAACTAATATATATATATATATATATATATATATATATATATATATATAAGAAAAATAAAAACTACACCAAAATTATTCTGTCAATTTTACAAAAAAATATATCACAATTAAAACTGCACTTTGTAACTTGAGCATTAAATTTTTTTAGAGCATTTCTTTATTTGAATAGAATTATTTAAATTTTAGATGCTTTTTCTCGTGTAAAAAATTCTTATTTCAGTTGTTACATTCTTTTGTAAAAATCTTTGAAATTAGTTTTATTTATAAAACTGTATTATATAAGAATATTTGATACACTTATTTTGTTTTTATTTTCTAATATATAAGAAAAATAAAAATTACATCAAAATTATTCTGTCGATTTTATAAAAAATCTATCACAATTAAAACTTCACTTTGTAACTCGAGCAATAAATATTTTTTATAGCAATAGAATTATTTAAATTTTGCTTTTTCTCACGCAAGATTTTTATTTCAACTGTGGCATTTTTTGTAAAAATCTTTGAAATTAGTTCTATTTATAAAACTGTATTTTATGTAATTAATGAATACTTATTTGGCATTTTTGTCCTTTTCTGCTTTTTTTTCTAAAAGAAATCCGTCCTCGACATCGTCTCAGTCAAAGAATTTATTGTTCGAGAAGAATTCGAGGAGAACTCGAGAGTTGTATAGAATCTTAAATCACACACATTATTGTGATTTATCGCAACAACGCACTTTAGATTTTTCTCGATACGTCGCAATCTCTCTCCGTGGTTAGCCTACAAACATATTTACAAAAAAAGTCACAGAGCTTTATCTGTCATACGTCACTTCGGAGCCGATGATTAAAAGCCGTATTTGCATATTTTTTATTTGTCACTTCTCAATCGAAGATGATTTGTTTTGCTCGCTAAATTATATATATATATATTTTAATACACATATATCAGTCGAAAATAACTAACTTAACCGATTATGTCATAACATGGCGTGATGAGTGCAGATAAATTATGGATAAGTTAAATATCGCTTTTATTCTCGATGAGTGACATTTTTATGTAACCGCATTTATCAGATCGGGCAAATTAAAAAATGTTCGATATTAAATTGCTTATCTCGTTTGACAGATGATAATATCGGGGGGAACGAACAATTATATAATATATATTTTTATAATATTATATAATATAAATATAATATAATATATATTTTTATACTATAAAATAAATATTTTTTTATAATATAATGTAAATATAATATAAATATAATATAAATATAATACAATATAATATAATATATATTTTTATAATATAATATAAAATATGTGTGTATGCACGCATGTACATATAAAATATCCCATACAGCACCGATAGATTGCAAAAACATCACAACAATCTTTCACCGCAATATTACAATATTGCAAATTCACTGCAAAATGTTGCTACATCATTGCTGTTGAATTGCAGCAATATTAAAATGTCCGCTTTTTGGAAGATTGCAACAAAATATTACAACAATATTGCAATAAATTAATATTAATGTTATTAATAAAATTATTGATTATCGTTAACATCTTTTATTGTACAATATTGCAAAAAATTATTTTATTACAGTATTATACCCAGCAAATACCAAGTTACAGTTATATAATTGTTAGTTGTAATTTTCCACTCAACAATATAATTGTTATAATACACGTATTATATTTTTGAGTGGAAAATTACAACTAACAAATTATTAGCATATTATATAGCTGTAACTTGGTGTTTGCTGGGTATATGTATATATATTACAATATATAAATTATAGAATTTGGATTACATGCAATATTTCCGAAATATTAATGTCATGTTGTTACAAGTGTGCTGGAATTTTGTGCACCTATATCTCTGCAATGTCTTTATAATGTTGCATTGCAACTTGCAACATTGCAACGTTGCTGCAATATAATTGCAATAATCTGTGCTGTATGGGATCATCTATATAATTTTGTAAGATATAATATAATATATATAATATATAAAAATATACATATAATTATACATAAATATTGTTTTACGTGAAATTTTTATTTAGAGCATTTAAAAAAATCTATTCGCAAACTGATTTACATGTCGAAGGAGTTGGCAACAAGTGGTGCCGAGTGCACTGACAATAATAAGAGTCGATTTGAAGATAAATTATGCGCTGTGTCATGTTGAACGCAAAGTTCCCAGGCGATTCGACGCAGCGAAGAGGCGTGTTGCTTCGCAAAAAGAAAAAACGAAGTAGTAGTCGATGCAATACATGTATGTAAATTAACTGTGGCATCCCGTTAATCAACCTGCGTAGAAGTAGAAATCGTATCGTGCGTCTATCTCTTATTGTATTGCGACTTAAAATGGTAAAGAAAATCTTCGATTTTGATAAATAAGCGTAAATCTAGAAAACATTATTATATAAATATTTTATTCAATATTTTTATTATATATAAAACTCTAAACCTTAAAATGGAAGACCCTGTATTATATATATAAATTTTATTATTAAACTTATTTTATTTTATTTTATTATTAATATTAAATATATACTATTACTTATTACTATAATGTATTTAATATATAATTATATATAAATATTGTGTTAAAAAGTAACGCAAAAATTAATTGTAACAATTTCAGTTGCAAGAAAAAATTATAACGTTTTCTATATAATAATCATATTTTATAACAGCCTTTCAATTTTTAAATAATTAGTATCTATTTTAGAAGTCATCGTAGAATTGTGAGAATTTGAATAACGATGTGAAAAAAGAGACGATATTTAGATATTAAAAATATATTTGGGGACATAAATTTAGAAATTATTTTAGAAAATTATTATCACAACATCTGCTTGCGATGTGTAACTTTTGTGCAATATAATTTTCGCAATTAATATCCGTCTATTTTGATATCAAATCAGTTATTTGCCAATTTTTTATTAATATAGTTTCCGCAGTAATTGTTTATCCGATAGAAAACTTTAATTTAAGTAAAGATAATTCTCGCGATGATATCAGTATATTTTCGATATAAATCAGTTATTTGCCAATTTTTTTCTATCAATAACTTTCACAGTAATTGCTTGATGGCAGGAAAACTTTCTAATTCAAAGAAAAACAAGTATTGATAACAAACAAAGTGATTATGATTATTAGCTCTTCAGTAGGTATAATTGCCATAACAAGACGTCGAAGTGGGTTTTAAACAGGGTTGGATAATAACTAGTTAATTAGTTAAAAATTAAAAAAAAATTAAAAAGTTAATAACTTTTAGCTTAGTTAATTTCAAATGTATTAATTTTTAATTTAATTTTATTAATTCTTTTCCTAAGTTAAATTTTTTTTATTTCTAAATACCATTATTATTTTTTTTTACAAGTTATAAACGTATTATTTTTAAATTAAATTATTCTTAATTTTTACGTTCATTTTTATCATCAATTGTAATTACTCAAAAATATATTTCTATATAAAAATCAAAATTTTCTTGTTATTTTAAATTTAAAAGAATTAACAAACAAAATTCTAATTTAATATAAATAATGTTTTTGGAAATTAACTTTTGATTTAACTTCAGTTAATTTAATCTTAACTTCAACTGAGTTCATTTTTGTTCGTGCATCTTTTAACTTAATTAAATTAATTTTATAAGCAATTAACTTTAACTTAACTTAATTAAAAAAAATCATTAACTTACCCAAGCCTGAGTTTAAAGATGATTAGATATGATTTCGAAAGAGTTATTTATACAAGGATGATTCTTTGCACACTTTTATATATTGATCAACGGATATGAGATTATCTTCTTATCTTACGTTACGATTTTATCGCGATTTTTATCATATATAAAAAGCGCGCTCGCTCTCTTCTAGTTTGTAGTTTCATTAGCGAAATGAATAGTGACAAGGAGCATCGTCATGTCTGTCGTGGTTTCTCCCTTGCGTTTTGGAAAAAAAAGAAAAAAATTAATCTGGAGGAGATTTCTGATTGTGTAACAGAATTTTACGACTATTGGTACAATGATTAAGTTGTCGCTTAACTATACATATAATCTTTATGTGTGTGCTTGGCTCATCGTAAAATTCGTCGACAAAAATCATTAAAATCACAATCTTTTAAATTTTAAAAAGTTAGGATTAACAGTGAATTGATAAAAAATGTAGTGATACGATTAAAGGTTGTTCGATTATAAATACTTTTATTTTGATATAATTTTTTAAAATAAAATTAACATATGTATATCATTTATATAAGATTCTTAAAGAGAATTCTTTTTATAAGGATTTTTTTAAGATTTTTTTTATAAGATACTTCATGAATTTTAGTTTCTAGCATAAGAATTATTTTATATAAAAATCTACAAATCATAAAAATTTTGAATATGTCAATTTAGCAATAAAAGAGACTAATAAGAGTCAAGTGCAAATAAAAAACTCTTGAATATAAATATAAATTTAAAGATATAAGACAGGCAGTAAGAGCCAACTCGCGGATGACAGTGCGTTATCCTAACGAAACTAAATTTTTCGTTAGGATTAAGTATCTGTGCACAAGGCACCAAATATTTTACTTGGTCACGGCCAAGATTTTTAAAATATGAAATAATCTCATATTTGAGATTTAATTTCAATAACCCTTTCACCCCCCTACGGAAATAAGTAAATGCAAGAGAAAAATATAGATCCGAAAGTCGCTGAATCGGGAATCGAACCCGAGACCTTTCGCTTGCCGAGCGACTGCTCTTCCAACTTGAAATTAAATCTCAAATATGAGATTATTTTATATTTTAAAAATCTTGGCCGTGACCAAGTAAAATATTTGGTGCCTTGTGCACAGATACTTAATCCTAACGAAAAATTTAGTTTCGTTAGGATAACGCACTGTCATCCGCGAGTTGGCTCTTACTGCCTGTCTTATATCTTTAAATTTATATTTATATTACAGACTCTTGAATATATTTAACAATTTTATATAAATCTTTTTCACATAAAATAACTCGCTGCGCAAATAATAAATAGAGAAAATGATTTTAGGAATTTTTGTTTTATATGAAATCAAATTTATTTCATATAGAACCAATTCACACTATCAGATAATAAATAAAAAAAATATAATCAAAAAGACAAAGAAGCTCTTATAATGCAACGTAATAAATAAAAATAATGAAAGACCAACTTACGAGCATACAAATAGGTGTAATAGTAATATAATAAATTTAACAATTTAAATTCATGATTTCTAAATAAAATTGAATGTATATTATATTACACTTATTTGCATGCTCGTAAGTTGGTCTTTCATTATTTTTAAGAATAATAATTCTAGGAATTTGTTTTATATAAAATTGGAAAAAATTATATATAATATATAAATATTAAATATAAATATTAAATTATATATAAAAATTATAAAAATTTTATAAATATATCTTGCATTTTATATAAATTTATTTTGCATCATTCGACAAAGAATATTAATCCCAATTTATTTTTTCACAGGGTGATCCACCTGTATTATTAACTGCAAATGGAGCACCTATTGCTGAGAAGAAGGCCAGCCTCACGGTTGGTCCTCGTGGACCCATGTTGCTGCAAGACTTCGTTTACCTGGACGAAATGTCGCATTTCGCCAGGGAGAGAATTCCGGAACGAGTTGTACACGCGAAAGGAGCCGGTATGTTTTTTTAATATTTTTTATTTATTATTTTTACACACAATTCTTTATACAATTCATTATTTTTTATTTTTTTTATATTTTTTATTTATATATTTTTTTATATTTTATAGAATATATAGCTTTAACATTATCTATTAATTAATCGATTAACTTTATTTATTGTAGCCGATATTCATACAAAAATGTATGTTGTATTTATTTATTGTATTTTTCTTTTTTCAAGGTGCGTTTGGCTACTTCGAAGTTACCCACGATATCACCAAGTATTGCAAAGCCAAGGTATTTTCCAGCATCGGAAAGAGGACTCCTATTTGTGTGAGATGTTCCACCGTCGGTGGCGAAAGCGGTTCTGCTGACACTGTCAGGTAATAAATAGGAAAAATGCCACAAGGTAGCATAAATTATATTAATAAACTCTCACGCGCAGAAATTTTAATAAAAAATATTCATTCAAATAAGTATACATCCAAAATAATCTTCTATATAAATATATGCCACACATTAATATTATATATATATATGTATATATTACATTAATATGATATATATATATGTATATATATTACATTAATATTATATATATACATATATATTATAAAAATTATAGCATTTAATATTTATTCTATTTTTAATATTATTTTATTTATAATTTATAATTTCCTATTTAATATTTAATAATTATTTATTATATGTATTATAAATAAATTTTAGGCAAATTTATAAATTTTTTAAATTTAATAATTTATTACAACATTTAATAATAAATATTATTAATAATTGATAATATTAATTTATAATTTTATAATAATATATAATATAATATTAATATATAATATTATACTATATATAAAATGCAAAAAATGCTAACATTATTTTAACGAGTATATCATTGGAATAAGTATGACACAACTTCCGTCACAAATGTTCACAATTGCATGCTTTTATCTTTAGTAGAAAGCAAATGAATTGCTGTCTCGCAGTTAGTTACATTCGTCTGCAAAGTAAATATTGCATTCAAGTGACTTTTCGCGGTACAGTGATTTTTCATCATTCAGAGCGTGAGGCAATAAAGGAAGAAAACCGTAAGAATATATAGCACATTACTCTTCTGAATCGTGCTTGGCTGACGCTGCAACTAATTCCAAGACGATCAAATGATAATAAACATGTATAAAAATATTCTTGCATAATGTTTCTCTTATCTATATAATTATTACCGATTGCGTTTCAGAGATCCGCGAGGTTTCGCCGTCAAGTTCTACACTGAGGAGGGTATCTGGGATCTCGTCGGCAACAATACGCCCATCTTCTTCATCAAGGATCCCCTCTTCTTCCCAAGTTTCATACATACGCAGAAGAGAAATCCCGCGACCCACTTGAAGGTTCGTTCAAACGTGACTGCAAATAGCTAGCTAAGGATCATAGAACATATTAATAGACGTGGACTATATGAACAAAATTTCTTTCCTTCTTTTTTTAGGATGCTGACATGTTTTGGGACTTCATCTCTCTCAGACCCGAAACGACGCACCAAGTCATGTTCCTCTTTGGCGATCGCGGCATTCCCGATGGATACCGTCACATGAACGGCTACGGTTCTCATACATTCAAGCTGGTGAACAGCAAGAACGAACCAGTCTACTGCAAGTTCCACTACAAGGTTCTTATCTTATCAGAAAAAATAATGTAGCTTGATCTATTTACGTCAAAATTGCCTGGAGAGATTACAAATATTTGATGTTGATCCGGCAGACCGATCAAGGGATCAAGAATCTCCTCGCGGAGAAGGCCGGTGAGCTCAGCGCTTCCGATCCCGATTATTCGATCAGAGATCTCTACAACGCGATCTCTAAGAAGCAATATCCGTCCTGGACTCTTTACATCCAAGTAATGACCAACGACCAAGCGAAGACCTTCAGGTGGAATCCGTTTGATCTGACAAAGGTAGATATATTTATCGCTCTTCGCTTCTATCGGATATTTTACTTTGTATTCCAATTCTGAGTAGTGTTCTCTTTTTCTTGAAAATCATACCAAGTGTTTTTCTTATAGGTGTGGCCTCACAAGGAATATCCGTTAATCCCGGTGGGCAAACTGGTGCTGGATCGTAATCCCGAAAACTATTTCGCCGATGTAGAGCAAATGGCCTTCGATCCGGCGCACATGGTACCCGGTATTGAACCAAGTCCGGATAAAATGTTGCAAGGTCGACTTTTCGCTTACGGCGACACTCACAGACATCGCCTGGGACCGAATCATCTTCAGTTGGCGGTGAATTGCCCTTACAAGGTAAAATACCATACATTATACTCAGTGATGGGTAAGATACATTTAAAATGTATCTCGATACAGATACAGATACGTGTAAAAATATATATTTAGGTACAGATATAGATATACAAATTAAAATGTATATAGATACAGATACTCAGATACTTTAAAAGTATCTCGATACACATCAGATACTTTTTAATTATATTTTATCACAATAATGATAATATGCACAAAATGTACTGAATAATTATTTTATCTTTATTAATATTTTTGTTTATATTACGACTTTATTTGTTAGTCTTAATACGTGAAAAATGCCTCAAAGATATCGTCACTCAAATTATTTCGTCATGGTACTAAAAAATTTGGTCAATGTTTAATAATAGCTCAATCGGTGTTAATGACGTTATGTTGATAACTTGTAGTTCTGATTTTTTAATAATTTAAAGAATTTGGGTATTCAGAAAAATATGTGAAACTGTATTTGCAAATGTATCTGAAAAAAGCAATTCAGATACCATGTTTTGTATCTAGATACAGATATAGATACTTCAATTCGAATATATCTCAGATACAGACTCAGATACACAAAATGTATCTAGATACTACCTAACACTGATTATACTTATATATAATAAATACTAATATTATATATATTATATACTAGTGTATTCTATAATGTAACATAGATAATAGTTATATAATAAATTATATAATAGTTTATATAATGAATAATTCTATATAATAAAAGTATAAGTATTTATTAAAATATATATCTCTTAATGATTAAAAAATGCAATTTATTCTCTAGCAGGCGATCTCCGCGATGCATTATCAACGAGACGGTAATATGCCGATATACAATCAAGGGGGCGCGCCTAATTATTATCCGAACAGCTTCTCCGGCCCGAAGGAGTGTCCAGCCGTTCGTTCGCCGCCGTTCCCCGTAAGCGGAGACGTGGATCGTTACAATCCCGAGGACGAAGACGACTTTGGTCAGGCCACTAACTTCTGGAAGAAGATCCTCGACGAACCCGCGAGAGAGAAATTGGTTCAAAACATGGTCGGAAGTCTGCGCAACGCCTCGGTGTTCATCGTCGAGCGAGCTGTGCGAAACTTCGCCCGAGTGGACGTCGATCTTGCTCAGAGATTGACGGATGGTTTGCGCAAATGCGGGATACAGATCAACGCTTTGGGAAAATCGGCCAATCTCTAAAGAGGATATATTATATATTGATATATTTGTTATCTTTCTCTTTATTCTCTCGCTTACGTACTTTTGTACTATGTAGTTTTTACTGAAATATGCAATATTTTAATATTGTTTGTTGTCACAATAATTGTCACTGAAAATATTTTCCTCCACAAATGTTATATAACTGCTTTTAATTACTTGGATGTTTCTTATTCTAAAGTTATTTTCCCTGTAACTTGTAGTAATATATTTTACAAGGGTGTAGGTGCTGGACATATTTGTGGTGCCTTTTACATATATATAAGATGAAATATATATTGCCTAACCGATGAGGATAAAATGAAAAATGCTTTATTTTACTCTTTACTAGTTTCTATTGTATTTTTACTACAGAGCTGTTAATTATATAAATAAATATTTTTTAGACATGATTATTCTTTTCAAGAAAAAATTGCATGTATGATAGGGGGATTTATATATGTAAATAAAATTTGAAATCACTTTTACAGATTGCATTATATATCGTAGCGTTTTTTTTCGCATTATTCCCCTCGTAATTTTTGCGAACATTATTTTCTCAAGAATTTAAGATAGCAAAATATTTCCATCTTTTTACAATACTTTTTCAATTAACTGAATAGTGCATACTTTATTCATTTTATTATTATCAAAATTTAAAGAACAGTTTTAAAATAATTAATCTTTTTAATTTTTAAATCAATTTAAAAAAATTATAAAAAGAATCAATTCAAACTTTTTTCATTTTCTCTCTCTTCAATATTTATTTTGAATAAAGAAAAAATTGCAGGTTGAATTTACAGATTCTGTAGTATATATGACGTGTATATATATACACGTTTAAAAAATGCGCGCGCGCTTTGCAGCACAGCGTGACATGTGACACGTGACACTTTCGGTCAAATTCCTCAACCGAGATCCTTGCATAAATACAGGTTGCATAAATACGATTACAGCTATTCGCTCAGAAGAAAAATTTGCAGATAAATCCTATAAATTCGATAAACTTGGGAAAGCTGCCCACTTTCTCGTATGTAAACTGCTAACCTTATCGTATACGATTTTAAATTTTAACCTGCACTACTAATTTATTTATTTATTTATTTTAATAAAAGATTTTCGAGAATGAAGTCTCATCTTTTTACAGATTTCTCGCAGTAAAAAAATTGTGAGTGTTCTTTTTATAAAATAGGCTCGCCTGACCTTCAAGAATATATACAGCCTCTCTTCTCGGATCAAGTTATGGTCAATTTTTTACATAATATATATATATATATATATATATATACATATATTGTGACATCCAACATTATGCCAGACAGGTATTTACATTTAAAAGAAAAGATTTATCTGGGAACAAAATCTTACAAATGTTCTTTTTTTCAATAATAAAGTATATTTTAATTTTAATTTAATTAATTATTTTATTCTTGATGTAAATTGTTTTAGTATTTTAATATTAGTTTTTAATAATAAAATTAATATTATTATTAATATATATAAAATTAATTTTATTATTTTCTTTTAATTTGAAAATTGCTTTGTAGTATAATGTAGAATATGTTTAGTGCACAGTGATTGATTCTTCCTTTAATTACATCGATACCTATCAAACGCTATAAAAATTGGAGGGTCTAATTATATGTAATCGAAAGATATTTTGTCAGGAACAAAGTTTTGGTTGGTGTTGGAGTAATATTCAAGTAACTCTTTGCTGTCTTTTATTTAGTCACAAATTATTAAAATCTACGGTATTATTAAATTTCATCCCTGCTCTCTTATATTGATCAGTTTTTCAGTTCTTGTTTACAACAATGTGGAATATTAATAGGAGATTTGTATTTTATCAATTAAAAAATAATTTTTTAATTATTTAACAGTGATGTTCTTCTTTTAACAAAATATTAATAAGTGATAAAAGTTTTATATATTTTCAGAGTCAAAGAGAGTCAGAGAAGTGCTCGATCTGAACTTAATCAAGCAGCAAGCGGAGAAGGATGTATTAGATTTTGATCAGTATGCGCAGTACATAATCTCTGTTATGAGTAAGATATGCACGTTAGTGAGCTCTCGCAACAGGTGGACATAATTGAGACATTCAAAAGTGTCGTGGAATTGTTACAGCTGCTGAGATTGGACTTGGCAAACTTCATCATTACCATGGTGTAAGTTGAAGTTTGCCGGTTTTTACAGTAGGTGTCGCTAGCAGGATGTAGGCATTTCTATGATTTGTTATATACACGATTGTTTTCTATTGACATTAACCTCCAAAAACACCCAAATCTCATTCTGTCAAAATAATAGCGTCATAGTCGTTTATATCAATGAATATGTCGAGTTTCGTTCCAAATAAAGAGCATTTGCGGCATTCGTTGCTTTTTTTATTTCATCAAAAGAAAAAAGCAGCTGAAGCACATCGTTTGCTAGTAGAAACTTATGGTGAACATGCTCCAGTGATTAGAACATGTGAGACATGGTTTCGTCAATTTAAAAGTGGAGATTTCGATTTGAAAGACAATGAACATCCTGGCGCAGCGAAAAGGTTTGAAGACGAGGATTTGCAGGTGTTGTTGGATGAAGACCCAACCCAATCACAACAAATATTGGCAGAAAAACTTAATGTGTCCCGAGTAGCAATTTGCCAACGTTTAAAAGCCTTGGGAAAAATCCAGAAGTATGGAAAATGGGTGCCACACGCATTGAACGACAGGCAAATGGAACATCGAAAAACCATTTGTGAAATGCTGCTTCAACGGTTCGAAAGGAAGTCTTTTTTGCATCGGATTGTCACGGGTGACGAGAAATGGATTTTTTTTGAGAACCCGAAGCGAAAAAGACTACTTTCACCTGGTGAAGCCGCTCCATCCACTGCAAAGCCCAATCGCTTTGACCGTAAGACAATGCTCTGTGTTTGGTGGGACCAGGATGGTGTGGTGTACCACGAACTATTAAAACCTGGTGAAACGGTAAATACGGATCGCTATCGACAACAAATGATCAATTTGAATTATGCGTTGATTCAAAAACGACCGGAATGGGCCCGAAGACATGGCAAAGTTATTTTGCAACATGGCAACGCGCCGTCTCATACCGCTAGATCCGTGAAGGACACATTAAAAACACTTAATTGGGAAATATTATCGCACCCGCCGTACTCTCCAGACCTCGCCCCGTCCGACTTCCACCTTTTCGCATCGATGGGGCACTCACTTGCAGAGCAGCACTTCGTCAATTTTGAAGAAGTTGAAAAATGGCTCGTCGAATGGTTTTCCTCGAAAGAAAAAAAGTTTTTTTGGAATGGTATCCATAATTTGCCTGAAAGATGGACGAAATGTGTAGAATCAAATGGTCAATACTTTGAATAAAAATATTTTGAGATTTCCCTGAAAATTATGTTTTTTTTAACGAAAAAAACCGGCAAACTTCAACTTACACTCGAAGCCGAACATGATAGCCCTGAGCGTCGAGTACGAGAAGGCGAAGTTCGCCGAATTCTTGAAGATTAATTTGAAGGGTTTGCAATACACGGAAAGATGATTGCTGAGACACTTCGACCCGGAAAAGATCGCCAGTTCGTCGAGCAGCGATGCTAATAATATAAGACAAATCACTCATTCTCTGGTGACGGAGGTGTATCTCGATCTTCTGGAATGGGACTTTAATCAAATGCTGAAGTAGGATTTATTTTATTTTAGAGAAATATAATTTTGATATTAATATTAATATAATTAATATTTATATTAATATATATTTTATTAAACAAATATCAAGAAATAGTCAAACATTCATTTAGATTTGTGTACATTTGTAGATTCAATTATTTGTATATAATGAACTTTTGATGAACAGCGATATGTTTCAATAATAATGGTATACATTATAATATTAATATATATTATTATTTATATATATTATAATATTATAATTATAATATTATTTAGGTAAATACGATTCAATCTTTCTCGCAAGAGAGCCGAAGGATGCTGAAGATGTGATCCGGCTTTTACATCGCCGTCGACGTGACGTCATTAATTCCCACCCGGGCCATCCGTCATTCATATTCACCCCCGTCAATCGTGCGGACGCGATAAAAGCTCGCCATCGTCGACGCCGGCTAGTTACATCTGTTTACATCGCCGAGAAACGTGTTAATTCGCTCCGATTTTCCATTACAAGAATTTATACAACCGCGAGGATGTCTTGTCCGGGAAGAGATCCGTCATCGGAGCAGCTAAATAATTACAAGAGGAATTTGAAGGTAACAGATCTCTATTCATCATAATTCATCGTGTACTTGTGTGAGTTACACCGATACTCAAACAATTCTTTTATTACATAATTGTGACATATTTTGATCCATTTAAAGGAATAAAAATGAAAATTAATGAATTAATTTATTACATTTTATCTGATTAAAATTGTTATTTTATTATTGCGCCACTTTGCGCGAAATTAAAATATGTGAAGTAGTTGATAATTATAAAGGCGAGAATATGACTCGGCTGTTTTGTAATTGATTGCAATTGAGTGCTATTGATTACATTTAGAAAAAATATATCTTTTAATGGAAATACGAATTAAAGCGAAGTGAAAAAATGTATCTTTGTTTATTCAAGAAAATATGTATCACATTTTTTGTTACATTTTATTATAAATTTAAATAATACATACATATATATACATATATATGTAATAATACATACATATATATATATATATATATATATATATATATACATATATATGTATTATTTAAATGTATATTTAAATTTATATATATATATATATATATATATATATTTATAATTTATATATTTAATATATATACATTATATATTTAGAAATATAGGATAAAAACAAACTTTCGACTGGGACTTTGTTGTTAGGTTCTATATTAAGAAAAAAATTCAACAATATAATTAGATAATACATGCTTGTTAAAAAAAATTAAGAGAAATTTTGATATCTTGAAAATAATATTTTTCGTTATTTTTTGTGGTGCATAATAATTGCACATAGATGCATTAAAAAGTAGGACAGTTTTGTTATATTTAGATGGAATGTGCTACAATGTGACATGTCATCAATTTTTTGACATAAAATGTAAAAATAAGCTTGTTTTGCACGATAAATTATATATACACATACAGTTTTAATACACATACAGAGTAGAAAATAACTAACTAAATGATTATGTCATAGTATGGCGTGATGAAGAGCACAGATAAGTTAAATATTACTGTATACTTGATGAGTGACGTTTATATATAATCGCCTCTATCACAAACCGAACCAATTAAAAAAATATTTGATATTAAATTGCTTATCTCGCGTCAGAGATATATATGTATCAGTGCAAAGATGAGCACCACATCTCTACGTTTAGATAAAATTTTATTTATTTTAGACATTAAAAAAAATTTTACGCTTATACATATGATTTACATGCCGAAAGAGTTGGCGACAAGTGGTGACGAGCGCACTGACTATAAGAAGTCTATTTGAAAACAATATTATGCGTCGTGCCATGTTGAAGGCAAAGTATCTAGGCGATTCGACGCAGCGAAGAGGTGTGTTGCTTTGTAAAAAAAAGAAGTAGTCAATGTAATATGTAAATTAACTGCAAATTAATTGCGACGTTCCATTAATCAACGTGCGTAGAAGGAAGAATCATATCGCACATCTATAATTTCTTAAAATTTATTATATATATAAAATAAAATTGATTTCATATAAAATAAATTCACGCAGTTGTCAGATAATAAAAAAAAAATAATTTTAGGAATTTGTTTTACATAAAATTGTAAAAAATTATATATAATTTATAAATATTAATATATAAATATATAAATATTAATTCAAATATTAAATATAAATATTAAATTATATATAATTTATATAAAAATTATAAAAAATTTTATTAAAAATTTTGACATTTATATAAATTTATTTTGCATCAATCGACGATGAATATTAATCGATTCCAATTTATTTTTTCACAGGGTGAACCTGTATTATTAACTGCAAATGGAGCACCCGTTGCCGAGAAGAAGGCCAGCCTTACGGTTGGTCCTCGTGGACCCATGTTGCTGCAAGACTTCGTTTACCTGGACGAGATGTCGCATTTCACCAGGGAAAGGGTCCCGGAACGAGTTGTACACGCGAAAGGAGCCGGTACGTTTTTTATAATTTATATTTACTATTTTTGTACACAATTTTTTATTTAATCTATTTGTTTTATCTTCTCTTTTTTTATCTTTGTCTATTTTTTTTTTACATTTTCAGCTTCAATATTATCTATTAATTTTATCGATAACTTTATTTACTGTATTTTTTTCTCTTCAAGGTGCGTTTGGCTACTTCGAAGTTACCCACGATATCACTAAATATTGCAAGGCCAAGGTATTTTCTAGCATCGGCAAGAGGACTCCCATCGCTATAAGATTTTCCACCGCCGGTGGTGAAAGCGGTTCTGCTGACACTGTCAGGTAATAAATAGATAAAATGCCACACAATATAAATTATATTATTAAAATTTGATGCGCAGAAATTCTAATAAAAAGATATTTATATGATAGTGTGGCCCTGCTGATATATTGGTTGGCCCCCTTGCTCATTCAATTAATTAATAATAACATCTAAAATTTGTTTAATGTATTATGTTACATTTAGAACAATTAAATACTCTTTATATGAGTATCTGACAATTTGTCTATCATTTATTGCGACTTATCGATATATACGCAACATGTAAAATTTTTAACGTTTTATTATAAATTATCTGAAAATCGAGTTCTAGGTGACGGAGGTGTTAAAATTAAAGGACAACATTTCATCTCGAATATGTTGAAGATAAAATGCACGATATTTTTTGCTTATTTTTTGTTATTACTTATTTTGCTAATATACATGATGCTGTTTGACATTATTTTATTAATTTAACAATTAGTATTTAATAATTAGTTATTTATTTAATAATTAGTTCGCAGGAGCAGGAGAGTTTGCGATTTCTGCTGCTAATTTATTTTCCATAATTAATTATTAAGTTGATTTTTTAGTTTATATGTATATTGACAGAATTAGAAATTTGATTTGTTTTTTAAGAGAGTAATTCTTTATAAATGTTGATTTTGCACCGAGTTCAAGTATAATTTTTAGTTCGTACATTTATGGTCACACTAGGGTGTCATTTTGGAATATTCCTGAAAAGTATATATTTTTTTCAAGTCTATAGTATTTAATCCAAAATATAATACTACTAACTATGATGTGTATTAATTTATTCCAAAATGTCTTATGATTTTTTTATTACAAAAAAAACATACTAGGGGACCACACTATATCATATTCTCCTATAATATAATATATAAATATAATATTAATATATAAATTGCATGTTACTCTTCTGAATCGCGCTTCGCTGATGCAACTAATTCGAGTGGCGAAGACGATCAAATGATAATAAATATATGAAAAAATATTGTTGCAAAAATGTTTTTTTTTCTAATTATTATCGGTTGCGTTTCAGAGATCCGCGTGGATTCGCAGTCAAGTTTTACACCGAGGAGGGTATCTGGGATCTTGTCGGCAACAATACGCCCATCTTCTTCATCAAGGATCCCCTTTTTTTCCCAAGTTTCGTACATACGCAGAAAAGAAATCCCGCGACCCACTTGAAGGTTTGTAATACAATAATTAATAAGTACAATAATTAATTATAGAAAATAAATTCAAACGTGATTGCGAATAGTCGGTTAAGGATCAATAGAACATATTAATAGACGTAGAATATATAATATTAATAAAATCTTTTCTCTTTTTGTAGGATGCTGATATGTTTTGGGACTTCATGTCTCTTAGACCCGAAACGACGCATCAAATTATGTTCCTCTTCAGCGATCGGGGAATTTCTGATGGATACCGCTATATGCACGGCTACGGCTCTCATACATTCAAGCTTGTTAACAGCAAGAACGAGACAGTCTACTGCAAGTTTTACCACAAGGTTCTTATTTGAAAAAAAAATAATACTGCTTGATCTATTTGTATCAAAATTGATTGAAGAGATTACAGATGTTTGATGTTAATTCGACAGACCGATCAAGGGATCAAGAATCTCTCCCCGGAGAAGGCCGCCGAGCTCAGCGCTTCCGATCCCGATTACGCGATCAGAGATCTTTACAACGCGATTGCTAAGAAGCAATATCCATCCTGGACTCTTTACATCCAAGTAATGACAAACGAACAAGCGAAGACCTTCAGGTGGAATCCGTTTGATCTGACAAAGGTAGATATATTTATCACTCTTCGCTTCTATCGGATGTTTTAATTTGTATTCCGATTCTGAGCGGTGTTCCCTGTTTCTTGAAAATTGTACCAAGTACTTCTCTTATAGATATGGCCTCACGAGGAATATCCTGAAATTCCAGTGGGCAGACTGGTGCTGGATCGTAATCCCGAAAACTATTTTGCCGATGTGGAGCAAGCGGCCTTTAATCCGGGGAACATGATACCCGGTATCGAGGCGAGTCCAGACAAAATGTTACAAGGTAGAATCTTCGCTTACGGTGACACTCAAAGGCATCGCCTGGGACCGAATCATCTTCAGTTGCCAGTGAATTGCCCTTTCAAGGTAAAGTATTATTCATACTTATATGTATATAATATATAATAATATTATATATATGTATATAGTATATATTAGTGTATTCTATAATATATATAAAATATATATATATAATAATTACGTATAATAAATTATATAATAATTTATATAATAAATAATTATATAATAAAAGTATAAGTATTTATTAAAATCTATATCTCTTAATGTGTGTGTGTGGATTATATATATATATATATATATATATATATATATATAAAATGCAATTTATTCTTTTGCAGGCGATCTCCGCGATGCATTATCAACGAGACGGTCATACGCCGATATACAATCACGGGGGAGCGCCGAATTATTATCCTAACAGCTTCTCCGGCCCGAAGGAGTGTCCGGCCGTTCGTTCGCCGCCGTTCCATTTAAGCGGAGACGTGGATCGTTACGATCCCGTGGACGAGGATGACTTCGGTCAGCCCGCTAACTTCTGGAAGAAGATCCTCGACGAACCCGCGAGAGAGAGATTGGTCCAAAACATGGTCGGAAGTCTGCGCAACGCCTCGGTGTTCATCGTCGAGCGAGCTGTGCGAAACTTCGCCCGGGTGGACATCGATCTTGCTCAGAGATTGACGGATGGTTTGCGCAAATGCGGGATAGAGATCAACGCTTTGGGAAAATCGGCCAATCTCTAAAGAGGATATATTATATATTGATATATTTGTTATTTTTCTCTTTATTCTCTCGCTTATGTACTTTTGTACTATGTAGTTTTTAAAACTACAAACATTTTTTAAAACATGGTGGATTGTTTGCGCAACGTCTCGGCGTTCATTATCGAGCGAGCTGTAGGAAACTTTGCCCGGGTGGACGTCGAACTTGGTGAGAGATTGACCAAGGGTTTGCGCAAGTGCGGGATGCAGATCAACGCTTTGGAAAAGTCGGTCAATCTCTAAAGAAAGTATAATATATTTGTTATATTTTTCTATATTCTCTCTCTTATGTACTTTTGCACTGTTCTTACTTAAATATATAATATTTTATTGTTATCAGTAATTCTCACTGAAAACATAATATTTTCCTCCGCAATGTTATATATATATATATATATATATATATATATATATATATATATATAATTGCTTTTAATTACTTAAATATTTTTCATCCTAGAATTATTTTTTTCTGAAATTTGTAATAATTATTTTACAAGGGTGTAGATGCTGAATATTGTTATGCCTTATATATATATGAAATTTGTATCCTGTCTATCCGAGGAGAATAAAAATGAAAAATTTATTATTTTTTTTACCATTTTCTACTGTATTTTTGATATGCAACCGTTGTCGATTATTTTAAATAAATATTTTATAGGTCCGATGATTCTTTCAAAGAAAAGAATAGAATATATTATGGAGATTTATATGTAAATAAAATTTGAATTTGATTGCTATATAGATTGCATTATATCGTAGCGTTTTTTCTACTGTTCTCCTCGTAGTTTCTGCGAACAAAAGGATCGAAAGATTTTACCTTCGCATGAATTCAAGGTAGACGACAGAATGAGTCATATCGCCAATTAGGGCAACTTGAGCAACAAAGCCATTTCGACTGCATTTAAACTGCATTTGAAACCCATCCGCTTTTATCCGTCATTTCGGAGTCGAACTGAAAAGTTCCTGAGAGAGGTACGTTTCCATCAATTTTACAATTGATAATAATTAAAGTGCGTACTTTCAGAAAGTATACTCGTATAATTTTTTGTTCATTCTTTTAGTTTTAATTTATTAATTGTATTGCTTATTTTATTTTGATAATAACTTTTAATAATAAGATCAATAATTTCATTATTATTATTTTTAATTTTAAAAATTGCTTTAAAAAGTTAAAAAGAAACGAGCTACATTTTCCAAATTTGTGTTAATTTTTTTGGTTTAATTTTTAATTTGATTATTTTCATTATCTTACTTTAATATTAAAAACTTATTATTGTAACTTGTAATAATAAAATTATTATATTTACTAATTTGTAAATTAAAAAAAAATAAATTGATATTTTTATATTTATCTTTTTTTCATTTTATCTTTATTTTTTCAATTTTATGTTATTTATTTTTTAAATTTAATTTTAATATAATTTTATAAATTATTTTTTTATTATTTTAATATATATAATTATTAATAATAAAATTTATTTTAAAATAATTTTTAATTGAAAATTATTTGGAAAAAAGTAAGAAAAGAATCGAAGCTTTTTTTAATGATCTCTCTCCTTTTTTTAAATATTTATTTTAAACAAAGAAGGTTAACCTTCTTCAAACTGCAATTGCAGTTTGAAATTACACTCTCTAAGCAATATATGTTTTGTATATGTATATATTGTACATATATGTATATACAAGGTGTCCCATTTTAATCTATCATTCCTCGTAACTTTGCAGGGAGCGATCGTAGAGAAAAATATGTTTCACAATCAGACAAACTAATGGTGACCTTGGTCTTGACCTTGGGATCAAATTTGAAGGTCAATATAAAATAATTCATTCTGTATTTTCCGAGTTAATTACAACAAAAGCTTGAATTTTTATTTAAAATTTTTACATTGACCTTCAAATAACCTTCAATTTGACCCCAAGGTCAAGATCAAGGTCATACTGTCAGAACCCTACAACTTTTGTCCGAAACATTTTCTCTACAACCTGCAAAGTTAGGAGGAGCGACGGATTAAAATAATATGGGACACCCTGTATACACGTACGTTTAAATGCGCGCTTTGCAGCGTGACACTTCCGGCCAAATTCCTCGTCCGAGATGTTGCAGGCTGCATAAATACGCGTACAGCTGTTCGCGCTCCGAGTCGCAGGAGAATCCCGTCGCGGGATGCTGTCAACAAACGCACGCGTGTTGTTCGCAGATAAAAATCCGATGTGTCGCTAAATTTGGAGGAGTCTCACTCCAAGAGAGGCCGCTTCTTCGTTGTGTGTAAAAACTGCCAACCTTATCGCGTACGATATTAACCTGCGCGATTAATTGATTAATTTACTTCGATAAAGGACTCTCCAGAATGCAATGTCGCATTGTCTTCTTCCTTTTTTTGCAGATTTTCCTCGCAGCAAATTGTGGGTGTTCTTTTTATAGAATAGGCTCGCCTGACCTCCTTCGAGAAACTCCTCTCTTCCATGGTTCACGGATCATGTTACGGCCAATCTTTTAAATAATATATGTATTTTATTGACATCCAACATTATGCCAGACAGGTATTTACATATTTTATTTACATATCTCAGAACAAAATCTTACAAATGTTCTTTATTTTCAATGATAAAGTTTATTTTTTGATTTTTATTGTAATTTAATTATTTTACTCTTGATGTAAATTATTTTAGTATTTAATATTAGTTTTTAATAATAAAATAAATTTTGTATTATTTTTTTATTTCAAAATTCTTTTGTACAGCATAGAATTGTTTATCAGCGATTGATTCATTCTTGCTTTTGTCACATCGATACCTATCAATCGCTGTAAAAATTGGAGGGTCTAGATTATCTATATAATCGAATGATGTTTTGTCAGGAACAAAGTTTTGGTCGGTGCTGGAGTAATTTGGGGTGTAACTCTTTGCTGTCTTTTATTTAGTCGCAAGTTATTAAGACCCATGGCATTGTTAAATTTTATCCCCGCTCTCTTATATCGGTCAGTTTATCATAGTCCTTGTTTACAACGATGTGGAATATTAATGGGAGATGTGTTTTACTAATTGGAAAATAATTTTAAATACTTAACATTGATGTTTCTTTCTTATCGTTAACAAAGTATTAACAATTAAAAGCTCTATGTATCTTTTAAGTAATTTTTTTCAATGATATATATGTTCTCAATTGTATTTCCTTTTCTAATTTGATTTTGCTCTCTGTTGCTCTATTTTTGTCTTTAATTTTGAATAAAATTTTTATTTATCGTTTATGATTATTTAGCAATGAAAAAATGAAGAATGAAGATGAACAGAAACAAAATACAGACGATGTTGGTGCATCAACGAACTGTGATAATAATGTACATACAGATGAGCAAAATGAGGTGCAAAATAGGTGTGTAGATTAAAATTTACAGTAAAGACTTATAGTAATATTTATAATAAAAATTATAATAAATATTATTTATATATATAATTTTTTTTATCAGTAAATTTTATAGTAAAGAATTTATGGTAAAATTAATAACTAATTATGTAAGTTTTTAAGTAATGTTTTATACATAAAATTAACATTATGCAAAAATAATAATAATGATATATAATTAATAATAAATATATAAATAATATATAAATAAAAAAGTAATATAATAATAATAATAATAATAATAATAATAATAATAATAATAATAACAATATACTGTATCTCTTGTGTCAACAGGCAACCGACACCAAACTTTATGATGGGTGGATTAACGGGAGCATCGCCACCGAAATTCGTGTCCTTTGACGAAATTATAAAAACTGCCAACGGAATGAAAAATATGGCCTTAGCGCACGAAATCGCGGTGGATAAGAATTTTCAGCTGCAAAAATTGGAACCGGAAGATGGTAGCTTTCATAGACGAGTGAAAGAAATAATGCACAAAGCTTTTTGGAATCTGTTGGCGAAGAAATTGGCCGAGGATCCGCCGGATTATTCGCATGCACTGGTTTTATTGAAAGAAATTAAAGAAGTAATTATAATTTTTTTCTTTTCATTTCTGACAAGCAGAAGAAATATGTCAAATATCACACATGCAGTATTTGCAGTTATCTAAAAAAATTATATAGATGAATATCTAGATGAAACTTTGACGTCATCTTATCTTCATATAGATAATAAAAATATGTACTATATCTGCATCTTAGATGAAAAAAAATATTTTTATTAAATTATCTAGAATAATTTTTAGATAATTTTGGTTTAGAATCATAGCACATAAAAGTACTTAAATAATAGAATTTAAGTAGTAAGCGATAAAAATTTAGAAATAAATATATGAATACATATATTTTTATATCCCTTTTATAATTTACATTTTTCTTGTAACTGTCTTTACATAAACAGTCTTAAAAATTATTATCTAGAAAATTATCTAGATGAATCGCCATATAATTTTATCTTTTATTTATTTATATATTTTAATTTTTTTACATATTTTATATATTTATATATTTAAAACAAAATCATCTTATCTAAGATGAATTTACATATTTTTTCTCTTATCTTTATCTAGCTAATTTTAAAATCATCTAAGCACAAGACTACACACATGACAATATATTTTTCATTTATTTTAGTCCCTAGACGAGCTCGTGCCTCCTCAAAATGCCAGAATCAAAGAGAATATCAGGGAAGTGCTCGATCTGGACTTGATCAAGCAGCAAGCGGAGAAGGGTGTATTAGATTTTCATCATTATGCGCAGTACATAATCTCTGTTATGAGTAAGATATGCGCGCCAGTCAGAGACGAAAGGATCAAGGAGCTCTCACAGCAGGTGGACATAATCGAGACATTCAAAGGCGTCATGGAACTGTTGCAGCTAATGAGATTGGACTTGGCGAACTTCACCATCACCATGATGAGGCCGAACATCATTGCCCTGAGTGTCGAATATGAGAAGGCGAAGTTCGCTGAATTCTTGAAGATTAATTCTAACGGTTTGCAACACACGGAAAGATGGTTGCTGAGACACTTCGACCCGGAAAAGATCGCCAGTTCGTCGAGCAGCGATGCTAATAATATAAGACAAATCACTCATTCTCTGGTAACGGAGGCATATCTCGATCTTCTGGAATGGGACTTTAATCCAAATGCTGAAGTATGACCTTATTTTATTTATTTAGAAAAATATAGAATTCTATTATACTTGATATATGTTCATTATAAGCTGGACGTTTTTTTATTTAGACGCTGATGTTGGATCAAGGTAGACTTCTGGAGTTGCGTGATATAACCAGTAAATTGAGCGTCATAGGTTCTGTGATATTGTTGGTTAATAATACAATCGGTGCACCGATTCACGGGATTTCGAGCTTTAAGAAAAATATTAAGGAGCACTTGAATGCGCTGTTGGATTCCGTACATTCCAACAAGTATGTTCAACCATAATTGAGGACAAATTAGAATTAAAAGATGTATTAATTATTCATATCTTTTCTCTACAAGATTTATGTGCTTTATTATTATTAGCTCAGAATTTATTAATTATAATTATAGGGATTTGGAAGCTGTGATGCCAAATATTGTGCTCCAAGTAAAAGAAGATGTAAAAACAACTTTACGAGAAGTTGATGCTCCAGAGTTGTCTCCAGAATTAGAAACATTATTGGAAGGCCAGATAGGTGATCTTATAGATACGAAGCATAAAATCCGATATCTTGTCAGTAAGTATATAAAGATCAGTTTGAGACGATTAAAACATAATTAACTAGGGTATATACTCCCGAGAAAAACCTGGTATTCTCAAGGAACTTTGTTTAATCTTAAAAAATCAGGGAATTCTCATGGAATTTGATTTGAATTCAGGGAATTTTTAAAAAAATTATCCTTTTAATTTTATTTTTTATTAACATTTAAGAAACATATGTCTAACATATCTCGGTAATATTTCAATTTTTATTAAAATTTTACGTAATTTTTTTTATTAACAATCTATTTTTAGTATCGACAGATTATATATATCAATTATAAATTTCATAGAAAATTATTCAAACTCTTAATAAATAATGTTTAAATAAATTAGTACTCCTTATTTATTTTATTAAATAGTTAAACAATAAATTAATAAATAATTATATATATATATAATTTAAAATAAATTCGTATTCCTTGAGATGTTTATAATCATTAATTTTTTGTTTTATTTTTTATTTTTATTTTAGGGAATTCTCAGGATATTTTTTTACAAAATTTGAGTAAACATCCTGACTTAAAATTTAACTGATATGAAATAAATATTTTAGCTCTGCGAATTAGACAATTCCTACAGAAAATCATTCAGACGCAATCTATTGCGCCCCAACAAGTCCCGCCAGGTCTCTCTTCGCTGCAAGAGGAATTAACTGCAGTTGCCGCCCGATTTGTAATACTTATCTCGCATAATCGCAGCGTATTTGGCGAATATTACCAGGACATTGTCGCGAACGCTTTTGCGAAAAGCGATATTGACAATAACAAGGAGATGCATGAAGCTCATACCATGGAATTATAAAAAAAAGGAGAAACTGGAATAACAAAGTGAAATCATACACACATTTATAATGTTAAAGCTCCTGGGTTTTTGCTGTTATGTTAGATGATGATGATCTTTTTATTTCGAAATGACAGTTAAGAATTTTTAGCGTGTTTTCTCGCTTCTGACGTCAGAATCTAACATGGCCGCGGCGAGTATTCAGGAGCCTAAAATGATATTCTCGTTATGCCTCCTGTTCTGAGAATATGCACGATTATATCGAAATTGTTTATAGCTTCAATTGATAGCGATACTTTAGATTTCTCTTTTTTGAATGCTATATACGAGGTGCAAGTGTATATAATTTTTCATATTTAATTGTGTATAATGAATATATTCACAAATTATATATGTTTAACAAAATAGATGTGATCTATATTTATTATGATTCACGAAATTCATTATTAACGATGAACAGTGAAGCAGTGCTTGTTTTTCTTTCTTTTTTATAATGCTATATACATTATTTAAAAATTATATACGATATATTGATTAATGTAATTAATCATATATAATGTTTTTTTTTCATTTTTATTTCGTGTTTTTTAATAGTAAAAAATGTTTTGTATAAAGAATACAACTATAAAATATCTTATCGTGTGTAATATATATGCAAAAAGTATGTATTAATTTAATATTTTATTACATATATTGAGTATCATTATTTTTATTTAATCGCCAAAGTTTATATTATTATTGGAAAAATGTAAAAGGAAAAAGATTATTTAATTTGATTAGATTTTATATTTTCGAACATGTTTTAAAAATTATTCTCTCACTATAATGATGCCTGCACCATTTTATATTTACAATATGGAAGAATTTATAATTACCTCACATATATATAAACTTAAATAAAATTTGATTGTCAAATACGTTAAAGACGTTTAATCTATAATTAGTCTATCTTAATCTGTTTACTAAAAAAAAAAATAAGTTTAGAATATTAAATTTAAAAGATTAATTTTATTTAAATAAATAAGACTATGTATAATACTTTCTTAGCATCCATTCTTCTTTAATACTATTGCAAATTGATGTAATCAGGAAGTTTTATTCTTTATATAATTCTCAAAAATTTCAATGTGTTGTTTCTTTAGAAAACTTCGAAATCCTAAAAATAGAAATATTTTTTTGAGTGCATTTGTTCTGCCTTACATATGCAACATTCTAGATATTATATTTGCTTTTCTTATCATCACCTCTTCATTTTATCAATCTGTAACAGATAAACTTACCCACGAATAAATGCTGTAACTGTCCAGTCGGTGGAAATAAACTCGACAATGTTTTCAATAATTCGTCAAAATCACCATTTTGCGTATAGCTTTGTATCATAGCTGCAAATATTTTATAATCATTCGCTGATAGCGCCCTTTTTACCTAGAAGAAATATTTATTTACGTTTAAATATGTGTTGCATAATTTCTTTCCACTGTATAAATTATTATATTGAATTTTTATATACAGGGTGTCCCATAGAAAATTGCTGACACTAATCAGGTATCATTTTTTAATGCTTGCAGTTAGAGAAAACAAAAATTGTGTTGGAAAGAGAAAAGTCTGCAGTTTTTAATGGATGTAAATAAAATGTTTGTATACCAGTTTATTTTATTGAAAAAAGTAATGAAAACGTACTAATAATCACATATATAAATTAATGATAAATATTTTCGAAGTGCACAATTTGAATTTGTAGAAAATTCTGTTCTTTTACGAAAACTTGTAAAAACTTTTTCTAACATGTCATTTTTAATGTTATTGACGATTCTTTTCATAGCTGCTATTAAATCTGGCACTGTTGAAAATATTTATTATCAGTTTTATGCGATTAGCACTTTTTTCATTACTTTTTATCAATAAAATAAACTAGTATACAAACATTTATTTATATCCATTAAAAATTGCAGACTTTTCCCCTTTACAACACAATTTTTGTTTTCTCAATAAGTGCATATATTAAAAAAAATGACAGCTGATTAGTTTCAGTAATTTCCTATGAGACACTGTATAAATTGTTATTACATCTTTTAAATATTGTTTTCCCAATGTCTTCTTATCATCCTTATCTGTTTCTTTCGATGCTATATTTACAGAATGACTTTCTAGAACCGTTATCGAGGAGGAGGTTGAAGGGGCAGCAAAATACGCATCAACTCCGGACGGTAAGATATTAATTTTCCTTCTCTTAGCAGTTGGTTCATCAGAGACGTGTCTTGCCAATTCGCATGTACTTCGATTGTCCTTTAACTTGCAAGCACTAAAATTGATCGCAGATTGCGCCTTTGCTGATTTTTCTTTCTCCTTTACACCCTCATCCAAATACATATCGATGTTAAAACTATTATCAGTCTCTTTTGTTGCAACACTGTTTTGTGCTCTTTGCTTCAGAGGCAACGTCGTTTCAAAAGTAGCACCTACGGCAGGCAGCGATATATCCTCGTTTCCATATTGTGCGCGACTTATACCAGGTTGTGGCAGCTGCAAAAGTGTCATAATTTAAGAAACTATCGACGATCTTTCTTTAAATTGCATTTAAGGTCCTGTCAGATTGTGACGTCAGAGACGAGAAAACACAAGCTAAAAATTCTTAGATGCCATTTCGAAATAAATAAAAGATATTTCGATGAAACAGCACTTCAAATAAGAATTTTTACCGTATATTTTCTCGTCTCTGACGTCATAATCTGACGTGGTTCCGCAGCGAGGACCCACGACTCTTTTAGGATAAAAGAAACTTACGGTATTTTCCGCGTTTCTGAAAAAATCTCGCAATTCTTTCGTGATCATCCCGAAGTTCGTAAACTTCTTTATGTAGGGTCTGAGCCAGGCGGACAATTGTTTTTTGAAATTTGGATTTTCGAATCTGCAATCGCAGAGTATCACGGCGCCGTAATCGTTTTTGTGTCTTATTATCCTGCCGATAGCTTGATTGACAGCACGTGACGCTTCAAGTTGATACCATTCTTGCCCAGTTAAACTCTGAACGCGAAAAATTTGTTCATTACTCTTCTTAGAGATCATCCATGTTATGATCTTTTAATCAAAGTTTACTACCTCTTTCTCTGTAGTCCTTATTTCCTCCAAGTATCTTTGCTTCAGCATAACTCGCGGATCCTTTAAGGGCGGAAACGGCAGACCGATGATTAATACAGCCCTTCCGTTTGCATTAGCGAAATCCAGACCCTCGCTGACCTTTCCTCTGCACACCGCCATAAAAACGGCCCCCTTGCAAGACGGATCTCTAATTTTTTGGTAATACTCGTTCATCACATTGACAAATCCGTCTTTCGAATTCGGTTCTACATAAATAGGCTATTAGCCAATATTAATTAATTTTTAAATACCACATTAAACGCATATATTACATTACATATTCTATTAATTAAATAAATATTATATATATATTTATTTATTTAATACAAAATACAGAAAGAATGAAATAATAAAAATTAAAAGAAATTACAAGTTAAATATATAAATTAAAAAATTCTATTTTTTATATGAAATTTTCTCATATCTAACGAATTTTAACTTTAAGAAATAAATTATCTTTTTATACACATTATATTTTAATTCCCAGGTAACAAGCATCATCGAATAATGTCAAAATGACGTCATTTGCTACTTTAATGACGTCAGTTTGCTACTTGGGTTTGTAAATGCTTTAAATATATTGTTCACCTTACGGTCGGCAATCTGCGTCCACAAACCCATATTTTGCCAATCATCTCTGCACTTCCTCATAATCGGATACGAAGGGAAAAATATCAACAATCCATGGGGAACAATGCAACTAAAGTTGTACACTGTTCTTCCAAGAGATGCGATATACTTTGGATCATTCCTGTAAAGATATGAGTACATTATTATTATATAAATAAATATTACAGTTATATAGTATATTATATTATCAAATAAAAAGTTAGTTGCTGATGAAATTAAAATCAAGGTTGATATTATATATTATATTTATATATTATAATATTTTAATTTATCTAATATAATATAATAATTTATATAATAAATGTTATATAAATAAATATATTTTGCACTATTATTATATAAATAAAAAAGTTACAAGTCGCTAGTAAGCACAGTAGATTTACCTGGTATTGTAGGATGAATTGAGCGGATGGTTGTCTGGACCCTGACTGAGAACACCAACGCACACTTGTTGATTCGTTACAATATGTGGATTTTCTAGCTGAACTGTTATCGGTATACCTAGTTCCGATATAAATGGTTTCATCGGAGACAAGGTACCACTTGTGAGGATCACTGAACGTATCCCCTGTTCTACCATTTGCTCCATTCTAAAAAAAAAAGAAAAGATATAACTGTATTGTATGATTCATAATTAAATATTAAAATATAATAATAAAAATATTTAAAATAATTAAAATACATGTTTAAAAATAATAAAATAATAAAAATAATAAAATAATTAAAAATAATTAAAATATTTTCTTCTTATATTTATTTAAACGATCTCTACCCAAAGCCAGGACTAAAACACCAGTAACTAATGAGTTTTCCATCTGTTTTTATTGTCTTCTTAGTCTCCCAAACATCACCCTTGTAATTCTTTTTCTGCTCTTCCAGCTGTATGTGGACTTTGTAGCAGCGTTTTACCTTCTCCTTGTGACGCACGATAGAACCACCACTATTAAAAGCAGTCTTCAATAAGTCACTAAACTTTTGCAGCGCATTTCCCTTCCTCGCAAATGGCGATGTACTAGTAGTCGTCAGATATAAAATTATCTTTTCCAACTTATCCGTCACAATTTGTTCCTTACCATGTGTTAACTGTTGCAAAAAATTATACAGCAACAATTATATGTATATAAATAATTTAAGAATTTTATTTATTAAAATTAAAAATGTTTACCTCAATTTTCTCAAGTAATTCAAAAATAAATCCACCAGGATAAGTGTCTCCCTCGTTACGATTTTTTAATTCGATCGAATCGACTGCTTTTTCCAGTTCCAAAAACATGGCCTTTAAGATGTACAAATCCTCTGCTGTGAAATCTTTTTGCACATTATTGTCCGATAGGAAGTCGTTTTGCAAATCTGCATCCTTAGCCAGATCTTTCATTACTGCAGTTACTTCATCAATACATATTGCAATATCTGTACTACTTATCTGTAAAAAAGGAGATATATATATATATATATATATATACATAAAATGAAAAAATTTGTTTATATACCTGTAATGATGCTGCTTCTTCGCATACTTTCTCAACATTATGAGCTTCATCGAGTAAAACTACGGTATTTTGTAAATCTATACCCTGTGTCTTTCGTGTTTTAGGATCCAGCAGATAATTATAAGGCATAAAAACAATATCTGCGTTTTGCTTCAATTCTTTTGCCAAAAAGTATGGGCAGCATTTGTGCTTCTGTCCGACTTTAACTAAATCTTCTATATCTAAGACCTCCTGTTTAAAAACAGGATCATCTTTTCTAAACATATTGGAATTTGTATAATATTTTAGTAGTAATTAGTAATAGTTATTTGCTTTGATTAAAAAAATTAGAGTACTTAAGCACACACCTGGCCTCAACGTTATTGAAATAGAAGCAAGTCCTAGATTTCACTTTGGCATGGCACATGTGTATTTTGTTAAAAGCGCTCGCTTCTTTAGAAACTTCCGGATGAATACACAGCTGATCTCGAGATCCTAATACAGCGGTGGCAACATGCTTGTACGACGTCTTCTTCAACTCATGCATAGCTTGAGACAATTGGGAATGTGTTCGAGATGCGTAGATAATTTTGGGCATAGCCCATCCAAAATTTTGAACGTTATCCGGTACACCTGACGCCTTTTCCAGTCCATTGATCAAATATTTAAAAAAATGTCCACCAAAGTCCTTCTTCTCAACTGCACCTGCTATTACTTGTGCTTGTAATTGAGCTTTCTTCGTCAACAGCCAGCTCAAGGAAGAGCACAGGAGGCAGAGAGTTTTTCCAGTACCTAAATATATATTTATATATTATATTACATATTCTATTAATTAAATAAATATATATATATATATATATATCATTTAATTAATTCAAAATATAGAGAGAATAAAATAATAAAAAATAAAAGAAATGACAAGTAAAATATATAAATTAAAAAATTCTATTTTCTATGTGAAATTTTCTCAAATATAAACATGAATTTTAATTTTAAGAAATAAATTCTTTTTATACAAATTATATTTTGATTCTTTTAAAATACTATTTTATGCGTATTTTTGGGTATTCGAAATTTGTCTAATTATAAATATAAGTGAATACCTGTGGGAGACTCCAAGACACCGTGCTGACCGTTTTGCAGACATTCTATCACCTTTTTCATGTATTCCTCCTGCACGGAATAAGGTTTAAAAGGGAAGCTAACGATGATATCGTTAATTGTGACGTCAGGCATTTCAGAGTCAATTAAAAATACAAATCAGTTGTAAGAAAATTCCACTCATGTATCGCAAACGTCTTCTTCCCGCCACAATAAAAACCTAACCTAACCCGAGATTTATTAACCCAACCTGATCTAACCTACTTTTATTACATACATATATACAGGGTGTCCCATTTTAATCTATCACCCCTCGTAATTTGCAGGGAGCGATTGTAGAGAAAAATGTTTCGGACAAAAGTTGTAGGGTTCAGAGGGGATCATCTAACGATGACCTTGATCTTGATCTCGGGGTCAAATTTGAAGATCATATATGAAGGTAAATATAAAATTTTTTTTATTTAAAAATTCAAGCTTTGTAACTCGGAAAATACTGAATGAATTTTTATATTGACCTTTAAATGACCTTCAAATTTGACCCCAAGGTCAAGATCAAGGTAACTATCAAAAGCTCCTTCTGAACCTTACAAACCCAAGGAGAACAGAAAAGTCAAAATAACGTCATATTGACTAAATTTATGTCATTTTTTTGTCAATATGACGTCAAATTGACGTCATTTTGACTTTTCTGTTCTTGGGATGAAGTTTGTAGGGTTTAGATGGCAACCTTAAATCTGCTTGATCTTGGGGTCAAATTTGAAGATCATTTGAAGGTCAATATAAAAATTTATTCAGTATTTTCCGAGTTACAAAGCTTGAATTTTCAAATTAAAATATTTCCTATAATAATTAGGATGCTAGATTAAATAAATGGGACACCCTGTATATATACATATATATATAATTCTTGACAAGTCAAGAATGCTCCCTCTTGTAATTCGCGTTTGAGCGATAAAAGGAGAGATAAAGCGAGAATCGCGGAAGGTTCTGGGACGATAATACTCCGATAAGGATTTGCGGCGGCGACGATGAGCTGACCGAAAGTACAAAGCGGCTGGCCGACATTTGAAAGGAGACGGCTCGAGCGTTCAGGCTAAGCGCGTGATCAGCTGATCGACGAAGTTGCAGAGCGCGAGACACACGTGTAACAGGTTTGCGCCCCTTTAAAATTACTCTGTGCACATTTTTTATCGGGCTTTCGAAAAATCTAAAGCCTCTCTCTGTCGTCTCTGATAAGAATCGCGGATAATAAATGATTACATTTTTTTAATCGCGCCTACACAAGAGTTGTTGAAGGTCAACAGCTATTGGTTATTGACACCGAAAAAAGAGCTGCGTAATTTTTATTTGGTGCGCGATTATCATTTGATCAATATTTTAAATCACGGTATAATGTGTGTGTATTATTCAATATATATATATATATATATATATATATATATATTATTACTACAAAAATTTTCCTCTGGAAAAGTATTTAAATTGAATATTATAATAGAATATATATTATATATTTTATACATTTAATATTATTTATATATATTAATTATTCAATGTTTAATTTAAATATATTTCTATAAAGAAATTTTTTTAGTAATAATGCAAATTATATATACTTGATATATTAAATAAATTAAATTATATTATGTGTTCAGAGTTTTGTCAGAATTTTTTAAATATTTTTTTGTGATTGTACACGAAATGAAAGGTCAGTGTCGTAAGCTTATCTTTAAGATAGGAATATGCAGTACTTGTTACTGTAAATATGTTTTATTGTGGGTAAAAGAATAATTAAGCTTGTTTTTAGCTCTTTATGCTTCTTAGACTGCGAATAAATATTTTATTTTTGTGTTTTATAAATTTTTGCGTTTGTATTTTTTTATTGTATATAATTTTTTTTTTTTTCTCTCTCTTATTTTTTTATATAATTAGTAAGAGAATTTTGGCAATAGGAGGTGAGAAATCTATAGTAATTTTTTGCTTTTTACATTTTTGCGTAATAAGCATACCTTGTGTACATGTAGATATGAAAATATTAATTTTTTTACAAACCTATCTACTTATTTTACAGTGTGATTGTAATTGTAATTAACATAAATACTCATTATGCGTCTGATAATTTGTGACACAGTGGACTATGTCGCAGAGTGGTCTGCGAAGTATGTTCTTAAGAGAATCAATGATTTCAAGCCTAATAAGGACAAGTATTTTGTCCTTGGTCTTCCTACAGGTACGTTAATTTTAGTTTTTAAACATTCTAAACATTTGTTAACTTATATTAATTTATTAATTTATTCTCATTAATTTGTATTATTTTATAAATTGTTTTTGCTTTATTACTTAGGCGGTACGCCTCTGGGAATGTATAAAAAGCTCATATCATATTATCAACAAGGCAAAATTTCCTTCAAGTATGTTAAAACATTCAATATGGATGAGTATGTCGACCTACCAAGAGATCATCCTGAGTCTTATCATTATTACATGTACAACAATTTCTTTAAACACATAGATATAGATCCAGAGAATGTGCATATACTTGATGGAAATGCGGTGGATCTTGTAAAAGAGTGCGATGACTTTGAGAGGAAGATCAAAGAGGCTGGTGGAATAGAATTATTCATTGGAGGTAATTTCTTCATTACAACAAGTTTTGTGCAAACATATTTTTACATAAATAAAGTGCCAGGTTTATCTAACTGTGAAACATTGTTTGCCAGGTATCGGTCCAGATGGACACATAGCTTTCAACGAGCCAGGCTCATCATTGGTTTCCCGCACAAGGGTGAAGACTCTTGCCCAGGACACTTTGGAGGCCAATGCGAGATTCTTTGGAAACGACATCAATAAAGTCCCGAAACAAGCCCTGACTGTGGGTGTCGGCACCGTGATGGATGCTGAGGAAGTGATGATTCTTATCACCGGGTCTCACAAGGCCTTTGCCCTTTACAAAGCGATTGAGGAGGGTGTCAATCACATGTGGACGGTGTCGGCTTTTCAGCAACATCCTCGTACGCTTATAATCTGTGATGAAGACGCGACTCTGGAATTACGTGTGAAAACAGTGAAATATTTTAAGGTAATCAACTCTCTCTTTCTGCCTCGTGTGTGTAGATCTGGTATTTTTCCATCATGAAGAGACGTGCTAAGTTTGTTAAACTTGTAAAAATATACGGAAATTCCGCTCTATTCAATTTGTATGCTACGTGTAGGCACTCAGTGATGTACATCGCAAATTGATTGAGGAAGATGGAAATGCAATCCCTCGTCGTACAGTGCAAAATAATTGAAACGGTATTATATATCTTCATGACCTCTTTATGATCGATCAAAATTCTCTTTTAAATTAATATAATACATATCCATTTTCCTTTCTGTGTTTCGTAAAAGATGAATTCTATGTGATGTAAAAAATTGTTTATTTATTCTTATAAATTTATAAAATTGTTAAATATTATATAATATAATTATAATAATAAATATAAATTTATATTATATATTATAATTTTATATAATTGTATTTAAAACTCATGTTTTGCTTATTACAGAATTTATGGGATATTCATAGCAAATTTATCGAGCAAGAAAATCGAACAACGTAACAACTTTGTTATTGTCAACCATCGCCGAAATTAAATGAAAAAAGGAGTAAAAAAAGAACAAATGGAGAAAAGTTAAGCATCAATTCAAATTGTGAATAAATTGATGAAATATTATATGTTATGAAATATCCTACATTTGTTATTTTAATATTCATATTTTGATTTATATGAAAATTTTAGTTATATGCTGTATTTTATATAACTGCCATATAAATGTATTTTAATATTACTGTTCTGCCAATTTTCAGAAATAAATTTATCTTTTTTATCGTCAAACATATTTATTACAAGAGTATATTCTGAATATCTGTTCTGAAATTAATTAATCTAATTTTTTTCCACAATTTTATAACATTCCGATAACCAAAAATAATCCATCAAATTTAATTTTTAATTCATGATAATGTACGAATGTTGTGTATAGAAGTCTGTAAAAGTACGATATAACGCAATTATTGTGAGAATGGTACCTCTTTAATGGTACCTCTTCAAATATAATTTGCGCGTCAATTGTGGAATTAATCATAGATCCCTCATAGTGAAACGAGGACAAACTGATTGCGAAAGAGAGAGAAATTGAAGCGGGACGTTGGACACGTGTCTCTACATGCGAACATTAATCTCATCCGGCACGTATATATATTACGTATGTATATGCAAGTTTCACGTGACTTTAATTGCGACTATGTGTCATATACAAGAACTGATCTTTTTCTTTTCCTTATTCCTTATGGCGAGTTCTATCTATTGAACGAAGTATATCATATATATCGCAATAATTTAAAGAGCTTGGATTAAATCCCCAATTAAATCATATTTTTCTCTGGCTTTAAATTATTAAATTTATCCGGGAAAATCCACATATCATCATAAATTATATGTAAAATTTGCATCGATATATACGTTTTTTCCTCTTGTATAATCCTTGTCTACATATATAAAATAAGAAGAGTAATTAGAGAAAAAAGAGAAAAGATATAAGACTAATTCTCACATTTTTTTAGAAAAAGTGAAATTTAAAAAAATGAGTAAAAATTGCCTACATATAATTAAACAATGATGTTTTCTTTCATTTCTAAAAAAAATATAAAAATCATTATTTTAATTATTTTTAATTGTACTTTTATATTATTTTTATTATTTTTCTTGTATTAACAACCATTTTTTTTTATTATTTTTTATTCGTTTGATCATCTTGCGCATTATTTTTTATGTATATAATAAAAATATAATCTTTGTTTATAATTATATATTATAATTAAAAATAGTTCAAAATAGGAGACCAAAATGTATACACTGTTTATATTTGAATTATGATTTATATTTATTTTAGATTCACGCAAATAATAAATATATATATTAAATATTTGATTATATATGAATTTTTTTCGGGATAGGAGTTTCTTTCTTTTTTGTCGTTCTAATATTTAATATTATTAAGTTCTAATATGTTTTAATATATTGCATTAAATGTTTTTTTATTATTTTGATATTAATCCTCATTTTATTAATAAAAATTGAATAATTTGTTAATTTTTAAGACTTCTGATCTTTTATTAATGTTAATATTGAATTATAATAAAAGAGAAATAAATTTTTTTTTTGCGAAATACATCGAAACAAATATATAAATGTTTTTAATACGATTACTTATTTGATAATATATAGATTAATAAAATATACCGAAAATTTTCTTTTTGATTTGTAAATTAATAAATAGCTGTAAATCTTGATTAATTATCGTAAAATCTATATATTTTCGTTAAAAATGTAAAATAAATATATACAGATGAATTATGCAATATCATTTATTAATGCAGAATAACAAAAAAGGGAGTTTTTGATCTATTTTATTAATTCATATATTATTGAACACAAATCAATCGCATTAAAAAAAGAAACATTTATTTTGATATAATTGCAAGAAAAAAATTCATATAATTTCTCGCATTTAATTTGGATATTCGATTGCAATAAAAGTCTAATAGACAAAAGTTTTTAATAATTGAGTATAAAATAAATAATATTATTAATCATGTATAAAAAAAATATAATTTTTTTTTTTTTTTTTTTTTACTCTTCTTTTAATGAACAATTCCAATCCAGACGTTTAATTTGTGCATCTAGAGTTATTTCTAATTTTGACGTGTAAACAAATTCGATTAATTTTGATATACATAAGGAAAAGTTTAGTTCATGTAATATAATATAATATTGCATATTATGTTTTGGCTTAAACACAAATACAATCTAATCTAGAAAAAATAGACTCGTTAAGTACTAGCATATCTATACCATAAATTATAGTAAATAAGCTCGTTAAGTAATTATATCATATTAGTAAAATTACTTTTTATATTATTATTATTATAGTACTATATATATATATATATATATATATACTCTGTAATATCTTAGGAAAATAGACTCATAGTTAAGCATTATTATCATATATATATATATATATATATATATATATATATATATATATATATATATATGATAATAATGCTTAACTATGAGTCTATTTTCCTAAGATATTACAGAGTATATTTGTTGAAGTTAAAAAAATATAATATAACGTTGATCTGCAAAATATATTACATTCAAAAATTATAAATCGTACCAAGTACTATTTTTAAAATTTTAATTTACGATATATGAAACACACAATGATAAATTTGTATTAATATTTATATTATATATCGTTGACAAAAAAACCATATAATTTTAAACGAATACAGAAATTTTGTTATATATTTTTTTATTTGATTTTTTGCAATTTTAATATTTATTATCTTAGGGGCTACGATTTAGCATATGCTTTAATTCCCTTAATATAGACCGTTTGATTAAAATATCACTTTTTTAAATTTGTAAAATTTTGCGCACGTAATTACTTTATCAATATAAACATTTTTTCCCTTTATTAAGATATGATTCTTAAAGATGTGAAAAAATAAGGAGTTGTATTTCTAATCATTATTTCAAAGAGCGATGGTATTTTTTTGTAATTTTATCTAATTTTTGTTATTTTAGCTAATTAATTTCCAATAATTCTCTTTTATGAGAGGAGTATAGAAAATGGAATAGTGATCTAATATTTATTGCCTAGCTAACAATATGAGATGCAAAGTGAGAGTTTAATTTCCATAAATTTTAGAATTGTGAATTATCGATAAATAGCGGTATTTAAATTTAATTATTTTTGATTATTTATTTAATTAGAGTAATAAATAATGTTTGTGTTACATGGACTATATATGCTGTATAATTACGATATGTAAAACATATATATATATATATATATTTTTTTTTTTTTATTTATTACGTATATGTAGGATCGTGGGTTTCGGAAATTATTTAATCGCAATACAAATGTACTGTCTCGGTACGGACAAACTAATAACACACTCGGTAAACAGCTGATATAATAAAATTTCAGCAAATAACTCGAGAACACGCACATGACGAGACATAAACATGTCGGTCAAATATACAAACTTTATAATAATCAGATTTATTCAATTCCTACATATATATATATATATATATATATATATATATATATATATATACGCAGATAATGTTTAATGAAGAAATAAGAATTTAAATATAATAATTTGAGAGAGAATATAATAATTTTAAGAAATTAAATAATAAAAAAGACACATTTAAATAAATATATATAAAAATGCAAATATTAAAAAAAAATTAGTTTTCATTTTAAGAAACTATTTAAAAAATACCTATGTTCCATTTCCTATTTTAAATAAAGATGTTAGAAACATCCCAAGTAGCAAACTAACATCATTAGACGTCAAAATGTTTACTACTTGGGTATTTTGCATTTTTAAATGGAACAAAAGCTTCCAATTATTTTGCATTTTCTATTTCAATAAATGCATTTAGACCTCTAGCCCATATTATTTTTATTTTCTTTCTGCCAATTTCCTAGGTTTTCCGAACAAGACACAGAAAAGGATATTTCCCAAGAAGCAAACTGACGGCATTAAATGTCAAAATTACGTGTCATTTTGACATCTAATGACACAATTTGACATTAATAATGATGAAATTTGGTGTCTAATGACGTCATTTAGTGTTTAATGACGTCATTTTGACATCTAATGACGTCATTTTGACATTTATATAATGACGTCATTTGGTGTCTAATGACATGAAAATGACGTCTACTTGCTACGTGGTCTGAAGTTTGACATTAATGATGAATTTTGGCGTTTAATGACGTTATTTTGACATTTAATGACGTCTTTTTGACATTTAATGACACGTATCATTTGGCGTCTAATGACGTGAAATGACGTCTACTTGCTATGTGGGCCTGAAAAAACTGATCCCGACGCAGGTGTTCGGTTTTAAACTGAAAATAAGAAGAGGGGATCGTTGCATCACGCATATATACTTACTTACTCCGGCGAAGTGATGATCATTATATACAATTGGCATGATGACTGCGTTCTCTAGTGCGCGCGCTTATTTTACGCGCCAGTCTCTCAGTTTATCTTTCAGTCTCGGTCCGATACCAGAAGCGACAGTTAGTCCTAGATAGATCGGCCTTCCTCTTCATTAATTTTTTTTCCTCTTCATCATGAACAACAGCGAGCTGAAGAAGATTGAGTTGCGCGAGCTGCGGCCGCTTCTGACAGGCGCTTTCGGCGATCAGCTGATCGTGGTCCGCTACACGGCCAGGAACCTGTTGCAGCCGGGCGAGAATTACGGGAGCACCATCTTTGACGTCCACGCGGTGATCAAGCGTAACGAAAACGCTGGGGAGGAGGATCTCTACCTAGTGGCAAAGATGCCGCCGCCGACCCCGTTCCAGCGGAAGATCTTCGATTCTCCGTATTCCTTCCGGAAGGAGATCTTCATGTACGAGAGCATCCTACCGCATTACAATCAACTGGAGAGAGACGCTGGTTTAAAGGAGGACGAGCTGTTCCACGTGTTACCCAAGTACTATCAGTCCCGATTCTCCCTAAATCCGGACATCGATTTCGATGACGACGCGGTTATTTTATTGGAAAATTTGAAGGTCCGCGGTTATTACATCTGCGACCGAGTTAAAGGTATATATATATATATTATTTAAATTTTAAATCCTTTTGTATACTCTAGGCGCGCGCAACGCATATGATAACATAAATAGATAACGATAAGTCATGTGCGAGATTTTGTGACGTTATCACAAATTTACAATTATATGCTTTTAATATCGAGAAGTTTATTATAAAAAAAAAAGTTGCACAGAAAAATTAGAAATTATATATATTATACAATTATTATAATATACAATATAAATATAGCAAAGATTATTTAATTATCACAAATAAATTATTTACGAGTTTTTCAAAAACGTAAAGTATATCTATATAATGAACATTTTTAATTATTCTTATATATATGATTTAATTTTTAATTAATTATAATAATGAAAATTTTTTATTATCTTTTAATCACTTTTTTTTGTAATGTAATATTGTAACGATTACTATTAATTATGATTGAACGATTAAGCATATTTATAAATAATTAATTTTTTTTATTATTAATATTAATAGAAAAATTAGAAATTATTTACAATGCAATTATATTAATATATAAATATAGCAAAAATTATTTAATTATCACAAATTATTTATGAGTTTTTTCGAAAACATATATAATGCAAATTTTTAATTATCCTATGATTTAATTAATTGTAATAATTACAAATTTTTATTATCCTTAATCACTCAATCATATTATGTAATATTGTGTAATGATTACTATCAATTATGATTGAATGATTAAACATATTTATGAATTTTAATGAATTTTTTTTATTATTAAGAGTTAAAAAAATTGCACGGAAAAATTAGAAATTATATGCAATTATTAATATATAAATATAGCAAAAATTATTTAATTATCGTAAATAGATTATTTATACGAAATTCGTTTCATTCGAGTTAACATATGTTATAGTGATTTAAAAAATAATTAAAAATTTACATTATGCTTAATCATTTAATTATAATGTAATATTGTGTAATCGAATTATTTAATCATGCTATAATTTTTATCAATTATGATTAAATGATTAAGCATTCGATATTTTAACTTTTGATGAATTCTTTGATTATTTTAAGATTAAAAAACTGCACAGAAAAATTAGAAATTATTAATATATGATACAATGTAATTATTAATATATGAATATACTATGAATTATTTACAAGTTTTTTTATAAATCGTATTTCGTGCTAGGAATTTATTTCATTCGATTTAACATGTTAATTTAAATTTTTAATTGTCTTATGATTTAATTAATCATATACATTATACTTAATCATTCATTGATAATGTAATATTTCAATGATTTAATCAGGATCAGAATTTTTATTAATTGATCGATTGAGCATTTTTGTAACTTCTAATCTGTAAATTCTATGATTATTAGGATTACACAAATTATTTACAAATTTTTTTAAATTGTATTTCGTATTAAAAATTTATTTCATTCATTTACACGTTATAATGAAATTTTTAAATTATATATATAGCAATGAAAAATTTCTATTATACTTACGATTAATCATTAAATCATAATATTTGAGTCATTTAATTGTGCTATGGTTTTTATTAATAATATGATAGAATGATATTAAGCAGATTTTTAATAATCTTAAATATTATAATTTAACTGCGCAATAATTTATTTAGAGATATTTATGACAAAGTTTATAATGCGGATTTTTATCTTGATACACGATACAAGATATATTTATGTTTTTGCGTTACAAGCATGATTTATCGTCTCGATAAAAAAAGGAAATTCATTACGCAATCCTTGGCACCATTTTTCCTCGGTTTTACACTTATCTCTCTTCACGCAATTTACGGAAAAGCATACCGAGTTATCCATTATGTTTTTTATATATAAAGTTGGTCGTGCA